ACTGAGATACTGTTGCTGTGAACTCTCGAGCGAAACTATCGTAAATAAACGGTGAAGCTTACAAACTAATGTCAAAAATTATACAGAAAATTGCGACAGAATATGAATTGCGATAACTGAGACGAATGTGAAAGGCACGTGCACTAGTAAACAAAGAACTAGGGCGATTAACATATTTAGCGATTAATGCGGCGGTAACACGCCGACTTCTTGTCAATACAAGTGAACGCTCTATCGGTTAAATATGTGAATCATCGTGATACACCTCTCTTTGAATTTGGTCCTGTTGTACAAATGCCTCGGTAAGAGCCAAAATTCACTTATATCTTTTGCTCGTTTTAAGTTTTGTAAATCGTCCTTCGTTGTTCTTTCCTTTGCCCTTATAACCTTGCCCTATTGATGTTTGATAAACTTTCTGAGGACCAGCGCCAGGAGTTGAATATAGTTCGAGAGGAAAAAAATCTCTTTATAACAGGCCATAGTGATTGGCTAGGAAGAACAATTGCCTTCTATCAAGTATTTTTCCAGCAGGGGAGGGTGGCCTTGGGAAAATGATGTATCGGTCCCTAGAAAGGTCACCCCAGGACCCCCGGGATGGAATTTTTTTGTACAGTGCCCAGGCTTCATTTTCTTGGCCGCGCGTTGATCTGGCCCGGCTGCAGTCGGCGAGCGTATTCTCGGTGTGTTTGGATTATATTCTTCGAGTTTGTCAAAGTCTGTGGGATTCGTTTCTCTATCTGGGAAAGCTTCATTGGTTTCTATATCTGCTGCTATCTTATTTCTACGATCCTAGCATGTTTATTTTCCGTTGGAGTTCGAATTTCGTGGAAAAAGTTGTGGTGAATGAGAGCATGTCGGCGAAAATGGCACCTCGTGTTTCCTAGCTTGTATATTATTATTGTAGATAGAGTGCATTTGAACAAATCACTGCAAATTATCACGAAACTTCGTTGGAGCAATAAGTACAACAACAATTAACTGCAGAGTAAGTTTCATTGATCTTTATTTAGTATTTCCTAGAAATTTTAGGATATTATTTTTACACCATACAAACACTGTAATTTTACTAGAACCGTACTGTGGTACTATCACAGAGCCTGGGTTGCCTGTGGTGTTACACCGAGTTCCCTGCAGCTGTCAGCAGTACTTTTATGTTCGTCTCCAAAACAGTTTAATGCGTATTGCTAATGCACGCTGTTTAGACTGAAGAGTTGCCCTGTAGTCTTTCGATTGGTGTTGTGTTACACCGAGTTCCCTGTAGCTCTCAGCAGTGCTTTCATGTTCTTCTCCAAATAGTTTAATGCGTATCGCTAATGCACGCTGTTTAGACTGAAGAGCTGCTTTGTAGTCTTTCATTTGGTGTTGTGTTACACTGAGTTCCCTGTAGCTGTCAGCAGTGCTTTCATGTTCTTCTCCAAACAGTTTAATACGTACTGCTAATGCTCCCTGTTCAGACTGAAGAGCTGCTTTGTAGTCTTTCATTTGGTGTTGTGTTACACCGAGTTCCCGAGTGTTACGAAAACTAAGACCCTCGAAAACTAAGACCTAAGACCTAAGACCCGTCTTAGTTCTCGAGATTACAAAAACTAAGACCCCCTAAAATCGAATGCGTCGAAATATAAAGTCAAATTGTAATCGGAATAGGTCTGATCTGCCAAATTATATCATGTTAGATCCTTTCCACCGAGTTTTAGGTCAAATTTAACGGTAAATTTAGGGGTCTTAGTTTTCGTAATTACGAAAACTACGATCCCCACCAAAACAATCTCTAAAATTTCTACAAAGTCGAATTACCCCGAATTACGACCGTTTGAAGACTATAATCCGTAAGACAAACGAAAACTACTATCATACGCGTGCTTGACGATCCGCCTCTTCTGACAATTTGTAGACATACATTATCAATATTGCTGCTTTAAGAAGAGGATGTAAGCATACGTATAATTGTACACTGAAAATATGCCTTGCCCCTATAATTTTGGTTGTTTATCCTTAAAGTCATAAAATTGGTTTTCCACTGGAGATGGATTTTTGTCTTCGTTGCGGGCTGACATGTCGCTGCGACCTGAATGCCTGATCGCTAGGTGGTCAACGGCGTTATCGGTTAAACATCACACAAAAATACGGATTTTTTTTTTCCTTTTCTAGCCAGGTCATAGATAGAAAATTTTTTTATAAAAAAGGCGAAAAAAGGAGAATATGCTACATTGCGTTTTTCTAGCGTTTGTTTTTATCGTTGCCACCCCGGAGATCACTGGGTTTTTTAATGCAAAGGTAGTTGAGGGGTAGGGGTGGGGGGCAAGGAGAAATAGTCTGTGGGGGATAATCGTTAAAATCGCCCATGAAATAATAATAATAAAAAAAAGGAATGAGTGAATGCATTTCCTGTACTAGCAAAGCATCGTCTCGAGAATTGAAGTTCTAATTTCAGAACAATAAAATAAACAAACAATCAATACAAAGTGAAGATTGCGTGACCGTAGGTTGCCGGAGGTCAGGATTCCCGGAAAAACATCCATCTCCAGTGAAAAGCCAATTTCATGATTTAAAGGATAAACAACAAAATTAAAGACCAGTAGGGGTAAGGCATATTTTCAGTGTACAATAGATACGTAGGAAGTTTATGGCTTTGGTCCTCTTTTTAAAGCGAGTCTTCAAATTGTTAGCAAGTAGTCAAGCACGCGTATGATAGTAGTTTTCGTTTGTCTTACGGATTATAGTCTTCAAACGGTCGTAATTCGGGGTAAATCGACTTTGTAGAAATTTTAGAGATTGTTTTGGTGGGGGTCTTAGTTTTCGTAAATACGAAAACCAAGAGGGGTCCTAGTTTTCGAAATTACGAAAACTATAAGATCCCTAAATTTACCGTTAAATTTGACCTAAAACTCGGAGGAAAGGATCTAACATGATTTAATTTGGCAGATCACACCTACTTCGGTTACAATTTGACTTTATATTTCGAGGGATTCGATTTTAGGGGGTCTTAGTTTTCGCAATCTCGAAAACTAAGACGGGTCTTAGGTCTTAGTTTTCGAGGGTCTTAGTTTTCGTAACACCCCCGAGTTCCCTGTAGCTGTAAGCAGTGCTCTCATGTTCTTCTCCAAACAGTTTAATACGCATTGCTAATGCTCTCTGCTCAGACTGAAGAGCTGCTTTTTAGTCTTTCATTTCGTATTGTGTTACTCTGAGACTGAAGTAGCTGTCAGCAGTGCTTTTATGTTCGTCTCCAAACAGTTTAATGAGTATTGCTAATGCACGCTGTTTAGACTGAAGAGCTGCTTTGTAGTCTTTCATTTGGTGTTGTGTTACACCGAGTTCCCTGTAGCTGTCAGCAGTACTTTCATGTTCTTCTCCAAACAGTTTAATACGTATTGCTAATGCTCGCTGGAGAGACTAAAGAGCTGCTTTGTAGTCTTTCATTTAGTGTTGTGTTACACCGAGTCCCCTGTAGCTGTCAGCAGTGCTTTCATGTTCTTCTCCAAACAGTTTAATACGTATTGCTAATGCACGCTGGTCAGACTGAAGAGCTGCTTTGTAGTCTTTCATTTCGTGTTGTGTTACACCGAGGCTGAAGTAGCTGTCAGCAGTGCTTTCATGTTCTTCTCCAAACAGTTTAATACGTATTGCTAATGCTCGCTGCTCAGACCGAAGAGCTGCTTTGTAGTCTTTCATTTGGTGTTGTGTTTAATACGCATTGCTAATGCTAGCTGGTCAGACTGAAGAGCTGCTTTGTAGTCTTTCATTTCGTGTTGTGTTACACCGAGGCTGAAGTAGCTGTCAGCAGTGCTTTCATGTTCTTCTCCAAACAGTTTAATACGTATTGCTAATGCTCGCTGCTCAGACCGAAGAGCTGCTTTGTAGTCTTTCATTTGGTGTTGTGTTACACCGAGTTCCTTGTACCTGTCAGCAGTGCTTTCATGTTCTTCTCCAAACAGTTTAATACGTATTGCTAATGCTCGCTGATGAGACTGAACAGCTGCTTTGTAGTCTTTCGTTTGGTGTTGTGCTACTCCGAGGTTGAAGTAGCTGTCAGCAGTGCTTTCATGTTCTTCTCCAAACAGTTTAATACGTATTGCTAATGCTCGCTGTTTACACTGAAGAGCTGCTTTGTAGTCTTTCCTTTGGTGTTGTGTTACACCGAGTTCCTTGTAGCTGTCAGCAGTGCTTTCATGTTCTTCTCCAAACAGTTTAATACGTATTGCTAATGCACGCTGGTGAGAATGAAGAGCTGCTTTGTAGTCTTTCATTTGGTGTTGTGTTACACCGAGTCCCCTGTAGCTATCAGCAGTGCTTTCATGTTCTTCTCCAAACAGTTTAATACGTATTGCTAATGCTCGCTGTTTAGACTGAAGAGCTGCTTTGTAGTCTTTCATTTCGTGATGTGTTACACCGAATCCCCTGTAGCTGTCAGCAGTGCTTTCATGTTCTTCTCCAAACAGTTTAATACGTATTGCTAATGCTCGCTGTTTAGACTGAAGAGCTGCTTTGTAGTCTTTCATTTGGTGTTGTGTTACACCGAGTCTCCTGTAGCTGTCAGCAGTGCTTTCATGTTCTTCTCCAAACAGTTTAATACGTATTGCTAATGCTCGCTGGAGAGACTGAAGAGCTGCTTTGTAGTCTTTCATTTGGTGTTGTGTTACACCGAGTCCCCTGTAGCTGTCACCAGTGCTTTCATGTTCTTCTCCAAACAGTTTAATACGTATCGCTAATGCTCGCTGTTTAGACTGAAGAGCTGCTTTGTAGTCTTTCATTTCGTGTTGTGTTACACCGAGGCTGAAGTAGCTGTCAGCAGTGCTTTCATGTTCTTCTCCAAACAGTTTAATACGTATTGCTAATGCACGCTGGTGAGCCTGAAGAGCTGCTTTGTAGCCTTTCATTTAGTGTTGTGTTACACCGAGTTCCTTGTAGCTGTCAGCAGTGCTTTCATGTTCTTCTCCAAACAGTTTAATACGTATTGCTAATGCACGCTGGAAAGACTGAAGAGCTGCTTTGTAGTCTTTCATTTCGTGTTGTGTTACACCGAGTCCCCTGTAGCTGTCAGCAGTGCTTTCATGTTCTTCTCCAAACAGTTTAATACGTATTGCTAATGCTCGCTGCTCAGACCGAAGAGCTGCTTTGTAGTCTTTCATTTGGTGTTGTGTTACACCGAGTTCCTTGTACCTGTCAGCAGTGCTTTCATGTTCTTCTCCAAACAGTTTAATACGTATTGCTAATGCTCGCTGCTCAGACCGAAGAGCTGCTTTGTAGTCTTTCATTTGGTGTTGTGTTACACCGAGTTCCTTGTACCTGTCAGCAGTGCTTTCATGTTCTTCTCCAAACAGTTTAATACGTATTGCTAATGCTCGCTGATGAGACTGAAGAGCTGCTTTGTAGTCTTTCGTTTGGTGTTGTGCTACTCCGAGGTTGAAGTAGCTGTCAGCAGTGCTTTCATGTTCTTCTCCAAACAGTTTAATACGTATTGCTAATGCTCGCTGATGAGACTGAAGAGCTGCTTTGTAGTCTTTCGTTTGGTGTTGTGCTACTCCGAGGTTGAAGTAGCTGTCAGCAGTGCTTTCATGTTCTTCTCCAAACAGTTTAATACGTATTGCTAATGCTCGCTGTTTACACTAAAGAGCTGCTTTGTAGCCTTTCCTTTGGTGTTGTGTTACACCGAGTTCCTTGTAGCTGTCAGCAGTGCTTTCATGTTCTTCTCCAAACAGTTTAATACGTATTGCTAATGCACGCTGGTGAGCCTGAAGAGCTGCTTTGTAGTCTTTCATTTGGTGTTGTGTTACACCGAGTCCCCTGTAGCTATCAGCAGTGCTTTCATGTTCTTCTCCAAACAGTTTAATACGTATTGCTAATGCTCGCTGTTTAGACTGAAGAACTGCTTTGTAGTCTTTCATTTCGTGTTGTGTTACACCGAGTCCCCTGTAGCTGTCAACAGTGCTTTCATGTTCTTCTCCAAACAGTTTAATACGTATTGCTAATGCTCGCTGGAGAGACTGAAGAGCTGCTTTGTAGTCTTTCATTTGGTGTTGTGTTACACCGAGTCCCCTGTAGCTGTCAGCAGTGCTTTCATGTTCTTCTCCAAATAGTTTAATACGTATTGCTAATGCTCGCTGGAGAGACTGAAGAGCTGCTTTGTAGTCTTTCATTTGGTGTTGTGTTACACCGAGTCCCTTGTAGCTGTCAGCAGTGCTTTCATGTTCTTCTCCAAACAGTTTAATACGTATCGCTAATGCTCGCTGTTTAGACTGAAGAGCTGCTTTGTAGTCTTTCATTTGGTGTTGTGTTACACCGAGTCCCCTCTAGCTGTCAGCAGTGCTTTCATGTTCTTCTCCAAACAGTTTAATACGTATTGCTAATGCTCGCTGTTTAGACTGAAGAGCTGCTTTGTAGTCTTTCATTTAGTGTTGTGTTACACCGAGTCCCCTGTAGCTGTCAGCAGTTCTTTCATGTTCTTCTCCAAACAGTTTAATACGTATTGCTAATGCTCGCTGGAGAGACTGAAGAGCTGCTTTGTAGTCTTTCATTTGGTGTTGTGTTACACCGAGTCCCCTGTAGCTGTCAGCAGTGCTTTCATGTTCTTTTCCAAACACTTTAATACGTATTGCTAATACTCGCTGCTCAGACCGAAGAGCTGCTTTGTAGTCTTTCATTTGGTGTTGTGTTACACCGAGTCCCCTGTAGCTGTCAGCAGTGCTTTCATGTTCTTCTCCAAACAGTTTAATACGTATTGCTAATGCTCGCTGTTTACACTGAAGAGCTGCTTTGTAGTCTTTCATTTGGTGTTGTGTTACACCGAGTCCCCTGTAGCTGTCAGGAGTGCTTTCATGTTCTTCTCCAAACAGTTTAATACATATTGCTAATGCACGCTGAGAGACTGAAGAGCTGCTTTGTAGTCTTTCATTTCGTGTTGTGTTACACCGAGTCCCCTCTAGCTATCAGCAGTGCTTTCATGTTCTTCTCCAAACAGTTTAATACGTATTGCTAATGCTCGCTGGAGAGACTGAAGAGCTGCTTTGTAGTCTTTCATTTAGTGTTGTGTTACACCGAGTCCCCTGTAGCTGTCAGCAGTGCTTTCATGTTCTTCTCCAAACAGTTTAATACGTATTGCTAATGCTCGCTGCTCAGACCGAAGAGCAGCTTTGTAGTCTTTCATTTGGTGTTGTGTTACACCGAGTCCCCTGTAGCTGTCAGCAGTGCTTTCATGTTCTTCTCCAAACAGTTTAATACGTATTGCTAATGCTCGCTGTTTACACTGAAGAGCTGCTTTGTAGTCTTTCATTTGGTGTTGTGTTACACCGAGTCCCCTGTAGCTGTCAGGAGTGCTTTCATGTTCTTCTCCAAACAGTTTAATACATATTGCTAATGCACGCTGAGAGACTGAAGAGCTGCTTTGTAGTCTTTCATTTCGTGTTGTGTTACACCGAGTCCCCTCTAGCTATCAGCAGTGCTTTCATGTTCTTCTCCAAACAGTTTAATACGTATTGCTAATGCTCGCTGGAGAGACTGAAGAGCTGCTTTGTAGTCTTTCATTTAGTGTTGTGTTACACCGAGTCCCCTGTAGCTGTCAGCAGTGCTTTCATGTTCTTCTCCAAACAGTTTAATACGTATTGCTAATGCTCGCTGCTTAGACCGAAGAGCTGCTTTGTAGTCTTTCATTTGGTGTTGTGTTACACCGAGTTCCTTGTAGCTGTCAGCAGTGCTTTCATGTTCTTCTCCAAACAGTGTAATACGTATTGCTAATGCTCGCTGGTGAGCCTGAAGAGCTGCTTTGTAGTCTTTCACTTGGTGTTGTGTTACACCGAGTCCCCTGTAGCTATCAGCAGTGCTTTTATGTTCTTCTCCAAACAGTTTAATACGTATTGCTAATGCTCGCTGGAGAGACTGAAGAGCTGCTTTGTAGTCTTTCATTTCGTGTTGTGTTACACCGAGTCCCCTGTAGCTATCAGCAGTGCTTTCATGTTCTTCTCCAAACAGTTTATTACGTATTGCTAATGCTCGCTGCTCAGACCGAAGAGCTGCTTTGTAGTCTTTCATTTGGTGTTGTGTTACACCGAGTCCCCTGTAGCTGTCAGCAGTGCTTTCATGTTCTTCTCCAAACAGTTTAATACGTATTGCTAATGCTCGCTGGAGAGACTGAAGAGCTGCTTTGTAGTCTTTCATTTGGTGTTGTGTTACACCGAGTCCCCTGTAGCTGTCAGCAGTGCTTTCATGTTCTTCTCCAAACAGTTTAATACGTATCGCTAATGCTCGCTGTTTAGACTGAAGAGCTGCTTTGTAGTCTTTCATTTCGTGTTGTGTTACACCTAGTCCCCTGTAGCTCTCAGCAGTGCTTTCATGTTCTTCTCCAAACAGTTTAATACGTATTGCTAATGCACGCTGGAGAGACTGAAGAGCTGCTTTGTAGTCTTTCATTTCGTGTTGTGTTACACCGAGTCCCCTGTAGCTGTCAGCAGTGCTTTCATGTTCTTCTCCAAACAGTTTAATACGTATTGCTAATGCTCGCTGCTCAGACCGAAGAGCTGCTTTGTAGTCTTTCATTTGGTGTTGTGTTACACCGAGTTCCTTGTAGCTGTCAGCAGTGCTTTCATGTTCTTCTCCAAACAGTTTAATACGTATTGCTAATGCTCGCTGATGAGACTGAAGAGCTGCTTTGTAGTCTTTCGTTTGGTGTTGTGCTACTCCGAGGTTGAAGTAGCTGTCAGCAGTGCTTTCATGTTCTTCTCCAAACAGTTTAATACGTATTGCTAATGCTCGCTGTTTACACTGAAGAGCTGCTTTGTAGTCTTTCCTTTGGTGTTGTGTTACACCGAGTTCCTTGTAGCTGTCAGCAGTGCTTTCATGTTCTTCTCTAAACAGTTTAATACGTATTGCTAATGCACGCTGGTGAGCCTGAAGAGCTGCTTTGTAGTCTTTCATTTGGTGTTGTGTTACACCGAGTCCCCTGTAGCTATCAGCAGTGCTTTCATGTTCTTCTCCAAACAGTTTAATACGTATTGCTAATGCTCGCTGTTTAGACTGAAGAACTGCTTTGTAGTCTTTCATTTCGTGTTGTGTTACACCGAGTCCCCTGTAGCTGTCAACAGTGCTTTCATGTTCTTCTCCAAACAGTTTAATACGTATTGCTAATGCTCGCTGGAGAGACTGAAGAGCTGCTTTGTAGTCTTTCATTTGGTGTTGTGTTACACCGAGTCCCCTGTAGCTGTCAGCAGTGCTTTCATGTTCTTCTCCAAATAGTTTAATACGTATTGCTAATGCTCGCTGGTGAGCCTGAAGAGCTGCTTTGTAGTCTTTCACTTGGTGTTGTGTTACACCGAGTCCCCTGTAGCTATCAGCAGTGCTTTTATGTTCTTCTCCAAACAGTTTAATACGTATTGCTAATGCTCGCTGGAGAGACTGAAGAGCTGCTTTGTAGTCTTTCATTTCGTGTTGTGTTACACCGAGTCCCCTGTAGCTATCAGCAGTGCTTTCATGTTCTTCTCCAAACAGTTTATTACGTATTGCTAATGCTCGCTGCTCAGACCGAAGAGCTGCTTTGTAGTCTTTCATTTGGTGTTGTGTTACACCGAGTCCCCTGTAGCTGTCAGCAGTGCTTTCATGTTCTTCTCCAAACAGTTTAATACGTATTGCTAATGCTCGCTGGAGAGACTGAAGAGCTGCTTTGTAGTCTTTCATTTGGTGTTGTGTTACACCGAGTCCCCTGTAGCTGTCAGCAGTGCTTTCATGTTCTTCTCCAAACAGTTTAATACGTATCGCTAATGCTCGCTGTTTAGACTGAAGAGCTGCTTTGTAGTCTTTCATTTCGTGTTGTGTTACACCTAGTCCCCTGTAGCTCTCAGCAGTGCTTTCATGTTCTTCTCCAAACAGTTTAATACGTATTGCTAATGCACGCTGGAGAGACTGAAGAGCTGCTTTGTAGTCTTTCATTTCGTGTTGTGTTACACCGAGTCCCCCTGTAGCTGTCAGCAGTGCTTTCATGTTCTTCTCCAAACAGTTTAATACGTATTGCTAATGCTCGCTGCTCAGACCGAAGAGCTGCTTTGTAGTCTTTCATTTGGTGTTGTGTTACACCGAGTTCCTTGTAGCTGTCAGCAGTGCTTTCATGTTCTTCTCCAAACAGTTTAATACGTATTGCTAATGCTCGCTGATGAGACTGAAGAGCTGCTTTGTAGTCTTTCGTTTGGTGTTGTGCTACTCCGAGGTTGAAGTAGCTGTCAGCAGTGCTTTCATGTTCTTCTCCAAACAGTTTAATACGTATTGCTAATGCTCGCTGTTTACACTGAAGAGCTGCTTTGTAGTCTTTCCTTTGGTGTTGTGTTACACCGAGTTCCTTGTAGCTGTCAGCAGTGCTTTCATGTTCTTCTCTAAACAGTTTAATACGTATTGCTAATGCACGCTGGTGAGCCTGAAGAGCTGCTTTGTAGTCTTTCATTTGGTGTTGTGTTACACCGAGTCCCCTGTAGCTATCAGCAGTGCTTTCATGTTCTTCTCCAAACAGTTTAATACGTATTGCTAATGCTCGCTGTTTAGACTGAAGAACTGCTTTGTAGTCTTTCATTTCGTGTTGTGTTACACCGAGTCCCCTGTAGCTGTCAACAGTGCTTTCATGTTCTTCTCCAAACAGTTTAATACGTATTGCTAATGCTCGCTGGAGAGACTGAAGAGCTGCTTTGTAGTCTTTCATTTGGTGTTGTGTTACACCGAGTCCCCTGTAGCTGTCAGCAGTGCTTTCATGTTCTTCTCCAAATAGTTTAATACGTATTGCTAATGCTCGCTGGAGAGACTGAAGAGCTGCTTTGTAGTCTTTCATTTGGTGTTGTGTTACACCGAGTCCCTTGTAGCTGTCAGCAGTGCTTTCATGTTCTTCTCCAAACAGTTTAATACGTATCGCTAATGCTCGCTGTTTAGACTGAAGAGCTGCTTTGTAGTCTTTCATTTGGTGTTGTGTTACACCGAGTTCCTTGTAGCTGTCAGCAGTGCTTTCATGTTCTTCTCCAAACAGTTTAATACGTATTGCTAATGCTCGCTGTTTAGACTGAAGAGCTGCTTTGTAGTCTTTCATTTAGTGTTGTGTTACACCGAGTCCCCTGTAGCTGTCAGCAGTTCTTTCATGTTCTTTTCCAAACACTTTAATACGTATTGCTAATGCTCGCTGCTCAGACCGAAGAGCTGCTTTGTAGTCTTTCATTTGGTGTTGTGTTACACCGAGTCCCCTGTAGCTGTCAGCAGTGCCTTCATGTTCTTCTCCAAATAGTTTAATACGTATTGCTAATGCTCGCTGGAGAGACTGAAGAGCTGCTTTGTAGTCTTTCATTTGGTGTTGTGTTACACCGAGTCCCTTGTAGCTGTCAGCAGTGCTTTCATGTTCTTCTCCAAACAGTTTAATACGTATTGCTAATGCTCGCTGTTTACACTGAAGAGCTGCTTTGTAGTCTTTCCTTTGGTGTTGTGTTACACCGAGTTCCTTGTAGCTGTCAGCAGTGCTTTCATGTTCTTCTCCAAACAGTTTAATACGTATTGCTAATGCACGCTGGTGAGCCTGAAGAGCTGCTTTGTAGTCTTTCATTTGGTGTTGTGTTACACCGAGTCCCCTGTAGCTATCAGCAGTGCTTTCATGTTCTTCTCCAAACAGTTTAATACGTATTGCTAATGCTCGCTGTTTAGACTGAAGAACTGCTTTGTAGTCTTTCATTTCGTGTTGTGTTACACCGAGTCCCCTGTAGCTGTCAACAGTGCTTTCATGTTCTTCTCCAAACAGTTTAATACGTATTGCTAATGCTCGCTGGAGAGACTGAAGAGCTGCTTTGTAGTCTTTCATTTGGTGTTGTGTTACTCCGAGTCCCCTGTAGCTGTCAGCAGTGCTTTCATGTTCTTCTCCAAATAGTTTAATACGTATTGCTAATGCTCGCTGGAGAGACTGAAGAGCTGCTTTGTAGTCTTTCATTTGGTGTTGTGTTACACCGAGTCCCTTGTAGCTGTCAGCAGTGCTTTCATGTTCTTCTCCAAACAGTTTAATACGTATCGCTAATGCTCGCTGTTTAGACTGAAGAGCTGCTTTGTAGTCTTTCATTTGGTGTTGTGTTACACCGAGTCCCCTCTAGCTGTCAGCAGTGCTTTCATGTTCTTCTCCAAACAGTTTAATACGTATTGCTAATGCTCGCTGTTTAGACTGAAGAGCTGCTTTGTAGTCTTTCATTTGGTGTTGTGTTACACCGAGTCCCCTGTAGCTGTCAGCAGTGCTTTCATGTTCTTCTCCAAACAGTTTAATACGTATTGCTAATGCTCGCTGTTTACACTGAAGAGCTGCTTTGTAGTCTTTCATTTGGTGTTGTGTTACACCGAGTCCCCTGTAGCTGTCAGGAGTGCTTTCATGTTCTTCTCCAAACAGTTTAATACATATTGCTAATGCACGCTGGAGAGACTGAAGAGCTGCTTTGTAGTCTTTCATTTCGTGTTGTGTTACACCGAGTCCCCTCTAGCTATCAGCAGTGCTTTCATGTTCTTCTCCAAACAGTTTAATACGTATTGCTAATGCTCGCTGGAGAGACTGAAGAGCTGCTTTGTAGTCTTTCATTTAGTGTTGTGTTACACCGAGTCCCCTGTAGCTGTCAGCAGTGCTTTCATGTTCTTCTCCAAACAGTTTAATACGTATTGCTAATGCTCGCTGCTTAGACCGAAGAGCTGCTTTGTAGTCTTTCATTTGATGTTGTGTTACACCGAGTTCCTTGTAGCTGTCAGCAGTGCTTTCATGTTCTTCTCCAAACAGTTTAATACGTATTGCTAATGCTCGCTGGTGAGCCTGAAGAGCTGCTTTGTAGTCTTTCACTTAGTGTTGTGTTACACCGAGTCCCCTGTAGCTATCAGCAGTGCTTTTATGTTCTTCTCCAAACAGTTTAATACGTATTGCTAATGCTCGCTGGAGAGACTGAAGAGCTGCTTTGTAGTCTTTCATTTCGTGTTGTGTTACACCGAGTCCCCTGTAGCTATCAGCAGTGCTTTCATGTTCTTCTCCAAACAGTTTATTACGTATTGCTAATGCTCGCTGGAGAGACTGAAGAGCTGCTTTGTAGTCTTTCATTTGGTGTTGTGTTACACCGAGTCCCCTGTAGCTGTCAGCAGTGCTTTCATGTTCTTCTCCAAACAGTTTAATACGTATCGCTAATGCTCGCTGTTTAGACTGAAGAGCTGCTTTGTAGTCTTTCATTTCGTGTTGTGTTACACCGAGTCCCCTGTAGCTGTCAGCAGTGCTTTCATGTTCTTCTCCAAACAGTTTAATACGTATTGCTAATGCACGCTGGAGAGACTGAAGAGCTGCTTTGTAGTCTTTCATTTCGTGTTGTGTTACACCGAGTCCCCTGTAGCTGTCAGCAGTGCTTTCATGTTCTTCTCCAAACAGTTTAATACGTATTGCTAATGCTCGCTGCTCAGACCGAAGAACTGCTTTGTAGTCTTTCATTTGGTGTTGTGTTACACCGAGTCCCCTGTAGCTGTCAGCAGTGCTTTCATGTTCTTCTCCAAACAGTTTAATACGTATTGCTAATGCTCGCTGGAGAGACTGAAGAGCTGCTTTGTAGTCTTTCATTTGGTGTTGTGTTACACCGAGTCCCCTGTAGCTGTCAGCAGTGCTTTCATGTTCTTCTCCAAACAGTTTAATACGTATCGCTAATGCTCGCTGTTTAGACTGAAGAGCTGCTTTGTAGTCTTTCATTTCGTGTTGTGTTACACCGAGTCCCCTGTAGCTGTCAGCAGTGCTTTCATGTTCTTCTCCAAACAGTTTAATACGTATTGCTAATGCACGCTGGAGAGACTGAAGAGCTGCTTTGTAGTCTTTCATTTCGTGTTGTGTTACACCGAGTCCCCTGTAGCTGTCAGCAGTGCTTTCATGTTCTTCTCCAAACAGTTTAATACGTATTGCTAATGCTCGCTGCTCAGACCGAAGAGCTGCTTTGTAGTCTTTCATTTGGTGTTGTGTTACACCGAGTTCCTTGTAGCTGTCAGCAGTGCTTTCATGTTCTTCTCCAAACAGTTTAATACGTATTGCTAATGCTCGCTGATGAGACTGAAGAGCTGCTTTGTAGTCTTTCGTTTGGTGTTGTGCTACTCCGAGGTTGAAGTAGCTGTCAGCAGTGCTTTCATGTTCTTCTCCAAACAGTTTAATACGTATTGCTAATGCTCGCTGTTTACACTGAAGAGCTGCTTTGTAGTCTTTCCTTTGGTGTTGTGTTACACCGAGTTCCTTGTAGCTGTCAGCAGTGCTTTCATGTTCTTCTCCAAACAGTTTAATACGTATTGCTAATGCACGCTGGTGAGCCTGAAGAGCTGCTTTGTAGTCTTTCATTTGGTGTTGTGTTACACCGAGTCCCCTGTAGCTATCAGCAGTGCTTTCATGTTCTTCTCCAAACAGTTTAATACGTATTGCTAATGCTCGCTGTTTAGACTGAAGAACTGCTTTGTAGTCTTTCATTTGGTGTTGTGTTACACCGAGTTCCTTGTAGCTGTCAGCAGTGCTTTCATGTTCTTCTCCAAACAGTTTAATACGTATTGCTAATGCTCGCTGCTCAGACCGAAGAGCTGCTTTGTAGTCTTTCATTTGGTGTTGTGTTACACCGAGTTCCTTGTAGCTGTCAGCAGTGCTTTCATGTTCTTCTCCAAACAGTTTAATACGTATTGCTAATGCTCGCTGATGAGACTGAAGAGCTGCTTTGTAGTCTTTCGTTTGGTGTTGTGCTACTCCGAAGTTGAAGTAGCTGTCAGCAGTGCTTTCATGTTCTTCTCCAAACAGTTTAATACGTATTGCTAATGCTCGCTGTTTACACTGAAGAGCTGCTTTGTAGTCTTTCCTTTGGTGTTGTGTTACACAGAGTTCCTTGTAGCTGTCAGCAGTGCTTTCATGTTCTTCTCCAAACAGTTTAATACGTATTGCTAATGCACGCTGGTGAGCCTGAAGAGCTGCTTTGTAGTCTTTCATTTGGTGTTGTGTTACACCGAGTCCCCTGTAGCTGTCAGCAGTGCTTTCATGTTCTTCTCCAAACACTTTAATACGTATTGCTAATGCTCGCTGTTTACACTGAAGAGCTGCTTTTTAGTCTTTCATTTGGTGTTGTGTTACACCGAGTCCCCTGTAGCTGTCAGCAGTGCTTTCATGTTCTTCTCCAAACAGTTTAATACGTATTGCTAATGCACGCTGGAGAGACTGAAGAGCTGCTTTGTAGTCTTTCATTTCGTGTTGTGTTACACCGAGTCCCCTCTAGCTATCAGCAGTGCTTTCATGTTCTTCTCCAAACAGTTTAATACGTATTGCTAATGCTCGCTGGAGAGACTGAAGAGCTGCTTTGTAGTCTTTCATTTAGTGTTGTGTTACACCGAGTCCCCTGTAGCTGTCAGCAGTGCTTTCATGTTCTTCTCCAAACAGTTTAATACGTATTGCTAATGCTCGCTGCTTAGACCGAAGAGCTGCTTTGTAGTCTTTCATTTGGTGTTGTGTTACACCGAGTTCCTTGTAGCTGTCAGCAGTGCTTTCATGTTCTTCTCCAAACAGTTTAATACGTATTGCTAATGCTCGCTGATGAGACTGAAGAGCTGCTTTGTAGTCTTTCGTTTGGTATTGTGCTACTCCGAAGTTGAAGTAGCTGTCAGCAGTGCTTTCATGTTCTTCTCCAAACAGTTTAATACGTATTGCTAATGCACGCTGGTGAGCCTGAAGAGCTGCTTTGTAGTCTTTCACTTGGTGTTGTGTTATACCGAGTCCCCTGTAGCTATCAGCAGTGCTTTTATGTTCTTCTCCAAACAGTTTAATACGTATTGCTAATGCTCGCTGGAGAGACTGAAGAGCTGCTTTGTAGTCTTTCATTTCGTGTTGTGTTACACCGAGTCCCCTGTAGCTATCAGCAGTGCTTTCATGTTCTTCTCCAAACAGTTTAATACGTATTGCTAATGCTCGTTGCTCAGACCGAAGAGCTGCTTTGTAGTCTTTCATTTGGTGTTGTGTTACACCGAGTCCCCTGTAGCTGTCAGCAGTGCTTTCATGTTCTTCTCCAAACAGTTTAATACGTATTGCTAATGCTCGCTGGAGAGACTGAAGAGCTGCTTTGTAGTCTTTCATTTGGTGTTGTGTTACACCGAGTCCCCTGTAGCTGTCAGCAGTGCTTTCATGTTCTTCTCCAAACAGTTTAATACGTATCGCTAATGCTCGCTGTTTAGACTGAAGAGCTGCTTTGTAGTCTTTCATTTCGTGTTGTGTTACACCGAGTCCCTTGTAGCTGTCAGCAGTGCTTTCATGTTCTTCTCCAAACAGTTTAATACGTATTGCTAATGCTCGCTGGAGAGACTGAAGAGCTGCTTTGTAGTCTTTCATTTCGTGTTGTGTTACACCGAGTCCTTCGTAGCTGTCAGCAGTGCTTTCATGTTCTTCTCCAAACAGTTTAATACGTATTGCTAATGCTCGCTGTTTAGACTGAAGAGCTGCTTTGTAGTCTTTCATTTCGTGTTGTGTTACACCGAGTCCCCTGTAGCTGTCAGCAGTGCTTTCATGTTCTTCTCCAAACAGTTTAATATGTATCGCTAATGCTCGCTGTATAGACTGAAGAGCTGCTTTGTAGTCTTTCATTTCGTGTTTTGTTACACCGAGTCCCCTGTAGCTGTCAGCAGTGCTTTCATGTTCTTCTCCAAACAGTTTAATACGTATTGCTAATGCACGCTGTTGAGCCTGAAGAGCTGCTTTGTAGTCTTTCATTTGGTGTTGTGTTACACCGAGTCCCCTGTAGCTGTCAGCAGTGCTTTCATGTTCGTCTCCAAACAGTTTAATACGTATTGCTAATGCTCGCTGTTTAGACTGAAGAGCTGCTTTGTAGTCTTTCATTTCGTGTTGTGTTACACCGAGTTCCCTGTAGCTATCAGCAGTGCTTTCATGTTCTTCTCCAAACAGTTTAATACGTATTGCTAATGCTCGCTGTTTAGACTGAAGAGCTGCTTTGTAGTCTTTCATTTCGTGTTGTGTTACACCGAGTTCCTTGTAGCTATCAGCAGTGCTTTCATGTTCTTCTCCAAACAGTTTAATACGTATTGCTAATGCTCGCTGGAGAGACTGAAGAGCTGCTTTGTAGTCTTTCATTTCGAGTTGTGTTACACCGAGTCCCCTGTAGCTGTCAGCAGTGCTTTCATGTTCTTCTCCAAACAGTTTAATGACGGCTTCTTGATAGTTTTTTAATCTGGCCGCGTAGAGGTTTTGATCCGGGTGTTCACCTCTTAAATGCGACTTTAAATGTGTCACAAGGACGGTGTTGTGAAAAGTTAGCAATCCGGGAGTAATTTGAACCTGTCTTTCGATATTCTCTGCGATTTGGAGAAGTGTATTGCTTAAACATTGCTTGGTGTTAGCATCAGCAAAACTTCTTGTTGCTTTGCTTAACAGAAAAATTATTTCACATTTCAGTGGTTGACTTAGCAAGATATCCGAGTTTTTGTGAAGTTTTACTTCATTGATAGATTCCTTGCTTTTGCTTTTCATTGACGGGATAATAAGCAGTTGCCAATCCCTCATTGCACTACAGTGGTGGATTGCTTTGTCATAGAAGGTAGTTGCACTGGAGAGGTCGTTAAGGGACTGAAAATAAACAGCAAGTATCTGAAAAATAGCCATCTCCAGAATGCGTTTTTCTGCGCCGTGACAATTTTCGAGTGACAATAGCGCCTCTTTTAAGAACTGCACTCCATTATTCGTTTCTTCTGTAACAAATTGATAGATTCCCATATAGCACAAGTATTTGCCTTTTTCCAGGTTAGGAACAAGGGAAGCTGCAGCTTGAAGCTCATTCACTTTTGAGAGAAGATGTCTTGTCATTCCTTTTTGTCCCCAGGTCACCTCACCGAAAGCTCTGGAGGAAAGTAGTTGTCTGTAGTGTTTGTCTTTCTTTTGCAGATTAGCTGCCTTTATGGCCGTGTCATATATGTAAAAAAAGTTTTCTGCTTCGCTGGCATTCCAAAAGAGCGAGTCAAGAAATATCTCTCCTTTCACCAGTACATCATAAACGCTGTTAGCTCTATCGGAATCTAAACAGCTCTCTACTACACTTTCAATGATGTTCTTCTTATTTTCATAGAATTCAATATATGCTGCCATTGAGTTCCCGGTAAGAAATTGTTCATTGAGCTTCTCAAGAAGGGAAACGTAGTACGCTTTCAAACGACTCTTTGAGTTTAGCAAGGTATCTCTCATCTCTCTTTCTCCCTTCTCTCTTGCAAATGATTGCAGGAGCCTGTGCATTGTGAATGTTCCCGGTTTAGAGCTTGAGTCAATGAGAGACTTTCTTCGAAGGCTTCCTAATATCTTCGTGGTTTCCATAGGCCCTGTGTCACTTAAAACGGCTGCAGCTACTTCTGTACTGAAACTGTCAGGAAGAATGCTTAAGGATATAAGTGCATCTTTTTCTTGCATGGTGAGTTTCTTGAAAGAAGAATCAAACAACAACTTTATTCGGTGACGAGTTGGGTAATCTGGATTGTTTAACATTTCGATGATACGGTTTTCTGAGGGGGACAACATGAGGTCATCTATAATCTGGCGTGGTTGAGCACTATCTTCAGATATCAAAGAACACATTAACTTCATGGCTAAAGGAACCTGTCCGCAGATTTGCGCGATTTGTGTACAGTCTGTAGTGCTTGTATTTGGAAGCAACTCAGAAACTAGGGTATTAGCTGAGGCTTTATCTAATGGCCTTATTCTTAAACCCTTATGACCTTGAAAATGAAGGTTCATATACTCAAGAGACTCTCTTGTGGTCACGACGAAAGTCACCATTTGATTTCGCCTTAGAATCTCTTCGAGAAGTTGCATGACCTCTTCCTTTGCGTTCGGCGAACCACTTTCTAACAAATCATCGAAGTTATCAAGGATAAACGCAGACGGATTTGACACACTGCTGAAAAGTTGCCAGACCTCTTCATCGATGGACAGACGCTGACGAGAAGGTTGTTTTATTGTGGTAAGTTGCCTCAAAAAGCTAAGAAATTTTGAAGCTAAATCTGCTTTAGAACGGATTCCTCTTAGAGAGAACCAATACACAGGCTTTCCCTGAGACTTGAGGGCGTGTCCAACCGCAATCGCAACTGATGTTTTTCCGAATCCAGGTGTACCCCAAATTGACACCAGTCGGACAGACTCAGAAGACACGTGTCCGATGATATCCTCACACTCACTCTGGCGCCCAGTAAAATTAGGAACCACTGAGGGAAGGGAAGCTCCAAGGAGAGATGACCTCACACCTTTCAAAAAACGAAAGTAAAACTAATTTGAAGATAAGTGCAAATATCTAAACAAATAAACAAATCGACTTGGATTAAAGATTGATCTAGAATCTATCACATGCTGCCATGGACCGTTAGAAATGTCTTTCTTGGAAGAGAGAAAAACAAGATCCATAAGCTAAGTGATGAAGATTTAAACAGGGATGCCTAGCTGGCTGGAATTAGCAATAGACTGCCAGCATCCTTTGCAGCCATTTCTGATCCCAAAACCTTCTTGGCAGTTGACTTTTCCCCAGTCCTCCCAAGCTTCGACTCAACTGGCTTACAGTCTTGATTAGCGCGCACAAGTGCTCTTTTGTCTTACTCAAAAGCGTGACAAGCGAGGCACTCGAATCATGACACGTAGCACTTAAGCGTGTTTATATCACCAGCTACGCAGGCTAGGAGCCACTTCGCCTCAAAAAGTTTTGTTATTTGCATGGGCCACTTCTATAGAGAAATTACATAGCGTTCGATCTGTTTTTAAATGACAAGTGTGTGTCTGATCAAGTTTTAACCCCTATTGATAATCAAAATATTTACTTTTACGTAACATAACGCTCATAACATTTTAAGTACAACTATTGTGACATTTAACCGCGGTAGGACTAGCCCGCCAGTCGGTAGAGCGCTTGACTGCAGAGCGATAGGTCGCAGGTTCGATCCCCAGAGCTGGACAGGTCAGAGTCAGGGTCTCAAAATAACTGAGAAATGCCGCCCTTGCACTGAAAAAGGTTAACCTTTGCGTGGAAGCAGACAGACTAGCCTGCGTAGCAGGTGCTTGTAATTATAGCAATATGGGCGCAAGAAAGAAGGCGTCCCGTTCTTTCTCTTGCTCATATTACTTACAAGATATCGTTTCAGTCAATCATTTCATACCTGAATATCCAGCTGGTGCAGCACGTTCATCTTGTCCTGATTTCAACTCATTTATCCTTTCCTGCAACCTGGCAATAACTCCACTACTGGCAGTGTCCTCAACGCATATCTGCTTTAAAACCTTGATATCTGAACTTGCACCGTCGAGAATCGCAGCGTAATCCACTTGTGCTCCTGTAGCAATATGTTGGGTGTCTTCCTTCTTTGTCTCTTGCATAGAATGCAATAACGCCTTTATCTCACTGATATCTGAACTCACTTCTTGGAGAAATTTAATGTACGCTCGAGTCTCGTCTCTTAGTCTCATTTCCAATATGCGAACTTCATTTGTGGGAAAGTCGGACCCCGTCAAACTACCAACAGCTTCAATTTGGGCTGTCGAGACACCAAGGGCTTTAAACGCATCTTTGGCGTAATTCACGCGCTGATCAAAGGTCGCTTTGTCCATCTCAGAATTTTTCGAGTGGCAAAGTGAATTCCTAAGACGACGAAGCTGATCAATTGCAAGAGCAAAGGTCTCCGCCTTGTTTCCACCCGGGCTGAGCACATTTGCGTGGAAACTATCATGAGGTATAGCGCGCGGTTTCACGTACAAATCACTGAGTGTGGTGAAGGAGCCTGCGCTGGCTGGTAAGGCAAATGACCGCGCAAATATTGTAGCCTGGAAGAGATTGGTGCAATCCCAATCATTGTAAGACTGGTGAATAGCAACTTTAGTCTTACCACCTTCTGTAGTGGCAAATAAATTTCTCACAACAGGTGAATCATCCCAGAGCTGGAAACCAGGGCGACCTCCATAGGTGTTGTCCCACATGGTTTTAAAGGTCTTCCGTAAGACTTTTGGAAATTCATTTAATACTAACGAGGAGAACTTAAAAAAGTTCAGTTGCTCGTAGCTAAACGGCTGTAATGTCATCTGTGATGGTCGGTGATTAAACCCGTCAATGGAAGAACTAGAATGTAGTAAAAAAAAATCAGATTAATGGACAGATTTTAGCAGGAATTTCTGCCTGGAATAAATAAGGCACGTACGGGTGTTAATACGATAAGAAATAGGCCAAATTTGAAGGTAACGTAAATCTACATTCATATCGTTTCGTAGTTGAGGGATGTTGCAAGCAGTGAAAGTCAAATTAGTATCATCTGCGTATATTCGTGTGGTAGCATAATCAATTATATTACAAAGATCATTTATATATATTAAAAACAAAAGTGGCCCAAGTATCGGACCCCGGGGAACACCACATTTTAAAACGGATTTATCGGAGAGTATTCCGTTAATATATACAACCTCAAATCTGTTAAACAGATAAGATTTAAACCATTCTAACTGGCGGCCACGAGCTCCGATATACTCTAAATTTCGTCAGTAGGAGATCGTGATCTACTGTGTCGAAGGCTTTTTTAAGGTCCAGAAATAAACTCCACTTATTCTTTCCTTGTCTATGCTGTAGTTCAAATTTTTTTTCTTTGGATTGATTTTTTTTTAACTGGTTTAAATTTTTCAAACTAGTGTGAAATTTTTAAACTGGTTGAAAATTTTTAGACACACCACTCATTCTCATTTATTTGTATCTCTGCATGTAAAATACACTTGTGATATTAAGGTGTCACACAATTTAGCAAGTGTTTATTTTAGTTTGATCACGTTTACATGATAGGTGGGGTGACCCGCCAAGGCGGGTAGCCCGGTCTGCCAGATCAGGTAACCCTCTCAGCCAGGGTCAAATTTTGCCATGTAAACGTTTCTAGGTGGGGTAACCCGCCTAGCCGGGGTGGGATTGGTGATACATTTAAATTTACGCAAAATAAACTTTGGTGGTGGCTTTGCATGGTTACCCCACCTTGGGCTCATTGTTATGCATTTATTTCAAGCGTCTGCATGAAGTACAACGACTGATATCGACATGTTTAAAGATATTCAAACTAGATAAAAGATGAGCACATAATTTTTGCGAGCAAAATGTTTATTCAAAAGTAACAAACGGGCTCTGAATCAAACCTTGTTTCAGTGATTTGGAAATCTTTTGAAATTTCAACCAAATTTAATACCAAAACTCTTTGTACTGTAATGGGTAATTGGGTTACGAAGTGTAACGTGATGCTGCATACTGCTTTCCAAAGATGGGGCTGCCATATTTGGGCTTGTCGAGAGCGTGAGAGCGGATTGGACCGAGTGTGTCGGTGAAGCGGTAGGAATAAAAACTGTGCAAACTTGTCATTATCGTAGTATGTTTTATTCGCTGAACCCATGGAGCGTAACACTGGTGTCAGGAGTTGGAATAAGCAACACGAATATGGCCGATGAAAGCGTGGAAATCATTGTAAAAACTCAGGATGACGGCGAAGAGGACGAAGCTACCTCGCCAACAGCGTGTTCGGGGGCGAGTATGGACGATATCTTACAGGTTCTGCACTTGTTAGGAAAACAGAACAATGGAATAGAAAACAAAATGCAGCAACAGGGATTGAAAATCGAGTCTCAAGTACAGGAAATATCGCAGCGCTTCGAAGAATTGTGCACACGAGTAAATACGCAGGCAACTCAACTAAAGAGCGGGCTCAAATTACACGAAGATAGACTGACAGTGAAAATGAACGCTTTGGAGGAAGAATTCACACAAAAGGTAAACTCTCTCGATTCTAAACAAAGTTTATTCTAAGAAGATGTTAAGGAACGGCTTAAGGAAACACAAGAGAGCTTTAATTTGCGACTGGAAAAAGCATTAACGAGTTTGGAGGATAAACTGAGCACCTCGCCTTTCGCCGAGTTCGATGCAAGTGCAACCTCAACTCCTTTGAAATCAGGGCTTCAGCCTGAAACACCCAAGTTTTCATCACCATTCTCAGTCTGCAGTGCGGATTCCGAACATAAACGACCGGTTCAAAAACCCCCATCGTTTGACGGCAAATCGCAGTGGGAGAAATCGTTGCTGGAATGAGTCAATGAAACGACGAGCAAAAAAGGGAACTATCTTGCGACGAGCCTTAAGGAGCCTGCCTTATCTCTCCTAGGAAATCTTTCCCCAAGCACTGGACAAGATTACAAGGAGCTAGTTCCGGCTCTTGAGAGCAGGTTCTGATCGGCGCACCAACAAGAGCTTCTCGCTCTAAATTTAAGAGTAGAGTGAGACGCCGCGAAGAGGCTTTACAAGAACTAGCCAAGGATTTAGAGCGCTTGTTAAGGCTAGCTTACCCTCTCGCCCCAGAAGGGATCAAGGACCTATTAGCAAAGGAGCAATTCACTGACGCGATCCTGGACGGAGATGCCAGAAGTCTGAAGCAGAGTCGGCCCCAATCTCTCTGGGCTGCTCTGACGCTAGCTATGGAACTGGAATCGTACTTACTAGCCTCCTGCCAAAGGGAATTTCCTGTTCGAGGCATTTAATGTGGTGCAGCAGAAGGGGGTTCAACTGATGAGCCTGATCGCGAGAAATCCCAGCGGGATGGTGTACTTGCAAAAGTAAAAGGACTGCTCACTCAAGTGGTACCCTCCCAAAGCTTCAGGCCTCCACAGTGCTGGGCTTGTGGGAAAAGGGGCCTCCTGAAACGAGACTGTTGGAAGGTTGGAAGAAATAGAGCAAGAGATATGTAGAACCAGAATTTTCCCAACCAGGCCGACCTTTAGGGGGCAAGACCGGCCCACTAAACAATCAGTATAATTCCACAAGTCATGTTGAGGGCTGGACGACTGTCTCATAATGAGGGAAGTCTTATCGTAAGCACAGACATCGAAGGAGTGATGTGTCCAGTGGTCGTTGAAACAGGCTCCAACGTCACAGTAGTTCGTCCAGACGAGTTAAGCAAGCAGACACTCTCATCTACGTGTCACTAACAATGTCCTCAAAACTGCAACAGGAGAAACAGCGGACGTGTGTGGAAAACTGAGGCTTTGGGTCAGGATTGGGGGGACGCAAGTCTCTCATGAAGTTTTGGTTGCAAATATTTCCTAGATGGTTATATTAGGCCTAGATGTCCTGATGGCCCATGGTAGTACCGTCGATACAGGAGCATGAAGCGGACGAAATGGAGCAGAGGAAGTTCCCCTTCATAAGCCTTTACCCAGCGAACAAGCCCGCTGCTATAGAGTGACAGCAGCTGAGGACATTCTGATCTTACTTAACAGCGAGGCCATTGAGGCGGCTAAGATTATAGACAACGCTCTTTGCGAACCATGGGGAACAATAGGCCCATCCATCACTGTTATGCTCCCACCAGACGTGATGGTGGGTAAGACACTGTTCGATGCCCAAAACGATTATGTCCCGGTGAGGGTGGCTAACCTCTCTGGTGAGCCAAGGAAAGTTTGTAGCGGCACGGAGGTGGCAAGTTGTGAACCTGTACAAAGTGTCCTTCACCAGCAGCTCGAATTTGGCCCAAGAGACAGGAGGCAACTAACCAGATCACCTCAAGGACCTCTATACCCGAAGAGCTGGGGGATTAAGTGACGGACAACACCTTCAGCTGCTCGAGCTTTTGTGCGAATTTCAAGACATCTTTTCAACAGGACCGCAAGATCTGGGAAGGACTGGGTAAACGAAACATGTGATAGACACAGGCGTCGCTGCCCCTGTTCGTCAGCCCCCGAGAAGATAGCCATTAGTACAACGCGAGGAAGCCCGTAAAGCTATTGAGGAGATGCATCAGCAAGGAATAATCGAGCCTTCTAACAGCCCGTGATGGTAGCCAGTAGTCCTAGTGAAAAAGAAAGAGGGGTACGCTAGGTTCTGTGTCGATTACCTCAAACTGAATGACCTCACCAAAAAGAACTCTTATCCCTTGCCAAGGATCAACAACACCCTCGACGAACTCTCCGGTTCCTCGTGGTTTTCCACGTTGGATTGTAAAAGTGGCTACTGGCAGGTGGAAGTGGCTCAAAAGGACCGTGAGAAGACAGCCTTCACAGCAGGGAACGGACTCTGGCAGTAAAATGTAATGGCTTTCGGTCTGCGTAACGCACTGGACACGTTCGAACGCCTGATGGATACCCTCCTTGGGGACCTTAGGTGCTTAATCTACCTTGACGACATAATTTTTCACCCTATGACCTTTGACTTGGAGCTGAGACGCTTGAGACTTGTGTTCTTCCGTCTACGAGCAGTAAACCTGAAGTTGAGTCCTAAGAAATGCGAACTTTTTCGACAGAAAGTTAAGTTTCTTGGCCCTGGGTCTGTGAGGATGGAGTTACCACAGATTCTGACAAAGTAAAGGCTGTTCAAAACTGACCGGTGCCACACAATGCTAAGGCTGTTGTGAGGTTTTTTGGCTTATGTAACTATTACCGCCGGTGTGTCTGTTCGTTCTCCGATGTCGCCCGTCCTCTGCATCAACTTTGTGAGAAAGGCCAACCCTTTGAGTGGACAAAGTAAAGCAATGATTCGTTTCAGCAACTCAAAGCTGCTCTTGTGTCTGCCACCGTGCTTGCGTACCCCCACAGCGCAGAACCCTTTCCACTAGACACTGATGCCAGTAATGTTGGCATAGGGACAGTTCTTTCTCAAGTTCACTATGGCGACGAACGAGTGATAGCCTATTATAGCCGTGCACTCAGTAAACCTCAACGCAATTACTGTACAACAAGGCGTAAACTTCTGGCAGTGTTCCGAGCAATTGAGAACTTCCACCCTTACCTCTATGGCAGAAAGTTTACTGTGAGAACTGACCACGCCTCTTTACAATGGCTGCTTTCATTCAAGAACTTGGAGGGACAATTGGCAAGGTGGCTGCAAAAACTGCAGAGCTATGATTTCTGTATTGCATATCGGGCAGGAAAGATTCATCAGAATGCAGACGCATTGTCGCGGCGACCCTGTTTGGGGACAAATTGCGTTTACTGCCAGCGTCAAGAGGAGAGAGAATTCCCTGAGGGTGACCTAGGTAGCAAGGCAAATGACGCTTTGACCGTCGAAACGCCCAATCGTGTCGTCAGAGAGCTGCAGTCTAGCTCCAGCATTCCTGAGGAGGGGAAACAGGAGAAACGAGCAAAAAACCTACTAGAAGACAGCCAATGGACACCACTACAATTGCACACCAGAGTGGCCTGCCGTTGCCCATTTTGACTTGTCACCGAGGCATACTGGGCACAATGGGATTCCCTTTTTCTAAAGGAGGGCGTGCTGTATCACCGGTGGGAATCTCCTGAACTTGGTGAGGAGACATGGCAGCTTGCAGTCTATACAGCACTTCGCGCCAACGTGCAAAAACTACCCCATGATGGTCCAGTGGGTGGTCCCTTGGGATTGTCTAAGACCCTAGGCAAAGTTCGTCAAAGATTTTACTGGATCCACTGGCGCCGTGACTTTGAAGAATGGTGCTGTAGGTGTAACCTTTGTGCTTCTATTAAGGGCCCAAGAGTGAAGCAGAAATCACCCTTGCTGCTGTACAATACAGGTGAACCTATGGAACGAGTCGCCATCGATATACTGGGGCCTCTTCCCGAGACAGGGCGTGGTAACAAATACATTCTAATTGCAATGGACTATTTCAGTAAATGACCAGAGGCTTACCTGGCTCTCCCGAACCAGGAAGCAGTTACTGTTGCTGACGTACTAGTGTCTCAGTTCTTCACCAGATTTGGCGTGCCCGCTGAGCTTCACTCCGACCAAGGCCAAGTAAGTCTCGGGTGTTTAAGGAAGCATGCTCGTTGCTTGGAATCCATAAGACCAGGATAAGCTGCTTTGCATCCCCAAACTTATGGCATGGCGGAGCGGTACAACCGAGCTTAAGAGAATCAGCTCGCTACTTTTGTTGAGGATCATCAATGTGATTGGGAGCTGCATTTACCTCTCCTGGTAAGGTCCTATCGATCAGCTGTTCACCAGACCACAAGGCTCACCCGTGCCATGCTCATGTTTAGGCGCTAACTGCGTGCTCCCCTGGATCTGCTCATTGGCAGGCCACGTGAAGAATCTGAGAGCTAAAGTCAACTTGAATATGCACAGAGACTGCGAAAATCGCTAGAGACTGCCCATGATTTTGCCAGAGACCATCAGCAGGCCGGTAGCAAACGGGTGAAGAAGCGTTACGACATGCGTACTGTAGCAGACACCTTCAGCAGGGGAGAAATGGTGTTGAGCCGGCCATGGTAAGGGGCGTATGTCGTGGTACATAGAGTAAACGATGTTGTGTACAGGATCCAACGAGGTGCTCGGGCAAAGCCTAAGGTGGTGCACAGGGACAGGCTTTGGAGGTACCGTGGCGAAGCACGTTACCATTAGTTCACGGAAGCACCTAGAGAACCGGTCGAGGGGGTGCCCAAGGAAACGCCCAGCAAGGACAGCCCCTAGCTAGTGATGGCAACAGGAATGCGCCACCCGCCGACACAGGAGGCGAAGAGAAGTACCTCCAGATTCAGAGGCAACCGCTATATGGCCGGTGATGCCAATGTTTTCCAGGAGGGATCCAGGCGTTCTCAAAGGAGCAGAAGTACACCCCAGGGAAACAAAGTTATAATGTTTGCCGTATCAGCCTGCGAGCAAGCTCTCCATTTAATGCGTCAGTCAAAACCAACTTAGCCCAGCCAAATGTAATGCCCCGCAGTGGCACAGGGAGGGGGGGGCTGGGCACAGCTGGATTTGACTGATGCGTAAGGGATATTGAGAGAAGTAACCTGCGAGTGGCACGCAAAAGGAGTCCCGGGACCAGGGTGCGGGGAGAGCTGAGAGCTCAGTCGCAAGTTCGCTTGCCACTCGAAATAGAGACGTTGCTACCAGTCCATAACATTTCTTGGTAGTCGTGCGCGTTCGCTCTTCAGTGAGCCACTGCAGTTTACGTCAGGAATTCCAAGGAAAACTTCAAGTTATTTACATAACGAGCAATGTCTACTATGGCTTCACGTCCCCATATTCACCTTAACAACATTGCGACATTAAAATTCCCCACATACGCATTATACGCGACCGCCAAGTGCACGCTCCGATAGCGTCTTGTTACATATCTTGCTTGGAGCTCGCGCTTTAGTCGAAACACTTTCGGGAGTCTCAAAATTTGACTTTTCCGACAGTTTTGTGTCCAAGAATTCAGTGCAGATACAAAACTTCACAAGCTGGCACTGCAGAAGGGGAAACTTGGTAGACTGCAGTGTGTTTTGTATTGACCGAAATTCTAAACGGGCGCTTTCATAAAACGATGTAAATCTCTAATTTCAAGGTTGACAGATTCTGCTCATTTAAATAATCATATCTTGCTGGCAAACTTCAAATTGCAAAATCTGCTCAATATATTACACACTGGAGATTTTGACCGATCATTTATTACCAAAATCACAGTGTGCAGTTTTCCATTCTTTCCGCAAATTTGGACACAAAATCACGATTTCCCAATTTGGTACAACTGTGGCTTGAACGTCCATTGTTTCACAATGTCTCTGTAAAATTTATCGAAATCGCCCCCAAAACAGCCGAGATATAAGCGTTTTAAAACATTTAGCACAAGCAAAATGGACCATTTTACAATGTGCACTTAGTACCCTCGCCTTCGATTAAAGGTGAAGCTGAGGTTGACCCTGTTCTTATGAAAATTATGCTTGAAAAATACTAGTTTTCATACGAACAGCATGATTTACATGAGAAAGCAGGAATGGGTGTATCAAAACAAGGTCAACTTCAGCTTCGTTTCCCATTCATAAATGTAAAAGGGCCTATTTTGCCCTATGAATTTATTCAGAGATAGCATTAACAATTCATAACGAAAAACCAAAAGAAATTAATTTTTAATGAGTGTCTTTATATCAAAATAAAGACACGGATAAACTTTACGTCCAATTCTTTAGACAAAAATAACCCCAAATCTAAATTTTAGTGCAAGAATGAATCGATCTATATCAGAGATTATGAAGCCGAAAGTGAAAGAAGGTTCGCCAAGTTCTGATGTACTGTTCGTGTGCCAAGCATCATAGTCCAACAACCCATGTGACCGAGCTAACTCCGCGGATTCCCTAGCTGCTTTTTCCCCAGCAGAAATAAAGAAGTAGTTAAATTCATTAGCAAGAGTATCAGTGTTCTTAGTGTAGGGCATGCCGCTTGATTTCTTACGGAGTGCGCGCTTTGGTTTTCCATATTGTCCCGCTATTGTTTTTGTTAGACGAAATTTCCTGGTTAAAGTAATCCTCGACCGACCTAGGTTAGAGGATTTCTTTAAAATAAGAACATTTTGTGTCTATGCATGGCGTAGAGAAGAGAAAGTTTACTTTACAAAATGTCAAGTTACAGACACCGCCGCATTAAGAATATCTCGCTGTAGATCTGGCAAGGACTTAAGAAGACTGTATATTTCACAGCGTATGCATCATCGGAGCACTTGAAGCTTTCTACCGTGAAGAATACAATGAGCACTGTAAAAAAAATTGTGCAAGCTATTTGTTAGACAGGAATAGAAAACTTACCCAAAGTCAGTAAACTCCGTTGATTTCCCCTCTCTGATCAGGACACGCTTATGAATGGTAGCTCTGACAGTCAATAAATCGATACCTGCGCACCTCCTATGAACTGCAAAAATGTTGAAAAAAGTTCCTTAGACAGCAAGGGTGGCGCAGTGGGGAGAGCTCTCGCCTCCCACCCATGGGGCCAGGGTTCATATCCCGGAGTCGACGCTATATGTGGGTTGAGTTTGTTGTTGGTTCTCTCCTTTGCTCCGAGAGATTTGTTCTCCGGGTACTTCCCCCTCTCCTCAAAAACCAACATTTCAAAATTCCAATTTGACCAGGAATCAGATAGACGAAAAACCACTATGTGGATATACTACCTCCTAATCGTTATTTGTTTATTTAGGTACACTGAGATAAAGGAAAAGGCTCCATCAAACTTGTAAAAGCCTATTAAATGGTGTTATTGTGTCGAGATCCATGCAATGCCCACCTCCAGATAAGTAGCGATAGTTTATCCGAGTCCCCCTGGCTGCTGCTTGTAGAAGGTTTCAGATATTAAAGAATGGATCAATAGGCAAAACTTTTTCTGACTTTTGGTGTGAGAATGCTTGATAAGCAAGTTTCGAGGCATCAGTTTTTTCCCCAAAAGTAGCTAAAAGTATAGCAATTTTTCGTTAACATGTACATAATGAAGCCCGTCAGATTCCAAACCAGCTCCTTGTCATGAAGCTTTCGGCAAAGATGATAAAACTGCTCCGGTACTTACTTGGCTATTTGTTCCAATCAAATTTGAGTTGTTGTCGATTGAAATGAAGGTGTTTGATGCACTTTGACGCCAGTGAGATCACAACAATGTTGACAATGGTGTTTGGCTCCTTATGTGCGCTTTTCTCGATTCCTGAAATAGAAATTGTTCACAGCGTTAGCTTTATTACGCCCTTAAATAATATCTTTCTACCCCAGTAGCTTGCGTGCAGACGATAACTAAACTCTGATCAGAGTTTAATTTCGTCTGCGCGCAGGCTATGCCTAGCTCTTTGTTGAATACGGTTAGTTGCAGACTGCTGTGTAGGTCGTTATTATTTTGATAACTACGTAAGGTATTTTGTAACAAAAACTATTGACATTAGTTCATTCACCTTTCTGAATCTCTTTAAAGGCATAAACTCCGTTTAAGTGAACATTCCCAAGCAAAAGACAAATGAACAGACATGGGCGCGCTCAAACGTGAATAATGTGTCATTCACAATGGCTCTTCTAAATACTTTCCTTTCAAGGGAAAAACCCCTCAAAACCCCACTGAGACAATTTCAATTTCCTTTCACATTTTCTTGCCCTCCGGGAGAAGAAAAAGTCCATTACAAGCAGACTTAAAAAATAAAAAAATAGCAGCTTGCGCCGACTTTCGCTTTACACCTATACTTCTGGATCCTACTATAAGGCATCATGATATCACTTGACTATGTCGGATGATGGACATTTTTGAAGTGAGCTCCTTAAGTTGAGTCCAAACATATATTCTTACAAGACCCCACTGCTGTTAGGGATATTAGCTCTATGATTTCGTCATGCATAAGTTAAGGCGAAAATAGAGATATGCGATGGCACTTGTGTGATCATCAGTGTCCTTTCTCTCTACCTTAGCCGAAAATAAGGGCTCTTTGTTGATTTCGCGTTTAAAAAACTCGCGATTCGCACAAAGGCTAACATTACGTTTTGGGTAAAAAGTAAAAGCTTTCATAATGTTGATCAAGCCTGTCTGAGTTGATGCAAATAACATACTGGCGGATCAGTGGAGCGTGAGTGGCTGTACGCTAAAGGTTTAACTTCCACCAATTTGCAAAGCAACAAGACAACTCTTTTATTAATCTATGAAATTATTATCACTGAAAGAATGTTTGATGGAAACAACTATGATGTTGCGATTGATAACTGTACAAGAAATCAGGCGATTATAAGAAAATCGAAAAGACGTTTATAATAAGATTGATGTCGTACGAACTGAAACACGTTAATAGCAGACCAATTTCGAGATGTTAAATACTGCTGGAGAAATAACAAAAAGGAAGTTTCTAAGCTGAAACAAGCCACTGACATTTTAGAGCACCACCTGAACACCACACAAGTTTGAAGCAATTTTGTATTCAGCTACTTATGTGTTTCCGTAGTCCCAATATCCCGAGTAACTCACTCTCCTGCTTCCGATTCGGCACATCTGCCGTCCCATATCATGCAAGTTTTACGTTTATAAGATATTTAGAAGATTTCTTCCACAGATCCGTGGTTGAAAGACGAGCGCTCCCAACGAATAAGTTTAAAGAAAGAAAAAACAAAAATTATATCTTTCAACTTGTTTACTGTTGTTGATGACGCTCACCGACTCTTCAAGACTGTGGTAACATGTTTTAACGATGAAAGGCCTTAGAAGGGGTTAGGTATTCCATCCAAAAACATCTCTTACTTGTCAGAAGCAAATGGAACAGAATGAGTCTTTCTAGATTTTATACTTTAACACACCTGGAGGGCAAAACAACCTCCTACATTAAATCAAAATTTGCATCGTTGCTCTAGTACCTCAGTCCTTAACCGGTTAGAGTAATCCTGCAGCTTTTGCTTTCCTGCTCTGCTATTTTAATAGCTACATACTGTGAGTACATCTGTACGTATGGGCGCCAAGACAGATTGTCTGTCTCTACATAACTGAAGTAATCTATTCTTAGTTACCATAAAATACAAACTTTACCTTTCTGTTAAAGACATAAACTGACAGCTCAAAGTATCCCTTCAAAATAATGATACGATAAACAGTAGCAAGCAGTGTACAGTAAATCTATAACAGCGTAACATTTATGAACACCAAAATGATGCATAAACTGTCTTAGACAAGAAATAGGAAACTCGCTCAAACTGCGCAAAACCCAATGACGTCACTTTGTTAATTTTAATGCGACCAGCGAAGGAGAACAGGCGCCCACTGACAATTTGGTCAGCATTAAAATTTCCACCTTTTCACCCCCCCCCCCCCCCCCACCCCTCTAACCATCCTCGAAATCACGGACGCGCTTATGGTATAGATAAAGAGTATTAGAGTATCATTTTCGAAGATCGGTGTGCGGTAAGTGAACGATGGATCTATATTAAAAATCCATGTGGAATTAGAAGTCAAGGAGTCGCGGATACGGCACCGGGGACTGTGTATGAGTGTTGTATTGCTACCCGAAAATAAGGGCTGATTATTGTTTTCGTGACATAAAATCAATGACCCGCAATGTTCTTGCTTCTTTAGCAATTTTGGTTTCAGTTTCTTTATGTGCTCTTGTCTGTTCTTTGCTTGTCCTTCCAGCGGCCCGATATCTCCTGTAGACAGGGACCTATGCTAATCCGTGAAAGGTTTGAACCCAGGAGTCATTTCAAAAGTTGGTTGAGTTTGATCGTCCGTATCCAGAATCCATTCATCGTAACGGTTTGGAGGTTTTCTTACGCTAAGTGGTCTTCGGCTCTGTCCAGTTGACTGTTCTTCTTCGGCCTTGTATTCGTGTTTTATTTTCTACTCCCCACTCTAGTGAACATTTTTGATATCTTCTACCAGCCCATCTCCCTCCTTAACCAGCAAATCTACTATCTGACAACGTTCACCGCCCTGCTCGAGTTCCCAACTTAATAGTCGTATCAAAGCAGGACCCATACTCCCTCCTGCCTAGCACGTCAGTAACCACGTCGGGAAGCTCGTCAATAGCTGCAAAGCAGATAAAATCTTCTTCAGCTCCGTTAGTGACCGTATCATGTTCCATTGACTCCACTTTCCACGACACTGGTGGTAACCATTCACGTTCTTTGCTTCCACAGTACTCCACAATGAGGTGCATTCACTGACCCTTCAGCGGACGGTTTTTCTAAGCTTTTTTTCTAAGTTCTCTGGTACACGGTTATTGAAATAAACCACTGATTTCTTTCCTCAACCATTAACTGACTTCCATGAACCATACCACTTCACAGTTGTGAAGGTTGATAGTCAAGTCGAAGTCGAGACAAAGTCGGGACAAAGTTGAAGTCCGTTCGAATTTGGTTTGCACACGCACCAATGTTCGTGAATGTTATCTGGACTCAAAAAGGTAAGCTTTGATAGTAGACCAGCACGGGTGTAGATAGAAATAAAGCTCCAATGGCTGATAGAAGTTAACATCATGAAATCTACACTATAACTGAACTACTAAGATGAAAACGCTAAATTTGTAATCAACAAAACGTGCTTGAAAACGATCTGGAAGTTACTACGTATTTCCCATTTATTTATTTATTTATTACAATCTATGGATTAAAACCAAAGGATGAACTGTAAGGGAGTCCTAGACCCTAAAAAAACAGATCACCTAAAAATAGATAGAAACACAATAAAATAATAGTTTCAGAAAATACAGAAATATAAAAGCTACTTAAAAATCACTGAAAAATTTCCTAACTCTAGACTTAAAAATATTTACATTATCAGAGACACGAATGTCTAACGGTAGTTGATTCCACTGGTCAGTAATTCTATGGAAAAACTATACCAATGAGCAGTAAAGAGTACGCAAGGTCTTAGGGTCATCCAGACCTTTAGAAGTTCTCTTAATCAAACCGAGCATTCTGTTAGCCTTGGATACTACATAATCTATGTGTAGGTTCCATGATAAGTGATGATTTGTAATAATCCCCAAGTCTTTAAACTCTTTAACCTCTTCCAGTTCAGAGTTTTCCAGGAAAAAACTAGAAGTGAGTGGTTGAATCTTCTTAGTAATTTTCATAATTTTGTATTTCTTGACATTGAAGTTCATGAAGTTCCGAACACTCCACTGACGCAGACTATCCAGGTCATTTTCAAATCTCTCAACTTCAGGTTTCTTGGGTTGAACTTCTTTTTTTTTTCTGCTAAACATTCTGCCTGCTTTTCTGCTAATTCTTTATCTACATCGGTATTCTCTTGGCGTTCAGAAGCCCATTTCCTGCGGCGTTGTATTTTAAAAGGCGGCTGAATTCTTATTTCGTTATCTTCTTACTTCTAATCTCTACAGACTATCCCTTACTTTTTCTTGAGACTTCCCCGGCCGGGCCCTGATCGTCCACGGTCTGATGTGATCTCAACATGCAACACTTTAATACCAAGTTATCAACCGATTGTATGATATCGCCACATCCGTTGGTCAGAGAGAAGCAAGGACAGCCTTGAGGTTCCGAGCTCTCTTTGCGATCAGAGTCGACGCATGATACTTTTTCAGTGAGTTCGTGAGACTTAGCAGTGGTTTAGATCTTCTAAATTGTTCATAAAGTCATCCTGGCAGCTTGCCTTTCCTCAGTTTTCATGAAACGCAAGCGATCCGCAATCTTTTAGTGGAAGAGGCCTGACAAACAAAACAAAACAGGAACAGGAACAAAACGAAACAGGGCTGGGAAAGTAGCTGTAGTCGCTAATGAACTGGCGTACGCTACTTTAATATATTTGAAGCCCTTTATTTCTCTAAGACACTTCGTTGCGGGAAAACCACATCGTGATAAACGAATTCTGAAAATACAACAAACGCTGTTAACCCTATGTCTAGCAGCAAAGAAAAGCAAAGGCTAATGCAGGAAAGTCTTAAAACAGTTGATCCAATTTTTACAAACTTTATCGGTGTAATCTCCCCGGGCGTACATGAAAACCACAAGACAGTTTATACAGCAGATGCAGTATGAAATGTGAAATCTACAGGCTTGGCGCTTTGATACGCCCTGCGTGCCCACTTGAGCATAACATAACGCGCTGTAAGAAAAATTAGCATAACGGGCTAACAGTGGCCGTGGGCTTATCGATAACAGTCTCATTTATGCAGTTGATAATCAATTTATAATAACTACAGTTAACACGTTCGTGCAATAACGAGGGATTAACGAAACGAAACCAACTCAGTCACTGCATTTGCCTGTGGCACTCAGAAAAGTTTGGGAAGCCTGTGATCGAACGAGCAACCCCGTCCCCGGCCCAGGGTTTTCTCTTCGCATGTAACACGTGCGGGAGCTTTGAGCGCCGATTCTCCTTCTATTTTCATATTCTCAGATATTCTTAACTGTGTACGTCTTATTCTATCAGTCGCATGTATTCGAGGAATGGAAAGCGTGGGATTCTTCGAGGGACCCGAAAAGCTCATGGAAGTGTGGTGGCAGCCGGTTTTGGGAGCTGACAGGGCCAGGGCAGATTTAAGAAATATTTCACGGTAAAAATACTGAAACGTGTAGTAGCGTTTGTTTTCTATTTAACCTATATCATGTATTTTAACTTCTTAAGAGCTTAATTAACTGGTCGAAATGAGAAAGAAGGTAACGAAGCATAAACACAGGCATGGTGCTTTGTAAATAACCTCTTATATATCTCGGAGAACTTGTGTTATAAGAAATTAATGGGAGCGTTATTTCGAGCCTCTGATGCTATTTAGTGAAACTTTCCTTGGTCAAGGAGGGTCTGAGACTATGCTCCCCCAGAAATATTTAAAACTTCAAGGGACTAAAATTCATTTGCGAGTGTTCTGAGTACTACAAAAATTAAGTACAAGAGATAAAGGAGGGTTTCTTATTAACAGGTGCAAACCTTTTTGATTATAATTTTATTTTATTTTATTTTTACAGCACTGGTAAGTAAATGAAATATGTGCTGAGCTCTGTTTGCAAATGCAATAAAACAAATGGTTGAGTAAAATGGCTATGTGAACATTTAACACATAGCCGGTTAATTAAACTCAGAATATCAAATGAAAATATCAGATACAAACTCTTATTAAATGTGTATTTCCTGTGAATGTGAGAGCAATAAAACCGCAACAACCCTATAGTATCACCACTGTACAGGAAAAGAGGCAGGAGCTGGGGAGGAAACAGGTTGATGGAAAAGGTTTGTGTGTCAACAAAATCACAACCATGCCGTCCATTATACAAAGTTTCATGACTATGACATGGTTTGTGCACATCATTATTCAAAATTCAAAACTTTAACTTCGGTACCAAGCTCCCAACCATTAATTAAATGCAAGCCCTAGGATTTCATGGTAACGATCGTCTCTGGTACCATGTGGTTACCGTAAACTTAAAAAAAATACACAAATATAGTATTTTCCCACTAGAATTCTTCACTAGGAGAGCAGTTGTTATTCTTTGGTTAATACTCGGCTTGTATATGAAATTCAAAAACGTTACCATTTTCCGCCAATTTAAATCAATCCCAAAGTGCATTGCACGTTACTGATGACGCATGAAAGATGTTTTACAGTTAGCAACAGCGATTTTTATGTCTTTCATTGCCAAGAAAAAAAATGTATGACTTCAAAAGTTTAAAAACATTTTGAAGGCGGTCTTTTAGGAATGATTTGACGGCCATTTCAGGGAAATTATTTGAAATAAGATTATCATACAAACACTGTAATTTCACACATGGTTGCCTTCTCGTCAAGATGGCTCCCAAAACGGTGACAAGGTCTATCGACCTTCTGACGTTTTAAGAGGCATTGAAGTTTTTTGTAAATAATAGTACTTACTGATGTTCTTTGATTTTAAAGTATGATTAACAACATGTTTCCCATGTACATTAAAAGAAATAAAAGTGGGTTCCTATGAATTTTCATGGAACCAAAAATTTGTTTTGGATGGTTTCCCATGATCTCTGGGCATGGAACCGAAAAATTGTTATATCCATGAGATTTGAAATCCGAGGGCTTGTAAATGCATGGTTCAATTGTCGCATAAAATTTTATTTGTGAGCAAATGATGTATTTATTGCAAGAAAGCAGGTTTTTCGTTCAAGGAAATGTAGCTTTCATTCAAGTTTCATTTCTTAGCCATGCAATCAACCCCTACAAACAATGAACACATGACATCTCACTTGAACAAAGTTTGTATAAACCTTGTGTGTTTTATCAGCAAAAGAATCAAAGAAATGTGTGAAAAATTGACTGAAATACAGTATTAATACAAAAAAGCATTACATGAACCAGTGGGTGTTTTGAGAAAACATCATGTAATAATTTTAATCTTTTAGATTTTATGATATATTTTTTGGTTATAACATTATTAGAACTTATTTGCTACTTCTTTGGGGGCACGTAAATTATCTTATTGGTACATAATTTTGTGGATCCATACTTAATTTTGCAATTTTGGCGAGATGGTATTTCACGGGTTTTATTTTTGCAATTTCAACTATGAAAAAGGGCATTAAATTTCACAGTTCAAGCGTTCTCAACGTCATTTTAGTTTTTAAAAAGTCTGAACTTTTAAAATTTCTAGTAAACTGGAAAAAACAAAATGTGTACAATGTATTTAATAGACTTTTAAATGTGTTTGCACTATTTCACTTTAGAAGATACAAAATGGAACTTGTGTATTTGCCAATACTTATCTTTTATGTGTTGCTTTTATTAAGTGTTTTATAGATTTTTTCTGTGATTTGATTTTTATGTATGGTATTTAATTTTGCATGTTTAAATTTCGCAAGGACTTATATTTACAGGTATTTTTTTTTGCAATTTTGGCATCAATGGTTAACATACACTGTATAATAAAATTTCATCCACATCAAGGGTGCAATATACTTGTTGTTATCTTCCTAAGAGCTTAACAAAAACAAAACAAAACAAGAGAAAGTGAAATAAAAAGAAACAAAACAATTATTGACCATTATTGGCCTCACACAGAAAAAAATAATACTATTTTCTGTAGGGGTAAACGTTAATCAGTATGGCTGTTTTCTTTCTCTTAATGCCATCAGAGATTTGTTTGATAATATTAATAAAGAAATGCTTTCAAACATTTTTCATTCTTTTAGTAACAGGCCTTTTTAGAATGCCCTGTCAAATAAAATGGGCATTTCTAAAGCAAAAAGGGAAATTATTTTGCTTCTCTGAACAATTTCATTCCTCGTGAAAAGGGTAGATGTAGTAAGGTTTATAATTTTATTGAAATTTGCATCACTCATGGAAGTTGTGTGGATCACATGGATCACATGGCAAGTCAGAAACAAGTTGGCTTTATTTATATATATTTATATATCTTTACTTCTGGTCATGAGCATCTGGAATGATGTCATGAAGGCAACAGCAAACTACAATCACAGACAAAAGTAGTTGGGAAGGTTGTACAACTTAACGGTAGTCCATTTTAATCCTTAAAAAAGAGAGTTTTCTCTTTTGCTAAATATCCCCCGTCCCCCCTATTCAATGTTGAGATATAACAGAATAATTACGCGCACAAACATTAACGTTTTGATCAACATTGGGCCTGGGGCGGGGGAAGGAAGGAAAAGAAGAGGTAAAAAAGGCGACCTTGCCAACACTTTTGACGATGATTGTAGGTCCATTGTTTTGGCTGTTTTTGCGGCCATTTTGACAAGCAAGAAATAGTCTTTGCAAGAACGTTTCACTGCAGAAGTATTTTGCAGAAAACATTGTAGCAATCTGGACCAGTAGCTTAAATAAGAGCAAAAATCAAGATAAAAGAACTTTTGTCAGTGTCTCACTTTATGAGTTTGTTTAGCTTGTGCAATATGTTTGTCAGAAGTGTGTTGTATCTTGGCTTTCTACTGTCAAAACCTTGCTTATTTCCCCTATATCGGGAGTCCGTTTAGATTTACACCTTGGAGAATCCACATTTAGCTTGGTGCTTTCCCATCCGATGGATCAAAGTTTCATCTCCATACTTCAGACCCAAGTTGAACTTGGATGCAAACTGTCATGTTTGTATTTTTTTTTTTTTAACTGAGCAGCCAAAGTAATGCTAAATATGCTTTTCAATGCACATTTAAAAATAAAACAGGGCAATACGGAAATAAGATTAGAAGAAAAAAGAGGGAATATAAGGTAGGACCTTCTTGACAGGATATTCACACAGAGTCACCCATCCAACATGGCTTAACTTGAGTTTAATCTAGTTATTTAACCTTTATTTCACATGGCTTAACTTGAGTTGGGCTACCAAAAAACTGAGTTTTGTGAGGGTTAATTGATGAGTAATGTGTATTTCTAGTTACAATAGTCTTTGTGTTTTGTTATTAAATTAATACCAAATATAAATACATTATTCTTTGTTACAGGGAGAAATGGTCAAATCTTTTGACACTTGTGAATTGCACTATCATCAGTGAGAAGAGAAATGAAGATATGATTGCATATCTTCTCAGGTAGGTACATATTGCATTAGTAAATAACAACTAAATGTTAATTCAGTCCAAGTGAGATCGAAGCAAGGTGTTTCATATTTCTAATTTCAGGCTCAGTGAAACGCTTTTGCTTCAGTGCTAGGGTGCTTTGGATAACAGGGTTGTCATTACGAGCCGGGGGCTGGGGATTTTCCCCAGCTACTAAGAGAGTGGCCCCCAGCTACTTTTATTGCAAAATAGAACAAAAATAGAACCAAAAGAAATCCCTAGCCGTTTGATTCCCCGCCTAATTGTTGTATTTACCCGGCAACTTGAAATCTTAGTGACAACCCTGGATAAGGAATAAAAGATAGATCTTTTAGTATAGGGACATAATATTAAATATTATTTTGGTGTTATTTATTTTATTTTTTATATATATATCAGATTATTATTTTATTTATTTATTTGATATTTTTTGATGTTTTTAATGGTTTTTTATTACTTTTTAAATGCTGCTCAGTTTTTATTTAATTTTTTGACATCTCAGTGATGGGTTTCACACCCTTAAATGTACATGTATCAGTAGAAAAGTTCCATGGGATAGAAGGTCAAAATGCACTTGATCAGATTATGAGTGGTAGAAGGTAGACCTAAACTTGCATTCATGATTAGAATACCTTATATGCATTCCATATCCATTCTTAGAGGATATCCAAAAAAAAAATGTGTCACACATACATGTAGGTTTAGTTTAAGGAGTAGGAATAAAAAATATATAATGATTTTATTGTATCTCCAGTCTCGTTTAAGAGGGTATTCAAAACTAGGGAGACATGTTCCATAACCAAACTTTTACATGTGAAAACATTTAATGCTCATGGACCTTCTGATCTCCCTTATTTTACAGTGAAAGCAGCTTGTTTGTATCCCGTACACGAGTAATCCTCAAGACATGTGGACAAACTGCTCTCTTGTACTGCATTAAACCCTTGCTAGAACTTGCAGCAACTGAGTGTGGATTGACAGAGGTGCAGGTATGTATAACTTAAATTAACAACGGAGAATAAAATAAATAAATAAAATCTTATTTCAGTTGCTGAGAGCACAGCGTTTGTCTGCTTCTAGTTTAGATGGTACACAGTCCCTTACTTTTTTATTATTGTAGCTTTGATAATGTTTTGCAGGATTTCTTCTATTCACGTATGAATTACCTAGCACCCAGCCTACAGCCGGCACCTCACCAAACTTTTGAGCAAGAGGTCTGTCTCGTGTTTTCTGTTTTTAATTGTTGTCCATTCATTCATTCATCTATTCATTTCTATGTAAACAAAGTGATAAATCTTGGATTGAGTAAATTTTCTTGTAAATAATTTTAAAAGTAGCAAATTAGTATAGGCAGAGGGAAAGATATTATTTTATGAGCTTGGGTTTGCATGTGTATTCATATTACTATGTAGAATTTCAACATGTTAATTTAGTTCATTGTTGAAATTGATGCCAAAATCCTTCCAGTCCACTTGTCATATGAAATATTGGACCTATCATAGTTTTTTTTTTGTTTCTTTGTAGGTCCAGTGGCTAGATAAATTATTTTCAGGTATGTTCTGACACCTCTGTAGATTTCATGTGCCTCTTGTTTTAGCCGATCATAATTCACTTCATCTTAACATGTAGGAAAAAAAAATTAGACTAACAAAATAGACCAATTACAATACCCAGTCAAACCCCCACTTTACAGACACTCACTTGATACAGACAGTTTTCCCTGTCCATGGAGAAAGCAGGCCATTTCATTTCCTCTAAATTTAACCCACTTAATACAGACTCTTTCTATGGCCCCCTTTGTTTCTGTATTAATGTAAAAAAAAGGTAAAGGCACACACAAACCAAAGGTATTAGAGTAGTTTGACTTTATTACATGTAAAATTCAGACTTGGCACCAAAGCTTGGGAGAATAAAACAAAGGAAGTTAATTTTATCTGTAAAACTGTAACTATTTTCTCCTGTTCTTAGATGGTGCAGGATATGCTCTTGGAAGATTAAATGGTCAAGATACATGGTAAACAATAAAAATTTATGTACAACTAAAAACTTGTTCAAGACTTATTCTTAATTACCAATGTACATTGTTATAATGAGATGAATATTAACTGTTTTTTTAATACAACATCAACAATTTTTCTGTTTTGGTTATTTTCCTTTACTGCTTGTGGCCTTTGGAGGAAGCTTTTAGCCATTCTACAACTGAATGATCATAACGATGATGATGATGATGATGATGATGAGTTAATAATTTATTTTACGGGTATTTATATTCTAGGTACTTGTACACACTTGATAACATCTTACCAGGAGTGTCTGAGCCTGACCAAACCTTGGAGATATCCTTTTAAGTTTTACTCAGGGTAGCACCTCAAGTCAAGTTTTACCTTTATCCTATACTTCTAACCTCGTCTTAGTTCTTGATAAATTGTTCTTGATTCTGCATCCTGGATTCGTGCAGGAATTGAGAATTGAGTCAAGAATGGAGACTCACAAAGGAATGTCAACTGACTTTCAAACGGTTAACTGTACGTGAAAGCATATACATGTACATGCCAACTCTCCAAGATTATCCAGAAGTCTCGGGGACCAGCAGATACCCAATCAATCTCCTACTCTCTTGACAGGTCACCAAATCTCCCAGATAAAATCAACCTTTGAGCTTTCCTGTGCTTTAGTATGGAATGCAGCCCAAAATTGACCCATAGTATGGTTTCTGGGGTATTTTTTTGCAATATTTTATCAATGACAAAGATTATTATTTTGGTCATTACAATCAAAAGAGTGAATTTTGATGGGCTCTAATAATCATGTAAGAGTTAATATATTGTCCTAAGCCACACCAACATTATGATTTGGGAAGTGGGTCAATATGGAGGTGGGGAGGAGAGAGTCTCCAGATCTTGGCATCACTGTGACGGTTTGTTACTAATGTGCAAATTGACCCTGTTGATGGGTTTTTATGGAACTGAGGTAAACTGAGACTTGGCTTGAGATGCTCATGTTCGTTCATGATGAAATTTAAAGTTTTTTCTTGAAAGCTTTGTTTTGTAAAATATTGGGAAAGGGATCACTTAAAGTAATTAATTTCTCCTTAACTTGTATACATCTTGATGCTGGATCTTGATCGAGAGGTTATGAACAAGTTCTACAAGTCAAAATATTCTGATGCTGATGAAGTCACTAAGGTGGGCTTTTTTTGCCAGGGTAATGTTTACATGAATAAGTCACATTCGTCTTATTTACTTAATATAGTGCTAATATCTATGTACGTATTCAGTAGCACAGTAAAGTGAAAAGGGAAAAACATGTATATAAAAGGGAAAAATGCACCCGTTTGATTCGTGGTTAGAATTTTATGAATACTTTTTTATTCTATTTCCTTGTCACCCAGGAGACAGGCATCAGTGAGTTTCTTCCTGGGGCAGTGATCGATGCTGCTTTGTTTGAACCCTGTGGGTATTCAGCCAATGGGCTTCTGGATGTAAGTAAAAAATAATTAATATATGATATAAAGGTCTTACAGTTTTGTTTTTAAGAGAAACTATCTGAATTATAATAATTATTCTATGGAGAGTTTTCTCAATGAATATCAGCTTTAAAACATCTTTTAACTACCATACAGGTAATCTATGTGGCAAATCCAGGTGGGGGTTTGTGTGTTTAATTTCCCTTCCATTCGCGCAAACAAAAGCCTTCGATGAGTCCCGAGCCAGTGTAAGACAGTTTCATTAATTATTAAATTATTATTTTTATTCTGCAAATATCAGCAATTTAGTAAAGTTAATAAACATTTACAGTTGGTTTTACTTTGAAGGTGTCTGTAAATAAATAGCAATAATCTGAAACAAGGCAATATTACACTTGTTTAACATTTATTGCTGGTGTGACAGATGTTGGCATTAGGGAACAACAATGTCATTACTCCAGAGTGGTTTCCTACCATGGAACACCTCCGGGTGAGCTGCCCGTTTTTTTAATACTCTGACTAGTAACCTAATTAATGTTACTAATTTCTGCAGGACTTAATTTTGCAAATGTTTATCACACTATATTGAAAGCTAGAGATGTGAAAAAGGTTTTCATGAAACAAAAACAGTAACAGCAAATTTAATACCTTGCTGCTCTCGCTCCTGCAAATCCTTCTAAAGAACAGATGTCATTTTGTTCTTATCACGGAGCATATTATGATGTATAATTCTGCTGACTCTTGTAGTGTAAGGTTGTTTTGCAAACAAATATTACTACAATATGCCCCATACCAGTCTGGGAGCTAATCAGAGAGGTGTGATGGATTTGGGAGGAAATGAGCACGTGCTGTTAGCCTCTGATTTGTTAGTCAGATGACTATTTCTATCTACCGATTTAAAGTGAAGACTCTTTACCTTTACCTTTAGTGGGTACAGATGTCAACGAAAGGTGCCAAAAATCTAAGTAGAGTAGTCAATCTGTTCGCCACAGACATCCACTCCAGGAATTTATTGTGATGTGATGATGTGCTACATAAGCCTGTAAGTCAACTCCCTTATGTGAATCTTTTCTCTCTCACACATAGGAAAGCTACTTCAACATCCATATTACTCCACAGCCTGAGTGCTCTTATGTCAGCTTTGAAACCAATATTAAAATGGTAAGTTGAAAAAACCAAGAATATAGAAGAGATGAAAGTACAGCTCAAAATTATAATGGAGGGGAGACAGTTGTCTTATCTGAAATTTTCTTTTATTTTAATCCTCATGTTATCCTGCATTTGAGTTGTTACTCTTGTACTTATTTACTTACCATTTTGTTCCTGCGTTTTGTATTATATAGTCTTGCATACCCTTGTATCTATTTAGCAGAATTAAGGAAATCTTTCTTTGAAGCAGTTCTATTGTGAGGCAGGATTTATGAGCTATCTTATGATTTTTGATTATTTGTTGCCACGTGGCGAAATTCTCAAGTGTCATCTAAGTTAATGTTTTAAGTCCCAATAGTGACCAACAGCAATTTTTTCCTCACAATATCCATACATTGTCGAGAGATAAGGTTGTGGAAATTAATAAGATGATCACTAGAGAGAAAATGCCTTGATCTTTTATTAAATTCTCTCAACTAATTCTTAAAGGAAATGTATGAAGATCGGTTTGGAGAATTTGTAAGTGGACATTGGGGCTTAAAGAGTCAATGCTTATGCTATCGAAAGCTTCAGTGATGATATTTTTCAGGGTTCGTACAGGTCATGGAAAACCTGGAAAGTCATGGAATTTAAGAATTTTATTTTCCACGCCTGGAAAGTCTTGGAATTTAATTGTCGGTCCTTGAGAGTCCTGGAAAATTAAAGTTTTGTTTGGTAGATTAGTTACTGCAGGTGACAAAGCAAGGACAATTGAAGATAGAAAGGAGTAATCATAGAGCCCAAACAGCACGCATTTTGGTGGACACCTGAGTTTGTGTCTGTTGAACTGTTTAAGGTCAAAAAATACCCCCAAACGAGAAAAACTGTGAACATTTTTGAAAGTGACAGTTTAACCTAAGGTCTTGGAAAACTTGAAAAGGTATCTCCAAGCGACCATATAATGTTCTATTTATTTTAAAAACACCAATGAAATACCAAACCATTTCACTTTAATAGTTTTGGTGTGAAAAGCGCGATTTATTATGTAGCCATAGCAAAGGTAATATTTTCACATGTGAAGATATCACTTTTTCGCGCGAAAGCTCACCTGGTATTTCATTGGTGTTATAATACGTGAACGATACTTCTTGTTTTCTCTTAGAGTTCCTATAAAGAACTGATCAGCAGGGTCCTTGAAGCTTTCAAACCTGGAAGATTCCTTATGACTTTGTTTGCCAATGAGGTTAGCATCAATCACTTCTAAGTATTAAGGCTCAGTCAATTCCACGCGTGTCCGTACATTCCGTCCCCGCCCGGGCATTTGTTAGGCATTTGATATTTTGTTATCAGAAAGAGACCTGTCAGTATACAGCTATTTCGAGAAAACGTGTTGGAAAAACTGTGCACGCGACAATCCCGAAAGGTAATATGGGATATGATCAATTCACTGTTGCTTACACGGTAGCTGTCGAACCTACTTTTGTTGCTTTCCTTTAGCACTCGCAAACATATATCCAAGGCCTCTCGTGCAATTCTCTCAAATTTCTTTGAAGAACAGTGAACTCAAAACTGCCCACAATACCTTTCGTGTTTGTCGCGTGCACTTTTTCCGACAACCTTTCTCGAAATAGCTGTATACAGAAAACCCACGTTAGGGCTTAGAGTACTCCTATAACATCATGGCTTTACTGACAATTGATCAGTAACATCGTGACTTAATTGAGCAGTAAGGTCAATGAGCAACGTCAGTCGCCTCTAAACGATCAGTTCCGACTTGCTTATGACATGACTCCCGTGTTCAGCCCATTCATAATGTTGTTCCTTGGTACAGTTCATATAAATAGATATTATTGAGTCAGTAAGTCATCCAAATGTATCTTACAGATGAACGCACATCTTACACTTCTAGGAGATAAGACGAAAACGCCACTAAAAACCGTACCTTTGATGGCACAGTACCTTAAAAAAAGTGTACCGAATAAACATACAGCGTGTATAAAACTATGTAAAATAAGAACTACAACATTACAAGAAAAAGGATGCAAACACGAAGGTTGCCCTTTAGAACAACACAAATCCCTTGCTGATAGCCTAGATGGTCGATAGTCATTTCATAACAGTCCGCGCTCGTCTTCATTGTGTTCGTCAAAATGTTAAGTTCTCCGTTATTCGTTCCCGTGTCACTAAGTCAGAAATTATATTGTGAATGTCTGTTATTTTGTGTTTCTGCAGGGGGCGCCATGTGGATTTTCGTACAAAACCTTTCAAGAGGGTTCTATTGCAGGCTACAAACGCAATGACCTCCAGTTGTCGCAGATGAAAATGTATAACCTGACGTATGGTCGTTATGAAAAAATCTAGGACATTAAGAGATATATACTAGGTTACGTCAAGAGATATAATATTAGGTAATGACATGGTCTTTTAGAATAGACCACAGCGTGGTTTGGAAATATATTATGACAGTTCAGTTCAGTTCAAATAGCGTAATATAGCCGCACTAAGGCCGATTTACATGTAAACATTTTGTTGCATGCGATCGATGGGCTTACTTGCCCCTCCTTCCCCCGAGGGGGGCTCCCGTATGAAAGTGTGGGGGATGGTTGTCGTCTTGCACAATATTTTTACCCATAAAAACATCGCTTAGGATTGTAGGTAGAGAAGAACCTAATAAAAAGAAACAAACGCCGTCATACCATGCCTGAGTATGGTCTCCTGTAGGCGTGGTTGGCCACGCCCAGACAGATTGGTCTGCTTTAGGGGTCAAATTCTAATTTTTCGATGAGCGTCACTCTCTCTTTCATGTCTCAGTGTCTGAGTCTTCCCGGGCTTCCTCTTTTTAAACTTTGCCTATGGCGATGTCGGACGTGAATATTCGGTCCCCATTCGCTTCCGTAGGGTCTCCAAGGATGCGGTCCAATTTATGCGATACATTTATGGGTGACGTTTTTCCGGGTAAATCGTAAGTCCTACACAGTTTGTCTTCCGAAGGCAACTGTTCAAGCTTGAAGGCGCTATTTTTAATCTTAAGTTTGGGTAGCTGCTTCTAGCGTTGCCAGGTTCGTGTTGAGGGCGATAATTTACGAAAAAGGCCAGCTTGACAGTAAGAAGATAACTGAATGAAACAATTTTCTGGGCATGTTTGCAACGAAACTGATTAAGAGTTATTTTCCTGATACTATAATTATTTTTAACGGATGTAACCGCTCTATTTTTAACGAGTATGACTCTATTTTTTTCCTAATAATATTATTGTCGCTCTCAATTATAGAGCATTATATAATCCAGGTAATTCTGTAAGAAGACTTAAGAACCTTGGCTTTTATTTGTAAAGATATATACTATTTTCGGTGGAAACAGTTTTGCCAGTCAGTTATTTATGTAACTCTTTAAATTATTATTCTGAAATGCAAAGTAATAGTTGTTTGATGGCTTTTGCCTGGATACACTTGTTGTTGGCCAAGTGTGTGCTATTAAGTGTAACTTGTCGATGGATATTAAATTTGAATTTGAAGGAAGCCTGTTTCATGCATGTTTTTTTTTATTCCCTAGGAATATTTTTTTGTTTGTGTATCAGAGTTTTTGGGGACCTTACGACTAAGGAGCTTAAACAACAACGACAGCGACGGCTACAAAAACTTACTTAAAAAGTGAAGTCGCGCTGCTTCAAACTTAATCGCGCTTTTTCCATCTCGTTCAGTTCGTCAAATGTTGGCAGTTTTTTCTGGAGTTGAATTTTAAAAGACAATATCAAAGTCCAGGAAAAGAAAAATAACGTCGTTGTCTTGTGCTCACGTTGTCCACAAAACGTGAAATGAGGCATTTTCACGTCGTTGTCGTGCAGTGACGGCAAACGAATGTACAGAAAAGCATGATGCACGTGCAGAGTTGTTGTTTTGCCAATCTAAAACTTTTGCGTTTTTGCCGTTCTCGTTGCCGTTGACGTGGTCGTTGCTTAAGCTCCCCACTACGACGGCGACGGCAACTGCAACGTCATAAAAGCAACAGATTCAATTAGCAAAACAACTCTGCACGTGCATCACCCTTTTTTGTCCATTTCTTTGCCGTCCCTGCACAACTACGTCGTGAAATGACAAAATTTTAAGTTTACTTGAGGATAATTCTTGAGAACGAGAACGGCAAGACGATAAATTCTACCATATCTGTCTCAACTCGGGCGCGGTCCTCTCTCTTCAGCTCCAGCATAAATTCCCTTCTTTCGTCTAATTTTCAGCGACGTTTTCGAGGACGTCAACGTTGTCTCATCGTAAGATCCGTATTATTCACTCGTGACGGTTCCTGCAATTCTTGAGGAAGTACAAAATGGATTGAGGTGTGTCCTCCCTGATATCTCAAGCTTAACGGTTTATGGGGTTAGAATGTAGAAAACAAGCGCTTTCGGGCAACTCGGTTCTCTCCGATTGAAGCCTCATCTGAAAAAATCCCCCCAACCTCTGACAACCTTAGAAAAGTTGTTTTCGTTGAATACCATGGCATTGCGCCATGTCCAACTGTTTGCAGGTGCCTTTCGTTAGTTCGAGGCTGTGTTTCCCACATCTATAATGTGGTGTTTGCAGTGCCTTGCTGTGCGTGCCGTGCAAACTGTTTTGCAGTAAAAATTTCAAAACTTTTATGCTCACTTTAAGAGACCTATTCGGCTAACTCAATGTCGTACCCAATTCAAATCTTCCGGGGTTAAGATTCTTTGTGTATTGTATTTGCATTATAACGTGGCATTCACATTTAAATAATATGGAAATTCCTGAAACAAAACGTTTTATTCCCAAAGGGTTAGAATTGGGTACAACATTGACTTAGCCGAATAGGCCTATTGGATTAGAAGACCACAAATATATCTCTGTCAGTGTACACCCCTAGCGTGCAGTCCTTGCTCTTGGATGGGTAATATTTAGAGGGGGACCGTAACATGGGGATGGTTTCTTGATACTCCATGAGTGAACGTGAGAGTATGTTAAATAACGTTGGACGCGATCACGCGCAACTGTTCCTTGTTTGCATGGTATTTGTATGTGAAAAACTATGTCTTCGCATGTTCTGTTTAAGACCTATTTTAACAAACAATTAGGCTAAAATTGTATTCTTTTTTATTTTGCTCTCAGACGTTCTGGTCGCGGTCGCGTCGTTGGATCTTGAGTCCCTAATAAAAATGTGGTGGTAGTGGTGGTGGAAGAGAAAAACCAAAAGAAATGTGGTGGTGGTGGTGAAGGAGGAGGAAAAACAGTAGAAACGTGGGGGTGGTGGTGGTGGAAGAGGGAAAACAAGAGAACTGAGGTGGTGGTGGTGGTGGAAGAGAGAAAACAAAGGAAATGTGGTGGTGGTGGTGGAAGAGGGAAAACAAAAGAAATGTAGTGGTGGTGGTGGTGGTGGAAGAGAGAACAAAGGAAATGTGGTGGTGGTGGTGGAAGAGGGAAAACAAAAGAAATGTAGTGGTGGTGGTGGTGGTGGAAGAGAGAAAACAAAGGAAATGTGGTGGTGGTGGTGAAAGAGGGAAAACAAAAGAAATGTGGTGGCGGAAGAGAGAAAACAAAGGAAATGTGGTGGTGGTGGTGGCGGAGGAGGAAAAACAATAGAAATGTGGTGGAAGAGAGAAAACAAAAGAAATGTGGTTGTGGTGTGGTGGCAATGGAGAGAAATAATAGAAATGCGGTAGTCTCAAAACCTTTTTAGATGAGAAACATTTCATTTTTTTCTCAGCTTGCATTTAGCTTCTATTAAAGCAGTTTACAGGAGTTGGTTTGTCCCAAGAGCGAAAAAACCTTCGGCAGAAACGATAGCATGCAAGGCACTTGATTTGGGGAGGCTCTTTCCAAACCTTCTCGGTCAATGCATTTTGGTACTCGCTCGGACCACGTGACCCGAAACGCATAGGCAACAGGAAATAACGAGGCCTTGATATTACGCAAGACTGATCCCAGCTACTAAGAATTTGATAACCACTGTATCACGGCTATTCAACACCCAAATCATTTCATGGCTTGAAAGATAATTTCCTTTAATAGTCCGGTTTTATTTACACTTTTGATAAAATGTATGTCAAAATTTACAATGACAATGTCTTGAGTCGTTTTATTAAATCTTCTAATAAATAAGATTACTGTACTTTCCTTTTCTCCAAGCTAACTGAGATCTCAAACGTAATATCCATAGAAACAAGACTACCTAGCCCACACTGTTTCCCCAAGACGGGTTAGTGACAAACGTGCTTTGAACACCTTAAAGGACTATTTTTTGACTCGTTGTCCAGCAGGAGTCACACTAGGTTCTCATACGGACACTTAATAAATGACGCACAGAGGAAAATTTCGGAAAACTTAAAACTGTTTTCATAAATCTTCACATGGTTAAAGTTAGAGCAACAAAGCTAACAACCGAACGCTAAGTAGATTCTGACGACAAAACTCGTAACAACTCATTTACAGAATGGATCTAACAGACTTGCCCTCCAGGAAACTGGCAGGTACTTAACCAACCATAAGCCATAGTTTATTTAGTGGGTTAAACAAGTAATGGCCGTTTGCCATAGCTTATTTTGAGAAATGCTGTAAGACACTTCTCACCAGGTAGGCTCAGCCTTGCCAGGAGGCAATGACAAGAAAAAAAAACACATTCAAGTCTTTCTTGGATTCCACATTACGGGCAAGCAGGTTGCACTAGAAGATAATTTTTTTTCGCTTGGTAAAGGTCTCTTAACCCAACAAACCAAGAAACCAAACCATATTTTAGCCAACATAAGTACTACTGTGTTCACTCGTTCTGCGTATCTAATTTTTTGGGAAGTTGATCCATGGCATATGGTTTGTGCTGAGAGCGAAAGCCAATGGAGTTGTGAGGCTTATAAAAGGTGAAAACCCATTCACTGATTCAGTATCAATCCAAAGTATTATCATCAAGGATAACTTTTGAAGCGGGCTGTACTGGATAACAATTAACTTACTGGAGGAAACCTGATAATTTGGTCAAAGTACTGTTCTTCGGAGAAATTACTTTTCAAATAGAGGGTGTCCCCTCATTATTGTGATTCTTCTTTGCACGAAGCACTAATAAATTGCGATTAACTAAAATCACTTTCTCTGCTATAATAAATATTGCTTTACTACAAATTTATTTCATGTTACTAAATCATTGTCCTCACTGTTGGGTTTAATTCTAGTCCATGACATTCCTCTTAAAGGTGGAAGAGAATTTGATTCCTAGAAGGAAAAAAGAAATAACATTTCATGATTATGCAGTTACAACATTGAAAAACATTATTTACACTATTTAACTCATGAAAGCAAAGGTGTTGATGAAGACTTATGCATTTCCAGGCATCTCTGACAAATTCAACTTGAATTTCGTTGCAATTTTCTCTGAGGCTGGATTACGTACTAGGCATGTGTAAGGACTAGCCTGCAAACGCAGATGTATTTCCACTCATTGCTCCTTTCCACCGAAAAAGTGGGTGGAGAGAGGCGACGGTCAGAAATATGTCTTCGTTTGCAGGCTAAGGTAAGGACCGGAAAATTGACTTTTTACAAAATTTTGGCCAGCTTATCAGCTTACATCAAAATACTCAGAGGTGATTGCTGACCAGCAAATTAAAACGTGTAGAAAAAAAAAACCTTAAAAAATTCTTTTAGTTCTAATTTGTTAATCTAACAAAAATAATTTGCACCTCGTCACCCTCTGGTATTGACGGAGAGGTGAAACCTCTGCTACCTGAAAGACAAAGAAAAACCATATGATTGGTTGAGTATTTTTGAGGAGGAGGACGTCATCTCAGGCTTTTAAATTAAAAATTCTTGAGTAAAAATAAGGACATATTTAACCTGTTTTACAACAGGTATGAAAACCTCAGGAAATACAAAAAGAATGATCATAACTCCTTATGACCAATAACTGGGTCTTTGTTTCACACTGTTATCATTTGAAAAAACTGATAGAGTGGTGGTTTCAACTATTAGTGCAAAATTGGTGCAAATCACTCTAAAACTGTTGCAATAGTAATGATAATTACTAATATATACCACACCAGCGAATAGTGCTTTTAATGCACGCTGATTGGCTAGCTCTGAGGTGAGAATCACCCGAGTTACCATGTTACTTTGTGGATGTTAATATGCATGGCGTGGTGCAAAAGATTGTAAAAATTCCAAGCATTTGCCAAAATAAAGTAGTTTTTGGGATCCCTAGTTATTCAATGTGTGTGGTATATAAGAAAAACAAAATTATTCACCTCAGTGACAGTGAGGGTGGTGGATATTTACCCCGCAAATCCAGCGCTCCCCAAGTATCCACCATTATTCACCTCCACTTTGGTGAGCTATACAATTCTACGGAAGCACCAATTGAAAGAAACACAAACACAGTATACCTGGTAATCTTGGTGGTCCTAACGGTTCCAGTCTCCTAGGAGACACACCTCCGCTTGCTGGAAATCCATTAAGTGTACCATTTAATGTGCTTGGAGGAGAGTCCCATGCCTTCAGAGGGGGTAACTCATAGTTCTGCTCTTCTTCTAAAGGTGCCGTTTTATTTTGTCTCGTTCTCTTTTTCTTTTTCTTTCTTGTCTTTTTCACTTCACCTTCATCTGGTGTTGTGGCATTTTCACTTCTTGGTGAAACGAACCCATCTACGTCTTTTCCTTGTTCTTGGTGTAAATTGTCGGTAGATTTATCAAGTTCTCCTCTGGAGTTTGTTTCTATTGGGCTAAATGAACGTGGAGTTTCATCTTCATTCTGCTAAGAAGAAAAAAAAATGTACATGAGGTTACGCACTCTGGGGGGAAATTGGTTGGGGGAAGAGAGCTCCCATGGCAATGGTAAAATTCTGTTTCTTTGATACAACTTGGGCATTACTACAAGCAACATGGGTTAGAAACAGCGACATAAGACAGCTGAAATGGCCAGAAGCGACACAAAGATAGGTTGAAACTACCAGCGCGACAAAGAAAAGCACAAATACAACAGTAAAAATTAACACTGACAGGGGCAGGGTTCCTCCTAAATACGTGAAATGACCGGTTTTGAAATTCAGAATTAGCTCGGACATATATAACCCTTAAGGCGGCTTCAATGGTACTCACAGATCTCTTGTTATTTTACAAAGAATGTACAGAAAGTCAAAAGGTCTGCTAAGCAAAAAGAAAAACCTTAACAACACCTAGCCTGTGTACAGATGTCCCCCTCCCTCAGGAAAAATCAGGAGGGGGGACGTCTGTACACAGGCTAAACAACACCCACACAACAAAATTCTGGATAATTTCATCAGGTCATAAAAATCTCCTAGTGTCCTAAAATAATAATACACTTCAGCAATGAGCTCTCTTCAAAAGCAGAAACTGGATAGAAAATGTAAATCAGATTATTAATCAAAAGATTACAAAAAAATCTCACTCTTGTATTTTCTTGAGCATCATCATCTTCCTCATTTTTTAGTTTCTTCTTCTTCTTCTTTTTCTTTGTTTTCTTTTCTGATGTCTCTGGCTCTGGGGTGGCTTCTTTCTCTTTCTCTTTCTTTTTCTTTCGAGGTGAGGTTGGATGCTCAGGCGTTCCCCTACCTTGTTTGTTCTTTTTGTCCTAAGTTGAGAAAAATAAAAAAAACTATTAGCATGGGATCGGAGGGCCAACGTCTTTAATTGCTCTGTCACTAGGATTGTTTCACGAGAGAGACATTTACGTTTAAGCCAAAAAAATTCCATACTAATGATGTAAACCAACGTTTACATTGATAACCCATGGAATGTTACATTCCAGACCTAAGTATGTAAATTTGTTGGAGCTTCTGCTCATTCTCGTCCATTGCCAAAACATTTTGGGTTCTGCTGTGAATTTGGCACCAGCAAAGCTAAAACACTTCTTGTAAAGCAAATTATATACCCATAGGAAATGATCATTCCGTGGGAGATTCAGTGCCTCATACATTTGATCCTTGTGACTTTTGATCTTTGTCTGCCGTCCATGGACAAACTAAAAGATAATTACTACTGTACATCAACCAACCAGAGCTCCTGACCAGATTCTGGACAGATTTACATAGCATGGTAGTTTTTGGACAAAAATGCAGATGTCCTTCCCAAGAAACAACTCAGTGACAGGGATAAAAGTTAATTATTATAAAGAGGCTCTGCATGTATCCAAAGCCAAATAGCCATAGATTAGCTTCAAGTTTTTCAACTTTTTTTTGCCTTTTTTATGAACTTTTGAAATCAATTACACTTAAGAGATTTAATTTGTTTTATTATAAATAATTTTTGGGATTTTAAAATTGGATGCAATCTGACATCAATCATGTGAACGTGTATTATCCTATACAGTGTCTATCCAAATCTGTGAAAAGGGGCCATGGTTGGGCGTCACTAAAGAACATGAAAAAGGTTAAGATTATTGAGATAAGATAAATATTTCTTGGGGAATAACTTTAACAAGACCACTGCGAGTTTAGATCTCAAACACAATCTAAGTAAAAGTTGATGGACTCAACTCATACACAATGACCTAGCCCCTAAGACAATTAATAGATCATTAACTTGATATGATTAATTATCGTACTTTGCCAACAACAACACCATCATCAGACTCTTCTGCTGCTTGCAACTTTGCTCTCTCTGCAGCCTCTTTCTCAGCTTTTTCTCTATGAGTAAAAAAAACATAAATTCAACCAACAATGAATCTCACTAGTCTAACAAATCAAAAAATTGCTAAACCATGCACTTGAGTCAGTATTAAAATAATGACCAGTTCTTAATCTTCAACGTACACTTATGGTGCCTTTACATTTTCTATCAATATATGTATGAAATACTTTGATCTTAGAGAGTATTGGGAAAGAGTACTAGTCAGCAAAATATAAATAAGCAATCTGATTTCCCAATTGGATTTGAGAGTGGTTATCGGGGGGTTATAAAGTATACTCATGGGTGCCTGATTATGTAGATTATTTCTAAGTCTCTCCAAAAATGGCAAGTCCTGCAAAATACTGAGTCTTGAATTCTTGGCAATTAGAATATGGGACTTGGAATCTCAAGCTTGATATTACTTGGATCTTCTTGACCCCTTTGGCTTTCAGAAAGTGTCTTATAAACAGGGTACAAAGAAAGTTAGTTTCACAGCTTTCCCTAGCATGTACTAGCCCAATAGTCATTCAAACTAGCTCCAAGAATTTTTTGAAGAGCAGGATTGCATAAAGTACTTCTGTAATTTGACCTCACTTGCCCATTGGGCAAGTTGAGAACAGAATTCACTAACCTGATACCAAAATCAACCAGCCTGCGCTATCAGACACAAATTTCTTACACAATGATGAAAAATTAATAATCCCATAAACTCTGTTTTAGTCAATTTACATGTTTTCTGACAGCAGTAATTTATGTAGAGATGTATGCATGCAACACACCAAATCTGTTTGAAGGTTTTATTTTTGAACTTTGCGGGAATTGGTTAGAGCTACAGGTATTTAGCCTTGAGCTCAGCTTGTCTGAACAGAGAAGTCTCGATCAGTCTTGGTCTCAACAGTACGTGGTCTTAAAAAGTCAGCAATTACCATCCAGGGGCACCCAACGAGAATATAGTTCAAAACCACTAAAACATAGCATTGTTAAACGTATTTTGTTATTTAAACGGTAGATATAGGCATATTTTTATCCCCTAAAAATTTTTCATCTGTTCGGATTTCGTAGCTGAAAGTCTAGTGATCCGAAAATTATAGGGATCGAAGCTTACCTTTTCGAAAATTTCAGCCAGAAAAAAGGCTCCTGAAAATTCTAGATGACCTTTTTAGGGTAAAAATCCGTTAAAAATAGGCAATTATACCATATTTTAGATGTTCGAAAATCCTAGGAGAAGCAGGCAACCAAGAAATTTTACAACAAATGTTCCGAAAATTCTAGATCTCAAATCGTCTTCCGAACAGATATTTTGCCGAAAATTGTCGTTGGGTGCCCCTGACCATCTTATACCTCCTCATGACCTTGTTTGCTGTTGGGTATTAAGTTTTTGACATGAAAATCACTTAGAATACCTTGCTTCTTTGGCCAGTCTTACTCTTTCCCTTTTGAGCTCCCTCTCTTCTTCTTGCGCCCTTTTCTGAATGAAAGAAAAATTACATCTGATTCCATTGACATTATCATGTTTCTCTAATTATGTAGCCTACCAGCCTCCATTATTAAAGCCCCAATTTGGAAAAAACTCCCAGTCTGATATAGAAAAAATTAAATAAGCCCCCACACCTGATATTAATTGTGTCTATTTCTGAATGAAAGCCTAGCCGAGCTGGGCTGTCACTAAGTGCTGGGGCCGGAGACTAACTCCTGTCCAGACCATACTATAAGCATAATCCTGGGCTGTAGTACTTTCATAGGAAACAAAGGGAAAACAGCACTGAAAGAACTTTGCAGCTGTTATTGATTTCCCATCTACTAATTTTTCAGGTTTTAATAAATTTATTGATATAATACCTGTTCAGCAATGTCTTTTTCCACTCTTCTTGATAAATCTGCATAATCACTAGATATTTCAGATAAGAGCCAACGGAAACCTGGGGCAAAAGTGTCCAACAAAAAACTAATGTCAAAATAAAATGGCAAAAAACATCACAAAATTATTAATGCTATGAAAACGTTTGCTGCTGTTTAAAGTACAATTGTAGTTTCATTTGTAGCCAAGCTCCATGTGTGCACCGACCCCCATTCCGAAGAAAATGTAGTAATCTAACCATCCGAGAAATTTTGGTAATCACGTGACTGTACGTCTCACCAACCGACCATCTGTCCGCACCGCAGGCATACCAATGTAAAATAACTCAATCAACAGGTATGGCAACCCAAATGCAACTCGAGGTTATTTGGGTGGGAAATCACATAGCCAACCACGTCTTGTGAGGCAGAGACAACTAAAGAGTCAATAAAGACGAAACTGGAAAGCATAGATTTTTTCTGTATTCGTGTTGCCTAAGGTATTAAGCTCACATTAATTGTCATGTCTGCAAATTTGGAATATAGAGCAAGAGAAAGACAGAGAAAAAGAGAGAGTGGGTGACAGGCCAGCAAAGCTCGACGAGAAAAAGAGTGACAGAGAGTTAGCGCGAGAGATAAAAAACAAAGGACACACTTTTTGGTGGAAGAACAACATGAAAATTTTGTAGCAATGGTGAGAAAATGAGAAATGCCAGCCCTCTACCAATTAAGCCTCCCAACCTGCTATGACTATTTGATCCATATGAACCGTTTAAGCCCTAATACCATTTAATCATTTTGAACTCTTCCTGTTGCCCCTGAACATTACAGAAAAGGAGGGGAAAGTTATCAAAATACCACAAAAATTCATCTTGTTGGATCTTTTCCTTAATCCTTACTCTGCTTTATGAAGCATTAATATAAAAAAGAAAAAATATATATTTTGTAATGATAAAACTCTAACAGCTTAAAATGTTACCTATATCTACTAACCTTTCTTAATTTGCCTGTCTACTTTATTTCCTTTACCAAGCACTGCTGTACAACAAAACTAATAAAAAAAGAAAAAGAAACCAACCTTTAACTACAGAACTCTTACAATTTTGCACATCACACAAGACAAAGTTTTGTGTACTGTAGATAAAAACTTACAACTTCGCAGGGGCACTTGTATCTGTCCACAAGTGTATCTAACTCAAGTCGTCGTTGTAAATCATTTTCATTCAGTGCTCCATCACAGTCCTGTTTATTGCCAAGTCTATGCAAAAGAAACATTTGGAGGTTGTAGGTTCATAGTCCAAAAATAAGTGATTGATCAATTTACAAAATAATTTGACAGTGAAATTCCATGTCACTTATTAATATTAAATATTAATATTTAAATTTCCTCTGGCAATATCCCTTTCTTAAATCTAGAATTCCACAGCAAGTGTGAAATATGAGACAAGATTTAAATTTCGACTAATAAGAAGCTAAGAATAAATTTAAGTAACAACCTAGCAATGCAATATTATTTTCTTGTATTTTAAGTAACTTACATAAGAAGAGGTTTCCCTGCCACTCGAGGCTGCATTTCGGTTTCATGAAGAATTTTCTTACATTCTTCAAGCCTGTCTTCATCACTAGCATCTACAACAAATACTATCCCATATGACTGAAAAAAGGAAAAAATACACAAACAATCAAACCTCAGCTGCATTGTTATTCAAAGTGATGTCTGAGGAGAGATTAAACAGAAGACAACGCTGACCTGCATTCTCCTTTATTAATCATATTAGTGGAATTGTCTTACAGCATTTGCAGGAATTCAGCAATTTTACAGCGCTTTCACTAAGGTCAAATCATTTCACTCATGTTGCCATTCATGTGCTGATGTTAAGTCTTTTCACTGCCAGCCCTCCCCTCACTCTAGATGTGTCTTGGTAAAATCTAAAAAGGGTCACTGCGGTATTTTGTGTGACACTTCCTGATCTTGATCCACCTCTACACTAGAGAAGCTAAGAATAATTTTCATAATTTCTAACCTCTGCATAATAATTTTTCCATATGGCCCTTATTCTCGCTCCACCACCAACATCAAAGAGAGAAACATGAAATCGATGCAGAGAGAAGGAAGAATTCGAAAATCCAATTGTTGGGGTTATTCCATCTGTAGTTTCTGTAAAAAAAAACAGAAATTACTTATGAGAGGGTTTCCATAAAAACCCATGTAATACTTCCATTGTTACCCATCACTTTACTCAAGAAAATAAAGCATTCCCTGGCAGTCCAGAGGACGGGGGTACATGTGGTCCCTAAAAAAACACTGTAGGGCATGTTACATGTAATATAGGGAGACTATGTTACAGGTCGTTAAGTTAAAAATTTATAGCCTTTTAATAATTAATAATAATTTAATTACTTATTACATGCAAGTTCGCACATGTATACGATCAAATTTCTTTTGTCTTCCAGCCCTTATAATTATGAATTAGGAATTGGAAACAGGGGAAACAATAATATTTTATTGGGAATCAACCTGAAGTTGTTTTAGTTTTGAGTGTAACCTCTTCACTGAAAATGCAGTGCCAGTAAGCAAAGGATGCTGCTTTAAGATATTTGATGAATTTGGCCATTAAAATCTCTGTTTCTCCCTTCCTTTATGGTAACATTATTTTAAGAAACCTTTATTGTAACATTATCATTATTATTACCGGTATTATTATTATTATTATTATCATCCTAACTATAACAAAATTCTCGAATCTGATTGGTTATCAGCTGCTCTGATTTCAGCCTTAACAGGACAGTACGCGTCATGCCTAAGTAATTGGACAGTACGTGACATCATGTGCGTGCTTAAATGGCTTTTTTTTCATTGCTAGCAAAAACATCTTAAAATTTCTTGTGTTTCGATTTTAAAAAGAGCGTTATATATCACAAATTTTGTTAAAGTCATGATTAATTGGTAACAGAACGTCGAGTTGTCCAGTTTGGTCTGTAATCATAACTATGACAAAATTCTCAAATATGATTGGCTATCAACTGTTCTGATTTCAGCCTTAACAGGACAGTACGTGACATCATGTGCGCGCTTAAATGGCTTTTTTTTCATTACTAGCAAAAACATCTTCAATTCCTTGTGTTTCGATTTTAAAAAGAGCCTTATATATCACAAATTTTGTTAAAGTCATGATTAATTGGTAACAGAATGTTGTGTCATCCAATTTGGTCTGCAATCATACTCGTGATTAAACAAATCGGTCGTCCGATTTTGTTAAACACTCATATGATTACAGACCGAATTGGACTCCACTCCACGTTATTACTATTACTTATTAGTAAAATCCAACTAGTGGTCTATTATCAATGCTGCACTCTGATTGGTTGAGCTACTACTAGGCTATATGTTATAGTCCACTAGTAGTGAAAAGTGCCGGCTTTGAAAACAAAAACAATAGTGGCTGAATTGCGTTTTGCTAGCTAAAGTTGGTTTGTCTGAATATTTTTGACCAACTGGTTGGATTTTACTGAAACAATATTGTTCGTCTCGCCCTCATGGCCTCTGAATCAATAGCCCATTTGGCCTTTGGCCTCATGGGCCACGGACTCAGATACCATTCGGGATCGAGGAATAATTTTTAATTTTCATCATCATCACTTGAAGGTTTGTTAACAAATCACCCCAGTTTTAGAAGTCTGCTTGCAAATTTAACAAATGTTTGACAACAGCTGCTCAGCTGTGAGGAGTCTGGTAACCCAAGGCACACAAATAAAAGGCAATACTACAGTTACTCAAATAGACAACATTTTCATCCATGTGGTTTATTTACTACTCCTCCCCAAGAGCCAAAAAACTCCCTGGCAAGACGACCATATTAAATCACCTTTGTTTTTCCAGTTTCTTGAGCAGACAAGAATACAAACATTTGCTTTGGTCTATTATATTAAGATAGCACCCCGCGATCCGTAACTTAAATATGACCTTAATCTTATTTTTCAAATTTAACTTAAATCTAATTAAAAGGGACAAGATTATTAAGAGGTTACCATCCGTTCTCGGAAGAACGTTTTCGGCGGAAGATGGCTATCGTGCCGGGAATAGTGTATCTCCTTCTAAGATTTATTTGTGTATTTAGGAAGTGTCAGTATTATTCGGTATGAGCTCCTCATCTACAGAGAAAGCTTAACTTCCTCACCATCAAAAGCAATGTAAGCTTATCAGTAAGAAAAAAAATGTAATTGAAAACGAACCTCCCGTTAAATCGGCAACTGTTGACGTTTTCCCCGCGTTATCCAAACCAACCATCAAAATGGTAACCTTCCTGTAGAATAACATGGGGCAGTAATTTAATATTAAACCTGAGAGAAAAAAGATACGCTTACCCAAATATTTCGACATCATAGTTACCAGTGAGAAAAAAGCACATATTTTTAAGCTTATATACAGAAGTGTCAACTTACTTCCATGGCTCCCTTCTTCTCTTCACCCATGAAAAACAGTTTGCCATAAGACCGATCATCACTGACAAAGTGTCAACCTTGAAATGTCACCTGCAAGAAGACACAAGCAACGCTTGCAATATTCACAAACACTGGCCAATCTTGAGTTCATTTTGTGATTTTGATCACTTTCTAGTGCTTACGAAGAAGTCACGTGATAATTGATTGAAAGTGCTTTGTTTCCTTGACAACGTTTCGGTTGGTAAACTGGGATCAAGTTTGCCTCGCCTAAGTATTGAAGGCTTGGTGGCTGAGCCGCTACAACGTGGTCCAGAAGCGCGCCATTTGCGCTCAAAAAGTCACTCATTTTCTGCCACGGGCTCAGAGCAATACTCTTTGAAAAACCGTTAAGATCGATCCAAGGACAGCTGCTGCGTTAAAGTCATGGGAGATAAAGTTTTAGTCATTGGCGGAGGAGGAAGAGAGCATGCTATTGCATGGAAACTCGCCCAATCAAATCATGTTGGTAAAATATTTGTAGGACCGGGAAACGCGGGAACCGCGGGACTGACGTCGAAAATAGAGAATGTTTCTCCATCAAAACTTAACCAAAACGATAATGAAAGCATTGTGAAGTACTGCGTTGATAACAAGGTGGATTTTGTTATAATTGGGCCCGAAGCACCACTGGCCAATGGCCTCGGCGACGCTCTAAGGGACAATAACATTCCATGTTTTGGTCCAAGTCGCGCCGCGGCTAGAATCGAATCTAGCAAACATTTCGCGAAGGGTTTCATGCAAAGACACAACATCCCTACAGCTCGTTGGCAAGCTTTTACGGATCCTGAAGAAGCGTGTAAACATATTGAGTCGGCTGATTATGATGCTTTGGTGGTGAAGGCAAGTGGTCTGGCGGCTGGAAAAGGAGTCGTTGTGGCAAATAGTAAAGAACAAGCTGTCACAGCTGTCAAGGAGATGCTACAGGTAATTTGATTACCTGTTTTAAAAATGAGAAGGGAGAGAGAAACGAGGAGTTGGCACTTGCATTAAACCCAGTGCATTCAATAGAGCAAAACTGAACAATAATTCAGTCGAGCCCTATTGGCAAAAATAATTCAATCGAACCATTGATTCAGATTACCGGTAATCCCTTTGACTGATTTAGCCAGTTGATTTCAGCCAGGTTTAATAGTTATTAATTATAAATGCAATCATAATTAAGCTTTTTGGTAAGACTGATTACTAAACACAATCAAACTTAATCAGTTGATGAATCAGTTTGATTGGTTTGTTTGAGTCTTTTTAAAAAAGGAATTATTATTGATTGTTTGATTACAATGTATTTTTAGCAAGAAATTCTTTCTTTATCATAATTTTTATTTTGACCTTTAAAGATACATTAACTCCTCCACTGAACCTCCTTCTACCACTGTAATGATGTCTGGAACTATGGAACTTTGCCGTGGTGGGCATATCAAAAACGCTCACCTTCATTCGTCTTTTTTAGTTTTAACACAATTCACTTGAAATTTTTAAACAATATAGAACTCACCATTCCAAAAAACGTATGTTTTTTGTTTTTCAGATTTTGAAATTTTTGGTAGGAAAATGTCTTCTCAAAGTTCTCACCAAATTTTGTTCTTAGTATAAAGGGATATCTACAGATGGTTTCTGAAAGAAGTCATCACAATGTAACCGAGCTCGATAATTAGCTCACAAAGCATTTTCTTTTCGGTATTATTTTTGCGGTTCCGTTTATCGTTTTCCCACGGTACGCGTTTCTTTAGTTGTGCTTTGTGGTTAGCCGTGTTTTATCTAGCTCTGTGATTTCTCCGCCTTTACACCCATAAACAGGAAAGAAATTAATTGATTTTAGCTCGCTTTAATTTGCCGCCATTGCTGTAGTTAACCGCGAAACTCTCCATTTGTTTCCTCCTATTGTATTAACAGAACACATTATGTATTCTGCGGTAAAGCGATAATAGTGTTTTACAAACAGGCGTATTGCCAAAAGGAAGATTTCACTGTTTTGTGGCTTACCTAGCTATAGTTGTCCAATAGTATTGCTAATAACAGGATGCGAGCTGTTTGTGTTCGGCGATATAAATATCGCCTGCGTAGCGTTTCTACGCATTACTACAGTTCCAGTTGCCGCGTTCACTAGTCAAGCCGTGGGACATAGTTTTGTAGAGTTCTCCCTCGCTGGAGTGGGTAAGTGTTCTCCTTTTGCTGTTTTCCTAGGATGTTCTTCGTTCTCCTTCGAGGTCATCGTGTTTATGAAACGTCCAGCGACCGTAGTATTACTTTCGTGTTGTAGATTTCATCGTTTCTTGGTTTTGTTGTTTTCCGCTGTTGTATCGAGCACTTTCGCTCTGAAATCATTGTCCTTTAGTTTCGTAGCCGTTGTTATTCCTTTAGCGTAGTGTTTTGCTTAGTTTTGCCACCGTTTTGTGCGAGATCGTAGATCACAACCTTTCAGTTTGACCTCGTTTAGCTTGTGTTTTCTTGTCCTCGTATGATATGACTCTTGACACGAGTCACGTGCTATTTGTCACGCTTGTTCTTCTTTCGTGACCTAGCATGATGTTTCCTAGCGTGTTTTGTTTACTTTTCACATTTTAGTGTAGTTTTATTCTCTTAGTTGTATTGTTTAGCCGTCGTAGTAATTTTTAGCGTCGTTGTTTCCTTTTAGCGCTATTGCCCTTTTCATCGCCCCTTTTCTTTCCCTTTTTGTTGCTTTATTCGTTTTCCTAGTATTTGTTTTTTATTGTATTTCTTTCCCACTAATTGGCCATTAAATTCTTGTTTGTTTTGTACGCATTTTGTCTTTCATTGGTTGTCATTCGCTACCTCCCCTACTCGCGCGGCTCGGTCACATTTTGGTACCAGAAGTGGGGTAGCGAATATTATTTGGCTTCCAAAATCTTAGAAATACAATAAAGCACTAGGAGTAGAAAAGGGCAATAGAGGTCACATCCCATATGGAGGGTGAGGTGGAGCAACTCAAACAGAAGCTCCAAAAATTGGAGGAGGAACACAACCAGACATATCAACTCCTGAAAACCCTCCAAGCTAAGGAATCCCCAGGAGCTCCAGCCCCATCCAAACCCCAGGAAAAGCAGTTAGTGGTGATCCCCAATGAACAAAAATTGAAGAAGTTTAATGGAAGACATGGTGATAACGAACTGTCCATAGAGGTTTTATTGATAATGCGAAAAGCGCAATCACCTCAAGAGGACTCCCCCTCCCAGAGCAGGCGAATTTTGTACTCTCATACCTAGAGGGCCCCGCTAAAGAAGAAATGAAGCTCTACCCTAAAAGTGACCTTACGAATTCAGATAAGATCTTCGACCTCCTTCAAGAGTCTTTTGGCGAGAAGCATTCTGTTCCCCAGCTCTTAAAAGCTTTTTACGACCGCCGACAGAGGGAAGGTGAAACCCTTCGTGCATTCTCCCATGCCCTGAGAGAACTGCAAGCCAAGATACAAAAGAAAAGTGTGACCAAATCAAGTGGCCAAGACGCAGCCCTTGAGACCACTTAGCCGAAAATGTTAGAGATCCCTCCTTGAAAGGAACTCAAGAAGTTTATTAGAACCCACCCAGAAATTTCCTTTCTAGACACCAGAGAGGAAGCTATTCGATGGGCGAAGAAGGCGAGAAGTCCTGTGGACCGCGCCCCAGGGTGGCTTCGGCCGCATGAGACCAGTACCTCCACTAAGCCCTCTTCCATTGAATCAGCTATGAATGAGATGATTAAAACCTTGCAAGGCCAGCAAAAGGCTATCGAAGACCTAGCAGCCAATCTCAAGAAGCTGAATACAGTGCCCACCCACAGAGGACAGAATATACAGCCTCAGCCCCAGTTCCAGCAGCGTCAGCCTAGACCTGGCGAGGTGGCGACAGGTGTTATCAGTGTGGAGCACCAGGACACTTTGCCCGGAATTGCACAGCACGGTAGACCCCCCCCCTCCGGAACCTCACCCCAGGCCTCCACCTAACCCGTCAAACTAGCCCCCCCTGCTGCTGAGAGTCAGGCAGCAGGAGGGAACAGTCCTGGCTCACCTTGTCCCCACAGTTACCTGGAATTGTCTATGAGAGAGCAGTTGGAAGTTGTCCAGTCACTACTGTGAAGCTGGGGGAGTACATGTACGCTGTCTTCTTGATTCTGGATCACAAGTCTCCACCATCACTGAGAGTTTCTTTAATAAGCACTTCCGCCCCTAGAAGGAGCAAACTGCTTGACACAAACCAATGGCTTACCCTTACAGCTGCTAATGGCCTGGAAATACCATACATTGGTTACCTGGAACTAGACTTTGAAGCACAAGGTGTAACCATCCTTCAGAGAGGTATTCTCGTGGTACGAGACCCCCGGATCCCCAGTCAAGAGCCCGTAAAGAAGCTGTGCCAGGTCTGATTGGAATGAACATTATACAAAGAATGAATCAAGAGATTAAAGAACCCAAACTCCTAGAAGACTCTGCTTGGTCTAATACACTCCAAGTTGCAGGGAAAGCTATGACGCGTCAGTTAGAGGAGGATTTATGAAGATTGCAGGCAAAAGCGATGTTAGGATCCCAGCTGGAATGGTCACAACTGTAGATGCCACTGGTTATCGAGGATCGCAGCCTGGTGAAGATCCAATTGTCCTTATCGAGCCCCTAAGAGATTTGTCATGTCATGGACTGGTAATCATGAGCACCCTCTCATCAGTCAGTCGTGGACGTGTCAAAGTACAAGTTGCTAACATAGCACAAGAGGACGTTTGGCTTCGCCCCGTGAGAGAATTGGTATAATGCATGCAGTAGCACGTGTCCAGGATGACAACCAGGCAGTTACCTTCACACAAGTCTCTGCCAGTGAAGTAGTCATACAACCCAAGCCGAAGAATCCCCAAGAAAGAAGATTCCCCAAGTCTACACCCATTCCCCTGAAGACATGCATTGCACCCCTGAGCAGCAAGCAAAACTTGATGAGCTCCTGGCCAGGTACAAGGACATGTTTGTTACTGATGATGATGAACTAGGCTACACCGAAACAGTAAAGCACAAGATATTCACCACAGATGACATCCCTGTAAATCAGCCTTTCCGAAGAATACCCCCCGGTCAGTACCAAGAAGCAAAAGAACACATTCAGAAACTCCTAAGTCAAGGCATCATCCGAGAGAGCCACAGCCCCTATTCCTCCCCAATAGTACTTGTACGGAAGAAGAATGGTAGCCTCCGCATGTGTGTGGATTACAGAAAGTTAAACGCAAAAACAGTTAAAGATGCTTATCCCTTACCTCGGATTGAAGAATCCTTCGATGCACTGCAGGGAGCAAGCTGGTTTTCTACCCTGGATTTGGCAAGTGGTTTCAACCAGATAGGAGTAACTGAAGAAGACAAAGCGAAGACTGCATTCATAACCCCCTTTGGTCTGTTTGAGTACAACAGGATGCCTTTTGGACTCTGTAATGCACCTGCGTGTTTTGCTCGGCTTATGCAAGCTTGCCTAAATGAGCAGATCTTCCAGATTCTGCTTGTTTATTTGGATGACATCCTGATCTTCTCGAAAACCTTTGAAGAGCACCTTGAGAGACTAGAAATGGTCCTTAAACGCCTGAGAGAACACGGTTTGAAATTGAAGTTGGAAAAGTGTACCTTCCTGCGTAGAAGAGTAACCTACCTGGGACATGAAGTATCCGGTGCTGGTATTGCCCCAGACCCCCAGAAGATAGCAGTCGTACAAGAGTGGCCAGTTCCCCAAACTGTTAAGGAACTCAGAACCTTCTTAGGCTTTGCAAGTTACTATCGAAGATTCATTGAAAGCTTTGCCAAGATAGCAGGACCCCTTCACCAGCTAGTGAACAATTCACTTCATGAACTCAAAGTTAACAAGAGACTTTTGTGCCCCTTTAAAGAGAAATGGAACCAAGAGTGCCAAGAAGCATTTGACATCCTGCGTGAGAAGCTCACAACTGCACCAGTACTTGGTTATGCAGATTACACCAAGCCTTTTATTGTGGAGACAGATGCTAGCCATGATGGACTAGGAGCTGTGCTATCCCAGGAACAAGATGGTAGACGTAGAGTTATCGCTTATGCAAGTCGTCGGCTCAGACCTCCAGAGAAAAACATGCAGAATTATAGTTCCCGTAAACTAGAGTTACTAGCGCTGAAGTGGGCTATCACAGAGAAGTTCAGAAGTTACCTGTTAGGAACAGAATTCGTGGTGTACACAGACAACAATCCCCTAAGTCACCTTCAGTCAGCCAAGTTAGGAGCAGTGGAACAGAGATGGGCAGCTGAATTAGCCTTGTTTAACTTTAAGATGAAGTACCGCCCTGGTAGAGCTAAGGGGAACGAGATGCCCTTTCAAGAGTAGCACGTGGAAATCATTTAAAAGGAAATCCCGCATGCTGACGATTTAGCTGAGATTCAGTTGGAAAACATTAGCGTCACGCAATCCACCCCAGTTCCAGTCGAGCTGAGAGAGTTGGTGACGACCTACACCTCCCAAGAACAACTGAGCACAAGTACCCCAGAGACAACATTCACCAGCCTACCCTCTCACAGTCCAGCTGAGTTACGAGACATGCAGATTTCAGACTCCGTCATCAGTCGCCTCCACTACTACAGGCAAACCAACCGCAAACCCACCCCCCAAGAAAGGAGAGGAGAAACACGAGATGCTGTTACGTTGCTCAACCAATGGGACAAGGTTGAAGAGGAAAATGGCATACTGTATCGAGTCATTCAAGATCCCCATTATGCCAACGAAAACAGTTGATCCTTCCCCAGAAACTGAAAGAGAAAGTACTTACCAGCCTACATGATGGTATGGGCCACCAAGGGACCGAGCGAACATTACATCTGATTAGAGACCGTTGCTACTGGCCGGGAATACATAGCGATGTAGAAGCATGGATAAAGAAATGTGAAAGATGTACCTTGTCGAAAGAACCATTACCACGTGTTAGACCAGCCATGGGACACCTCTTAGCTACTAAACCCTAGAAGTTCTTGCGATCGACTTCACATTGTTGGAACCAGCCACAGATGGCAGGAGAACGTGTTGGTGATGACAGATGTTTTCACAAAATTTACACATGCAGTTCCTACCAGAGACCAGCGGGCGAGCACCACAGCTAAAGTACTCCTTAAGGAATGGTTTTTAAGTATGGTGTCCCTCTGAGAATCCACTCGATCAGGGAAGAAGTTTTGAGAATGCAGTGATCACCGAACTCTGTAAGCTGTGCGACATTAAGAAGTCGCGTACCACTCCTTATCACCCGCAAGGCAATGCCCAATGTGAAAGATTTAACAGAACCATGCACAACCTGTTGCGTTCTCTACCACCAGAAAAGAAGAGAAAGTGGCCAGAGTACCTCCCAGAACTTCTTTATGCCTATAATGTTGTCCCTCATGCATCCACCAGCTATTCTCCCAGATTACCTGATGTTTGGCCGTAACCCCGCTTACCACTAGACCTAATGCTTGGAGCAGGCGAAAAGGATCCACCTGAAACAGACTGGCTAGCCTCCCACCAAGACCGCTTACGAGATGCTTACCTCAAAGCAGGGGAGCACCTCAGACAGCAAGCAGATGCACGGAAAGCCACCAGCGACAAGAGTACCAATGACCAGCCAATTGAAAAAAGGCCAGTTTGTCTACCCACGCAGTCATCCCGAGGCAGAAACAAGATACAGGATGCTTGGGATCCCACCTTGTACAAAGTTCAAGAGACGCCAGGACCTACAGGAGCTGTTTATACAGTTGCTCCAGCCCATGGAGATGGACCCAGCAAGAGAGTATATCGGACCCTGATGAGACCATGTCACAGGCAGGTACAGCCATGCCTTGACACCAACCCCATTGTACCGACAGATTTGATTTCCCCAAGAGCGAGACATAATGGAGTGCCCACTGAACCCCAAGACGATGAGGAAGAGATAATTGTGATGAGAAGACGCCCCCATCCTGTATTGAACACAGCACCTCCAGAACCCTGTGAGCCTGTGAACCCCCCGGAAGAATCGGAAACCAGTGAGCCCCCAGTTCCAGAAATGCCCATTGAAGTGACCCCAGGAGATCAAGCGCCCTATGCAGAACCTGAGATTGTTGAACCTGCCGTTCTAGTACCCCCAGTTGCAGAAACCCCCGAAGAACCAGTTCATGTGGGACACCCAGCCCCAGAGCCCCCTGAAGAGACGACCCTGAGACGCTCAACCCGGACGACAGCAGGACAGCATTCTAATCCCCATAGAGCCCCAAGATCAGCAGTAAATAACTCAGTGACATTGACTGTTAAAGACTTTCCAGTATATTTCATTTTGTTATTCTGGTTCTTAGCATATAGCCTTTGGTAAAACGAGTTTGTTAGTTTAAATAAGCATTGTTGTGGTCTGTCGAGGACGACGACCTAAGCAGGGGAGAAATGTAACCGAGCTCGATAATTAGCTCACAAAGCATTTTCTTTTCGGTATTATTTTTGCGGTTCCGTTTTATCGTTTTCCCACGGATGCAGCGTTTCTTTAGTTGTGCTTTGTGGTTAGCCGTGTTTTATCTAGCTCTGTGATTTCTCCGCCTTTACACCCATAAACAGGAAAGAAATTAATTGATTTTAGCTCGCTTTAATTTGCCGCCATTGCTGTAGTTAACCATGAAACTCTCCATTTGTTTCCTCCTATTGTATTAACAGAACACGTATGTATTCTGCGGTAAAGCGATAATAGTGTTTTACAAACAGGCGTATTGCCAAAAGGAAGATTTCACTGTTTTGTGGCTTACCTAGCTATAGTTGTCCAATAGTATTGCTAATAACAGGATGCGAGCTGTTTGTGTTCAGCGATATAAATACGCCTGCGTAGTGTTTCTACGCATTACTACAGTTCCAGTTGCCGCGTTCACTAGTCAAGCCGTGGGACATAGTTTTGTAGAGTTCTCCCTCGCTGGAGTGGGTAAGTGTTCTCCTTTTGCTGTTTTTCCTAGGATGTTCTTCGTTCTCCTCTGAGGTCATCGTGTTTATGAAACGTCCAGCGACCGTAGTATTACTTTTCGTGTTGTAGATTTCATCGTTTCTTGGTTTTGTTGTTTTCCGCTGTTGTATCGAGCACTTTCGCTCTGAAATCATTGTCCTTTAGTTTCGTAGCCGTTGTTATTCCTTTAGCGTAGTGTTTTGCTTAGTTTTGCCACCGTTTTGTGCGAGATCGTAGATCACAACCTTTCAGTTTGACCTCGTTTAGCTTGTGTTTTCTTGTCCTCATATGATATGACTCTTGACACGAGTCACGTGCTATTTGTCACGCTTGTTCTTCTTTCGTGACCTAGCATGATGTTTCCTAGCGTGTTTTGTTTACTTTTCACATTTTAGTGTAGTTTTATTCTCTTAGTTGTATTGTTTAGCCGTCGTAGTAATTTTTAGCGTCGTTGTTTCCTTTTAGCGCTATTGCCCTTTTCATCGCCCCTTTTCTTTCCCTTTTTGTTGCTTTATTCGTTTTCCTAGTATTTGTTTTTTATTGTATTTCTTTCCCACTAATTGGCCATTAAATTCTTGTTTGTTTTGTACGCATTTTGTCTTTCATTGGTTGTCATTCGCTACCTCCCCTACTCGCGCGGCTCGGTCACAACAAGGATGTCAAAAGTAAAAACATTTTTGAAATATGCCTGTCTACTCAAAAGATATAGCATTTTGAAAGTTCAATTTTCCACCATTTTGTTACTAAAAATAGTACAAAATGGTGGGAAAACGCTATATCTTTTGACTGGCTAGGCATATTTCAAAAATGTTTTCACTTTTGACATCCTTGTGGTGAGTTCTTTGTACCATATATGTGCCATATCATCATTATTTTTTACAGGACAAAATTTTTGGGGAGGCTGGTTCAACAATAGTGATAGAGGAAAAGTTAGAAGGAGAGGAGGTTTCTGTAAGTATTCACAATGTTGAATAGTACTGCACACTACAAGATCAGAAATTTTGTTTTGTTTTGTTTTTTTTGCTGGGTTTTCAGACCATTTAGATACAAGGCTGGTATACATGAGACATGGAAAAGGAAGAATTAACTCATTCCTTGCTAAAACATTGGCTAGTTCCTTTATACTGTTTTTCATATTGCTAGCTTAATTCTTACAATTGGGACTGTTTTGTTTTGATTATACCTTTGCCATTTATTTCATGGCTGCATAGTTTGGTAGTTTAATCATAATAAAATCAGCTAATAATAGGCTAACTTATTGTAGGATAAGTTTAAGCAGATTGGTCAGTCATAGGCAAAGTGTCCACGTATAGTGTTGCGTGCCTTTTGTAAAAATGACTAACTTTTTGGAAGCCTTTCTGTGATCCTTTCTACGCTGTTGACATGACAATTACGACTCATTATCTATGTAAAGTGAGATGCAGTAACCAGCATATTTATCTAGCCAAAACACCAACTAACAACTCCATACCTGCTCCATAAAAATAAACAAAGTAACACAATAAAACCCTGTGGTAAGTGTAGTACCAGAAATACCCCTTATGAGTGTCTGCGACTGCCCAGCTTGACAATTACTGAATGCTTTAAAAAAAATTATTTCAGGTACTTTGTTTCACTGATGGTAAAACTGTTGCAGTTATGCCTCCAGCCCAAGATCACAAGCGGTTATTAGACAATGATCAAGGACCGAACACTGGTGGGATGGGTGCATATGCACCGTGCCCTCAGGTGAGTCATGTTCTGCCATAGGTAAACTCGATACTAAACAATTTTCTGCAAAATTGAATTATTCGTAGATGACAATTTCTTTAGTTGAAATGCCTTTTTTGGTGAAAAATCACCCTGCAAGATTAGCAACAAGCCTTGATCCAAAAGTTCACTATTTTATTGGATCAATACATTGCTTCATAAATGACAGATGGTTTCTTGAAATGTCAAACCCCGCTCAATTAACAGACACCCATTTAATACAGACAGTTTGCTTTGTCCATGGATTAAACCCTTTCTTACATATTATCTAAATTTAGACCACTTAATACAGACCCCCCATTTTTATGGACACTTCCTATGGCCCCTCATTGTTCTCAAACAGGGTTTGACTGTGTTGATCCTTAATAGGTCTATCAGCCAGTAACATCACTCCTTCACTTACCTGATACTTTATTAGATTTCCATGAAACACAAAGAAGAAATTGCCAGAGATGTCCTCCAAAAGGCAGTTGATGGCTTGCGAGAAGAAGGCTGTGCTTTTGTTGGAGTGCTATTTGCAGGAATAATGTTAACAGCCCAAGGACCTAGAGTATTAGAGTTTAATTGCCGCTTTGGTGACCCAGGTGAGACAACTTTGCTACCTTGTTACCCATTTTTAGGTAGTTGATATTTACACATAGGGGGTGTTTATGGGAGAATCTTGATGCGGGTTGTCAGGAACTTGTCAGTTTTTGTTTTGTTACATTTTTAAGGACAGATGCCACAATAGGCCTTTTGCATAATTAGTTGATCACATGATCAACTTTCGGTAAACACGAAAACAGTTCACTTTTGAACAATTTTGCTAGCACGAACTGAAAAAGCATATTAAAATTAGGCAACCTGAAAATTTTCAGCCCTATATCTCAAAAGTAGTGATTGCAATGGCCGCCAAAAATTAGAAGGATTTGTGTGAGAAAGACAACTCCTGCCACCCAGTCATGCTTCAGTGGTTTTCCATACAAATCCTTGTAAATTCTAAAATTTTTAAACTGTTGTTAAACCTTTCCCTTACCCATTTAAGGACTCAAATTGCCTGTTTTCAATTAAAAGGAGATTTAATCCCTGTAATGCTTAAGGAAATATTTCACAACAGTTTACAAGGATTTGTATGGAAAGCCATTAAAGCGTGACTGGGTGGCAAAAAATGTTTTTCCCAGACAAGTCCACTTCCGGTTTATGTATCAGGGCCGCCAATAAGGGCTGGAAGCCAGCCAAAACCACCGGTTAGTTAGCCATCCTCAGCCAGCTACTTTCATCTCCCTCTACCATAACTGCTAAAAAAACTACAAGTAGCTCCATCGAATAAAATTTGTAAAGCATCTGTTTCCCAGTTTTGAATGACATTGAACGCATATTTAAACAGGTTTAGATCTGTGAAACATTCGAACCGTGCGATGTTGTGGAACACCTGGGACATTTCGACGGCATTCTTCGCAGTCTTGCATGTATTCTGACTAAACAACATTAGTGGAAAATACCTCTTGAAAACCCCTGGAAATGGCATATTTCAAAATGCCACTAGATGCCTCGGCCCTCAAAACCTTGTGCCTTTGGTGGAAGTTCCAAAGCCGCCTACTACTCATTATCAGCCTGCTACTTAAAAACTCCTTGACAGGCCTGCAAGGGTACAAAAAGTCCATGTCTGGTTGATGTATGTGCTCAAAAATGTCTTTGCTCATCATAAGCTCCCCGTTAAATGCATCACTCAACTTTACTTTAGAAACACAAGTAATTCTGCCACTGCTGAGGAGTGATCTATATGCAACGTTAATGGAATGTGTGAATGGTGACCTTAGCTTGTCTCTCCCCTCCTGGCACACAGACAGATTTGCAGTGGGTGTAGTAGCAGCCAGTGGTGGATATCCAGGTCCTGTTAAGAAAGGCTGTGTTATCCAGGGATTGAATGATTTAATGGTATGTGTTAGTATCTGGAATCAGAATACAAGTTGAACACCCTCCAAAACAAATTCAGCTGTCTGCTGCAGACAGATGACATCCTTACAGAGTTTATTGATAGCTAATTAAGTGAAGGCAAAAGCAACCTTTGCAGTTATTAGCCCCTTCACCCCTTCGAGAGCTGTAAATTTTCTAATAGGAAAAAATAACGTGATGAGTCACAAAATTTTCTTAGAATGTTTTTTCAAGTAACTGACATCTTGGCTTGATTGTAAGTAATTGAAACCTTTATCAACAAAGTCTAGTATAATTCTTAATCAACACAGATTTAACAAATGGATACCATTATAGCTATTTAAAAATTTACTGCCATTAAAACAATTTTTATGGCTGTGAAGATGACTTGCTTTTTTTACCAAAAGGGGCATTTAAGTGAGTCCTTCACATACAGAAGTAAAGATGATTTTTTTAGCAAAAGGTTGCATTTTTTAAATTACTTTCTTTGCAAAGGAGGAAGAAAACGTGGTGCTATTTCATGCTGGGACAGCTGTTAAGAAATCTGGCAGTGATGAGGATGTGGTAACATCTGGAGGGAGGGTCATTGCAGTTGTTGGAATGGCTCAGACTATACATGATGCTCAGAAAACAGCTTATCAAAGTATCAAGAAGATTACTTTTGATGGCATGCAGTACAGAACTGACATAGCAGCCAGGGCTTGTAGGTATGCAAAAGTAGGCTGTTAACACTAAACAAGTTTGTAGTTTGAGTGACTTCTGATGTGTTGTTGGAGGTCTAACATATCTAAGGCATGAGAAATTTTAACCTCTGTGTTTAAGAATATCTGTGTAGTTACATTTACATCGAGAAATCGGCCAACATTTTGCAATGCCACCAATTGTTTTTATCTGAAATGACTTCTGGGTAATGGCGCATCATGAGTATTAAATTTTTGTGCTCGTTTTACAGATATAATTTTGCAGGGAAACCATTGGTGTGTTCGCAAAGTGTCAGCTACTTTCTCAGGCCATGGTGTAATTCTTAAATGTAGAGTTTCAAATAAGAATCTTCACTGACTTTAGAGCCAACAAGTTCACTCGCGTCTTCCCCACAAAATTAAGCTATGGACAAAGTACTGGCTTTAATAACTCAATCATTGTAATGACTTTGCCGGAAAAAGAAAAGAGATGTCGCATTTGAACTTCCTAAGAAACCAGTTCATAAGCTGATTGATTTTTAACCCAACAGGAAAAACGGCCTAACTTATTCAGATGCTGGAGTGGATATAGATGCTGGTAACTTGCTGGTGAATGCTATCAAGCCCTTGGCTTCATCAACTGCTCGTACAGGCTGCACAGCAGACTTGGGTGGGTTTGGAGGATTCTTTGATCTCAAAGCTGCTGGGTTCAAAGACCCCTTACTTGTCAGTGGCACAGATGGAGTGGGAACTAAGCTGAAGGTTTTTGACCAGTTATTGTTACCTTCTCCTCAGATATGAGACACTGTCATAAAGAATTGTCTTTCTGTATTGGATATAAATTATGGTTGGTTGAAAACTGGACTAAAAGAAAAGTATACAGAAACAATAAAGTTGTATTATTATTTGAACTTTTTGAGAAACCAGTTATTTCATACATCTTTAGGCATAAACAAGTTCGAGGAACTTTCTGGCTACTTTAAAGTGCTACTACAACGTAAATTTTGTGTGTCCTTTACTCTTTGGTTTCTGGAAGACAACTTACTGTTCAGGTATCATGCCATTTTTTAGCCCAAGGCACTACAACAACCTTGATAGTAGCAAATGGAGTTTGATGACCGCTTATCAAATGAGTCAAACAAAATTTCAACAGCATTTGAGTTAAGTGTGTAAACTACAGATTTGTTGATTGCAGGTTGCTCAGTTTGTTGGCCTGCACAGCTCAGTGGGAATTGATCTTGTTGCCATGTGCGTGAATGACATCCTCGCCCATGGTGCTGAACCCCTTTACTTCTTAGACTATTTTGCTACAGGCAAACTGGATGTGGGTGTGGCTAAAGAAGTGATTTGTGGTATTGCTCAAGGCTGTTCTGCTGCTGGATGTGCTCTTTTGGGAGGTAAATAAATTTTGCGTTTATGACAATTTGGTTAATAGGTTGAAGTCTTGACTCATGCCACAGCCTGCATAAATTTCATTCTCCCTAGCGTTGTAGGGAGACAATGCAAGAGAAAAATACAGATGTAACACTACTGAAAACTATTTCTAGATCTGATCTCATTAGGTTGTGGGACCCTACTGAATGCTCTACCTGTAAAATCATGGAGTACAGGAACCATGAATGATGTCACGGCAGAAACAAGTCACAGCCAACAAACTTGATGGGCACAATTTTCCCCATTCAGAATATGTGAAATGTGGTTCACCACATAACCTTAAGACGAGGAAAAGTTGTTATTCTAAGTTTATTTTATGTGAGGTGTGATGCATTGTGTTGTTCCACTGCTTTTATCACAGGTGAAACGGCTGAAATGCCGGGAATGTACTCCTCAGGTGAATACGATGTTGCTGGGTTTGCTGTTGGCGCTGTGGAACGTGATAAGGTTTTGCCTAAATCCCAAACCATTACACAAGATGATGTTGTAATTGGCTTAGCCTCTTCTGGTATTCACAGCAATGGTTTCAGTTTAGTGAGGCGAATTATTGATGATTGTGGACTAAACTACACTTCACCTAGTCCATTCACCACCACTGAAGGTTTACAGTCTGTTACCAGACTTGGTGAAGCTCTTCTTACTCCCACAAGAATTTACTGTAGGTCTGTACTTCCCCTGATGCATAGTGGCAAAATCAAGGCTTTTGCACATATAACAGGTTAGATTTGCTCATGTTATTTTTTTCTCCCTCTTTAGAATTTTTTCTTGTTTCATTTGTATTATAGAAGCTATATTATATTATTGCTATTATGAGCACATCTGAAATCAAACCTTTGTACGTATTGCACAGAAGGCTGCGCACTAACCAACAATGCCAATCCTTGCTTCTTACTGTCATTATTCTGTCAATCACTCTAAGTCGACTATACTGTTGTTGCTATATTACTGTTGGATACAATGCTCCAAATTGTAAGAGTTTTTTAACACAAGCATTGTAACCTCTAGTAAGTTCTTGATACATGGTATAGTCCAAATGGCATAACCAGGGGCGTTTGAACTTTATGTTTCCCTTTCCTTTTTCCAGGTGGAGGCTTGATTGAAAACATCCCACGAATCCTTCCCCATGGAGTTGGAGTATCAATAGATGCTAGATCATGGACCATGCCTCCTGTGTTTGGCTGGATTTTCGGCCAAGGAAATGTTCCCGGTAAGGAAATGGCGAGGACATTTAACTGTGGTGTTGGCGCAGTTCTTGTTGTTGAAAAAGGAGTTGCTTCGTCTGTTTTGGAGCAATTAAAGGCATCCAATGAACAAACCTGGGTTATTGGCAGTGTTACTCGGTGCGAGGACAACGGTGAAAAAGTGACAATAAGTAATCTTGAAGAAGTGCTTAGTGAGTCTGCAGAGAAGGCTGACATAAAAGTTCAAGATGCAAAAAGAACTGTTAATGGTCCAGTGAAAAGGCCAAAACTAAGCAGTGAGCGAGAAGAAAATAAAAGCCCACAGATGAAAGTGGGTGTTCTCATCTCTGGCTCTGGTACAAATTTGCAAGCACTGATTGACCAAAGTTTACGGCAGGACAGTAGTGCCAAGATTGTACTAGTGATTTCAAACATACCTGGGGTTCAGGGTTTGAAACGTGCTGAGGCAGCTGGTATACCTACTAAAGTAAGTTTATTCTTGGTTAAGGAGTCCTCTGAGTTAACAGAGGTGTCTCGGTATCAGTTATCAATAGGGACCTTAAGATGCGACGACAAGGGGAACGTCAATTCAAAAGAGCAGTAGGTTAAGATTAGCTTTTGCACGTGCATCACGCTTTTTTGTACATTTCGTTGCCGTCACAGCACGACTACCACCTGAAAATGCCTATTTTCACGTTTTAGGGAGGACGTAAACAAGCTGCTACGAAATTTTCTTTCTCTTTCTAAAATTGGATATGGTTGTTAGGAATTCAACTCTAGGAGTGTTCGCCTACATTTGACAAAGTGAGTTAGTTGAAACTGTCGCGATGACGATTGAATGAACGGGAATTCACTTTTTAGGCGATGTTTTTTCTGCCGTCGCCGTCCTCGGATCTCAGTAAGGTCCCTACTGACATCACCATCAGGTTTTCTATTAAGACTGTTAGGTGAGTTTTAGAGGAACTCACTTTCTTAAAGGGCCTTTTTCACCTTAAGGTCTTCCACTTTGTCATATTAAAACGGTTACGTGACAAGTGAGGAATTAGTAACAGTTAGGTAACTTCACTGTCAAAGTCAGTGGTATATTTTCCTTAGCCTTAGTAATAGGTATGACAGGTGAATGAAGTTACGTGACTTGCAAATAGCCTACTGGTGTTCTTTTGCCAGTGGGGATTTTTATTACTTACTATTACCTGGGTGGCTCTTCCACTGAGAGGTCATCATCCATGCGTTGTTGCCGGGAAACCTGAAGTAAAATTTCTGTTCTGTTCTGTTCTGTTCTATACAATTTTTCTTCCAGGTAATCAAACACAAGGATTTTAAAAGCCGTTTGGATTTTGACATGGCAGTACATGCAGCTCTAGAAGAGGCCGGTGTGGAACTGGTTTGTTTGGCAGGATTCATGAGAATAGTGACTGGAGAGTTTGTTCGCAAATGGAATGGCCGACTACTAAATATCCACCCATCTTTGCTGCCTTCGTTCAAAGGAATGCATGCACACAAGATGGTACTGGAGGCTGGAGTTTGTATATCAGGCTGCACCGTTCATTTTGTTGCGGTAAGACGTAGATTGGTCTTACAAAGATTTTGAAGGCTCGCTTAGCAGTGTCTCTTTCGCCTGGAGACCGAAGGACATTTAGTAGGTCAACTGGAGGTTTCTCATTGCTCCTTTTCTTGCCTGTTGCGATTTGAGAATTGACGCCTCTCGATTAATAGTTTGAAAACCGCTGCTAAGATTTTTTTTAATGACGATTTGCTATGGAGTCGTATCGCAGCAGTTTTGTTGCATTTTGTTTTTGTATTTTATAGGAAGAAGTTGATGCGGGTGCAATAGTGACACAAGAAGCTGTTCCTGTACTGAACGGTGACACAGTGGAGACACTACAGGAGCGGGTAAAATGTGCAGAACATAGGGCGTACCCTCGAGCAATGGAACTGCTGGCAAGTGGACGAATTAAACTGAATGAGGAGAACAAAGTACAGTGGATGTGGTGACAATGACATAAAAGGAAACATTGACGCTGTAACTCGCCTTAACCACAGCATGCGCTATGGTTAATAAATAGTTAAACGAAGCAACCAACGCAACGTCGCCGAGGACGAAAATATAATTCACTTTTTAGTGACGATTTCATCGCCGTCGCTGTTGGGGTTGCTTAATCTCCAGAATCTCCCCATACTAGGAAAAAGTTCCACCTTTAAGTTTATCGGTCACAGTGTCAAATAATGTGGAGACACTGCAAAGTACGCGTGTTAACGTAGCCGTGGACGTTTGGTTAGACTCAAGTGTAAATGAAACGCGTAAAACATCTGTCGCTCTTTCCTTGAACAACGACAGTACTCTTTGTGGTACATACGAATAGTAGGTACTGTAGTTTTTTTTTTAATATAGATGTCCCTAAGAAACGGGAGGAACTCATAAAAGCTTTCGCGTGCAAGTGCGTATAATTTTCAGACTAGTGCGCCTGTGCTGACTGTAAGCTATATAAAGAAGGGGGTCACATGTTTATCACAGTGGATAAACTGCCAATGTTTGTGCCTATATATTGTGTACAAGGACTTAAGTTATGGCCGTTATCTCCTTGAAACGAATAGGATTTTGTGAAAAGATAAGTTAACCAGACATTTTGTATAACTTGCCCTGCTATAAGAGTGCAGCCCAGACTAGTTATCATGAAAAAAAAAAAAAACGGTGTAAAGTTCTTTTTTCTTTCCCGGTACAGCGTGGCAAAAGTTAAATGAGTTGCATTCGCAATTGCTGCTCTGATATAAGCTCGTGTGCAACGACATGCATTTACAGAAGATATAAAATATACGCTTCTTTAAAAAGACTGATGAATTGCGGCTCGTTAAATTCCGAGGACCAAATGATGATGAAGCCTAAGGTCATGGATGGCTGCGGGAAGTTTTAGGTGTTTCTAGTTTGGGGAACGGTATATCGGAAGTGATATAAACAGTACTCAGTGAAAGCCCACAGCAGAACCAATTTCCTTTGTTTATTGATGATAAAAGAGGGTGCAAAGAAAATCATTTTTACAGCTTGCTATTTGGGCAAGCTGAAACTAGCATTTACTAGCCCAGATGATCATAGTTCTTCTGTTATTCGAATTCCTCAAAAAACATCACTTGCCCGTCGGGCAAGTTAAAAACAGAATTCACTAGCCCGATAGCAAAATCCACTAGCCCCGGGCTATCGGACACTACTTTCTCTGCACGCTGATAAAATAATTTTGCTTCGAGTTGAAATAAGTAGTGTGGCGAAATAATTCTTAGGCTACAACCCTGGGCAAAAGTGTTGCGACAATTCCATAAGTATTTTGCAATTTTTGCACCATATTACCATCTCATCGTAACAGAAAGAGTACAAGCCCTCTCGCCACCCCCTATTGAAAGTTGTTTTGGTCTAAAAACCAACGCGAATATACTCATGCTAACCAACATTGTTTAAGGGGAGGCGAACATGCGCTCACTTGGCAATGGTTTCCATTTTTGCCAGGATGACGGGAAAAGGGTATTTTTGCAAGATGTCTCAACAGGTTTCGTTCGACATTGTAGCTCAGTTAAAAGAGCACTGGACTGCTGAAGAAGGTATTAGGGGTAGGGGGCTTTCTCTTTTTACACAACGTGGGAAAGGAAGGTGGTGACAAAAACCCCATTTGCACGCGTCAAAAAAATCGGCACGGCACGGCAAATTTTTGGCACCGTGCCTCGTCTACCTGACATCTACTACATCTGCTACCCACTCAAGATCTGCGACAGGCGTTCCTCGCCCCCCAAAAAGAACGGATTACCTTCTTAGTTATCTTGCCCCTTATCTTACTCTTCAAGTCATTCAAGGTCCTCCGTTCATCGGTTGACTTCCCATCTTGATGTTTAGTTGGACAGTTACATTTGGGGACGTACAACGTTCAATCTTTTCCTACCGCTCAGTCCCTTCCCATTAGTTACATTAGACTTGTTTGCTCAGTTCTTCTTAAAAACGAAAACAAAACATCCCGTTCAGAAGGAACTTTTAATAGCATTACGAAGATTCGTCGCTAATCATATTAACAACTATTTTGCCTCTGGCATGTCCACTCTCAAGTTTAACGTAAGCTTCATTTGTCTTGGAGAATGGAAACTCTTCTTGAATGACAGGTTTTATCTAAGAGAGAAAAAGAGCAGAATATTACTTAGAACTATTAAATGCCAACCTCGTAAACATGCAATATCACAACCCCTCCATCCCGGGGTGCACTTTCTCAACATTATTGAATGGTCGCCAAGCACGTAAACAAGAAAAATGCTGGCATACCACGTGTTTTGGCGATTAATGCTCTTCTACACTCACTCCCTGCTCTTGCTGCAACCTTTAGTGCTGTGCCCTTATATTGTTACCTTTAATAATGATGCAACGTCACAGCCAAAGTAAAAATTTGCGCGAATTTGATGTATGACAAATCCGATCCGGGCTAGGCGGGTTACCCAGTTTGGCAGACCGGGCTAACCGCCTTGGCGGGTCACACCACCTATCATGTAAACGTGATCAAATTATAATTAGAGATTATATGGACAGGCGGGTTACCCCATCTAAGCGAGTTACCTCACCTACCCGGGGTCCCCCACCTCTATGTAAACAGGCCCTGAGAGACGACTGGGGAGGAGTCAGAATTTGAACAAGTTTGTTAACGAAACGTACGGTCAATAAAATGGTATCAAAACCCACCACGATGGGTAGTGTCTCAACAGGATATTCAAACATCGGAATGTGGGGTTGAGGAAATATCGATTACCGTCGTTCATATGATAAGCGCCTCCCCTGAATAAGATCCTCCCCTATCGGCCAAATTAGCAATGCAACCCGCATCTAACTTTTTTATATGCGTAACTTTTCACTGGCTTGTTTTGCATCAATAGTGAGTTTACGCAACCAGACGGCAGGAAGAAGAGGACGGCAAAACAATTACTTGCGTGTTTTGTCGCGATCTTCACTTAACACCAACGTTTACTGGTCCTTTACAAAAAGAACTGTTTAAAGTGCCCAAGGAAAGTGAAGTTTGGCGAAAAGTTGTTTCAAACAAAATTATTGTCACGCTTGTCACACAAGATGTGCCGTCTTCTTTCCTCTCCCGTCCTGTTGCGTAAGTTCACTATCACGTTACCATAGTATGAAAATTTCTGGATCTCAACAATCTTTCTTGAGGAAACGTGTGCGCTACCGTGTTGTTCGTGAGTGCAATAACGCACAGGAAAGTCATAAGTGTCAATTATGTCGTTGTTTTTTCTACCATATTTGCAGGATCACAACCTCGTCCCCAGGGCGTTTCCCTCAAAAAATGGGTGGTGGCGCCCCACGCATTTTTTAAGGAAAAGTCCTGGGGACGAGGTTGGCAGGATCACCGTTTGTTGAGATCCTGAAATTTTGCTACCATGGCAACGTGACGTAACGACTCTCTATCAGAGGAAACGTTTAAATCGGTTTCAGTTATAATATATTTCTGTGGTCTTGCAGAAATAATGAATATACATCACAGTTGCAGGAGTTACTAAGATAAAGGGTATTGTACAATCTCAGCCATACTACGTACCATTCCAGATTGACAAAGAGATCGAATGTAGTCCAATGCTGCGCCATTTGGACTAAAGAAACCCCATGAGACCAAACTACCGCTGCAAAAAGCCTACCGGAAAAACAATACAAATACCACTCAGATAAAAACACAAACTAAACTAAATTTGCATTTAGTACCATTCCAAAAACTTCCGTTATTATTTGTCTCCCTTTCATCTTCAGCCTCTTACTTCTAGTCCTCCTCTCCTTTCACCTCCTCCACCCCTCATCCTTGCCTCCCCGGCCAAAGATCGTTCTACCCATCGTTTTCCTCCTCTTCCTAGCCCTTGCTCTCACCACTGTCTTTCTTTTCTTCCTCCTCCTTGCCCTACATCAACACCCTCCAACTCTGATGCTAGCCCTCCTTGGTGTATCACTTTTCCTCCGGTTCTTAGTTCTTGTTCTCCCCGTTGTCTTCTTCCTCTTCTTCCTCTTTGCACCACCTCGACATCTTCCAACCAGGGTTCGCACCATTTTTTGAAGGACTTTTCAAGGACCCTTTTCCCATTTTTCAAGGACTCCAATCAGTGCGAAAAAGAGCCTTGGGTCTATGTCTTTTTCGTTGTTCGACAACATGAAAAATTTTATCCTGAAGGTCTTTCTGTGTTTGCTCCTTTAGGCACTTGAGAATCCGGGTTGGCTAAAGTTTGCACCGACTGCAATTTTCAAGGACTTTCAAGGTGCGTGCAAAGTGGAACCCTGTCCAACTCTCATGTTTGTCCTCTTCACCTTTTCGTTGCCTCCCCCTTCCCCTACTACTCTTCCTTGCTCTGCTACCCCGTATAAATACAAAGGACCAACAAGGGCCTGGGGGTCCGTCAGGCACGGTTCTTAGCTAAGAAGTCATTCCATTTTGTTTTGTCAACTCAGAGGGGGGTCCAGACATTCAGATAAGGGGGGTGGGGGACGGCGGTCATCCAGACCCTGAGATAAGCCATATATGGTTAGGAATTTTTCCCGTTTGTAATTTTAGTTATTTGGAAATAGTTTATATGCTATTGATTGTATAAGACTCCAAATAAAAATCATTTATGTGTGTACGTATGCCCGGTCTCAAAAAAATTTTTTTCAGCCCTTTGGGCCTCAGTCTGGTCGAAAAATAAGGGGAGGGGGCGGGTCCGCCAGGCCCCTCCCCTAGATCCGCCACTGATGTATATACTAAAGGGAGTGTACCTTTTGAAGAGCAGATGAAGTCAAGTATTGCCCTGCAGACAGAAGCCCTAAACCTGTTCCATACTCATCAGTTTTACTGAGGAGGGGTGGGGCAAGGGTCACATAAATGGCACCTTTCCATTTACACAGAAGACTTGTGTATTGTTCACCAACATCTCCTCCAAACGGATCAAGAACCACGTCAAAACTGAAAAGAGATATAAATTGGTATTAATTTATAATGCATCAAATTAAGCAGCGACCCTCTATTGAGTGGCCACTTAACAGTATCAGTGTGGATGTAAGTGTCAGTAAATCACTTAACCCTCTAAGTCCCAAATGTGACCAACATGAATTTTCTCCTAATGATATCCAATACAATTTCAAGAGATTAGGTTATGAAAATTAATAAAATGATCACCTAAGAGAAAATGCTTTAATCTTTCACCAAATTCTCTCAACTCATTCTTTAAGAAAATGTATAGAGATCAGTTTGGAGAATTTGTACGTGTATATTGGGGCTTAAAGGGTTAAAACAGAACATCTTTTAATCAGCTAAAATATATTTCAGTTGGATTGCATTTCCTTCTCTTGTTTGAAGAGCACAAAACTTTCACACCTTTCATGTTCTCCCTTACGGTCTTACAATAAATCCTGGACCCTTTGTTGAGTTCCTCTTAGGGGTGTACGTATGATCCTAGTCTGAATTCTCATAACCAGTCATTTCACATATTAAGGAGGAGGCCATGTCCCTGTTGGTAGTTACTGTTGTATTTTTGATTATAATAATAATAACATTCACTTTTACAGTGCCATTTCCATTGCTATCCAATGGCGCTTTACACAACAATTAATTAAAAAAGAATAAAATAAATAATAATCCACTGTTTAAAAATTTTAAAATTAAGCTACGCGTTAAATTTTACAATATTTGCTAAAATTAATAAAAATATGAATAGAATCAAATAAAAAGAAAATTTTATGGGAAATATGTTCCTAGAGTGATCAGAAATTAAAAGCCTTCTTAAAAAGATAAGTTTTAACTACTGGCAAATGTTTACATTGATTAAGACAATCGCAGGATCTTATATTCTGGAGTAAATCATTCCACAGAGCAGCGGCTGCACATGAGGAGGCTCTTAAATTATAGGACAAACTGACGAGACAATTGGGATTAGAAGATCTAAGTTCTTAGTCGGTATGTATAAGACGTCCAGGTGAACGTGGTCCTGAATAGGACTGTTGTTGTTGACAGTGACTGATGTTTCGACAACCTGTGCAGTAGTCATCTTCAGAGTCAAAGTGAGTTGTATCATGTCAGTTGATGGTATTATACTCTGGTTATTGGTCTGATTGGTCAATTACGTTGCAATGTTATTGGTCGTCTGTCAGTTAAGCCGTGATGTTATTGGCTATGAAGACTCATAATCAGTAATTGGTGCGTTTTGACCAAGGGTCTATTGTCACAGTTAAACAGTCGTCTATTGTTAGTCAAATTGTCAGTTCTCCAGTTGTTCTCTCGTAGTTAGTTTTGCTTGATCTCGTCAATAAGTCATTTGTACGGCACTGGTAACTGTTTGCTACGATTCAGTGGTGTTTGATAGCAGTCTGTAGAATACGTTATACATGTCGCAGAGTCCCAGTCAATTAGATGTTTTGTCTGTAAATGGTGCTCAGCAATGTGTGATTGTTGACGTCACCATTCCTAGTCACTCATTTGTGTTCGGTCAGTCGCGTGCTAAGGTTTCTGCCCTTTTCACCAATGTAAGTAGCCTGGAAGTTGCAGCATTTGATCTTGTATACTGCTCCCTGTCTGTCCTCCAGTTTGTCTCTGTCCTTGACATTAGTAAGCAGTCGTCGTAAAGTGGTTATCGGTTTGTGTGCAACACGTATATTGTAAGGTTGTAATATATGTGCTATAGTTTCAGAGTTGCCTCTGATGTACAGTATAGTCGCTGTCATAAGAGGGCCAGAGTTGGTCTGAGTGTTGGAATCAGTGTTACTGTGAGTGTTCCATCTAACAAAGTCCGTGTTGTAATTGTTCTCACTAAAAGCATCGTTAAGATAATCAGTCTTGTCTTGTAGGCTGTCAGGTGAGTCGCAAAGTAGTTACGCTCATCTCGTCAAAGTCCGGATAGTAGTAGCCTTGTGAGAGTTCGGGTTGTACGAAGACTGGTCTAGTAATCGGTCGGTATGTGTTAGTTTTCTGTAAATAGTCGTTTTTAGTTTGTTGTTGTCACAAGTGACCAAGCAGATCTAGAAAAGGTATCTTACCATTTTCTTTGATCTCCTTGGTGAACTGTATGTCCGCGTTCTGTCTGTTAAGGTGTTTGTGAAAATCGTCGATTCTGTCTTTGCGTACGGTGGTGAATGAGTCATCAACGTAACGTAACCAAAGAGGTCCAGTTTGCGTGAAGGTAGCCAGGGCTTGTTCCTCGACGTTTTGCATGACAATTTCTTCTACATATCATTTTTCCATATGCAAATTCCCAAAAACTTCACTTTCACATTGCAATTGCCATGGATAAAATAGATTTTTGGTCTTCTTAAATGTTTGATACTAAACCATTCATGAAATGAACTCAAACTAGCAGCAGTCCATCCTTGTTGCTGTAACAATATTATTTGAACCCATCTGTATTTTGTTTGCTGCCCTCTTTTCTGTCACTGTTTCAAGGCCATTTTAGCTTTTCAGAATTTCACCCTAACAGGGCATCTGCTTAAAAAAATAAAGTTGATTAATAGAACCAACTGGTGCAATAATGAGTCATACCTTCCTAATGATTCTAGTTGTTCCATCATGTCAGCTGCACTATAATCTATCACATGGTCTGCTCCAAGTCCAGTCACTAGTTCTACTGCATCTGTTGCACATGTAGTAGTGACAAAAGCTCCCCAGGCCTTCAAAAGCTACACAAATGCACTAACATTACAATTTTTGCTTGAATGTCTTGCAACAATGTCAAAACCTATACCAAGAGAATGCGTGTCAAAACTCCTGGCAAGATAAGCACTGGAAGTTCAAATTCAGTTCAGTCTCTGTTGACAGACAGTTGGCAAGCAAAATATATTCTGATACAAAAAGATTTTAAGTTCTAAGCACTTCCACAAAATACAGACTGATCCATGAGGAATTCTGTCTTGAGTTTTTATCTCTTTTTTCTCTTCATGAAGAGCCAACATACCTGGATAGCAAAATTTCCGATCCCACCAGATCCACCCAGAACAAGGACACTATGAGAAAACAAACAATACTGATATTTCGAATGTTTCACAAAATTATCCATTATGAGAGTTTTCAAGCCCTTGCATTTTGTTGTGAAAGGTTGTAAAATTTGTTTCTTCCTGTAGAGTCACTCAAGCTAGCCAGGGATTTCCCTTGGCTACTTTCATTGGAAACAAAAGGAAAATAAAAACGAGAGAACTTACTACCTCTATGCATACACCCACCAAACTGAAAATTTATAACTTTTTTAACTCAAATTGGAAATTTTAAAGAAAGAGTAGGGTATCTGTTCAAATCCAAATGGTCTTTAATATTATAATAAGGCCATAGTGATTAACTGATTATTTCTGTGGCGCCTAAACACACAACAGGAAGGCAGCAAAAAAGACTTTCCCAGCTTTGGATTTAACAAATTCAGTTTTATATCTAAATATTCATTTTGCATGCTTACTGTTTATCGTGAGAGTTTTCAGGTTTAAGACCTGCCCTGCTAGCAAGAGCTGTCCAAACAGTACAAGCCACATATGGAAGAGATGCTGCTTCACTGTGTGTCCAATTGAATGGCTTTATAGACATCTACTGTGCAGGCACAGAAACACACAGACAAAGAAACAAAAAAATAAAAATTGTTCTGCAAATTAATCTTTTGATAAGAGTCTAAAAAAGGAGCCATATGAAAGAAATGATCACACTAGATAACTTTGTGATATGGATAGTACCTTAATGAATATGCAGGCCTGCAGCCTTACCACCTAAGCAGTGGAAAGCATAAACAGCTTTTTTGCCCGCACACCAGTTGCATAGAAATCTGATTCCTTCTCTATATGCTTGCTGAGAGCCATTTTACAGTTCCCAGCCAACAGCTAACACATGTGGTGTAGAACTGGGCCTTAAATGAGTCCTTCTGCCTCCCCTTGGCAGTAAACAGTGGGTTGCAAGACCCTTTCCCCTGGAACTATATGGTGCTCATATGATAAGTCCTAACAAGAACAAAACAGCCGGCGATGGCGGTGGCCAATGCCACAGTAATATGCCTGTCTACATGGGTATGGTACTAGCAATTAGGCAGAGTTTGATAGAGTATGCTACCAGCTGAATTTTGGTTTCTTCTGAAAAAAGTACAGGTACACAGTCTGCTGTTTGTCTCACTAAATTGTAAAAGTTAGGTCCTAAGGGCATACATGAGAAAACCTGTTGTTTGATATGGGAACTCACCAATACTTAATCAAATTAATAAAGGCATTACCTCATCTTGACTTGCAACTACAAACTGTCCATGTGTTCCTACAGCAATAACACTAGGGGTACCCCAGACCTACATTCAGCCAAACCAGCAGAAAAATATTATAAAAGACAGGAACAAGCTAAGACAAGTACAACCTTCTACTTCATCATCCTCTAACCCACCGCAACTCCTCCTCTCCAACTTAACCCTTGCAAAAAAATAAACAAACTAATTTCAAAAACTTAAATTATAAAATTTAGTCATAACTGTAATGGGTCATTTCTGATTTGTTAAAACCCCTCAATTTAAATCAAGGCCAAGTGCTTAGCTTTTGTACAAAATAGACAGTAAGCTAGCTGTGGGGAAATAGGTCTCTTGCCTTATATATCCCTGATGGGAGTTGTGTTGGGGATCATGCAGCGATAGGGGAAACCAGTCGTTTCGCTGACTTGTCCATTTGCCTACACTGAGGTTGATTCACCTAAATGATCTACTAAAGTTGTCTCAGCGACACTAAGTTTATACTTGTAAGTAATAGTATTGTACAAATAGGAGTAAAGCTTACTGATGACTCTTGCATGTTAAAACTTCTAAAAATGCTGTACCTCAGTGACCTTCTTCATAGTAAACTTAGAGTGAAAATAGGTTGTAAACAGTCAGTAAAACATAATAGACACAGATGCTGTTCTTGAAATATTTTATTCAAAAAACCAAAAGTTCATTGTAATCCTTAAAAACAATTTGTGCAATGTGGATCTGTTCACGCAAGTTAATCGGCTGAGCAAATGGCAAAACAAGTCACAAAATCAGCGGCATTTTGTAATTTTTTGCAATTTTATGATCATGTAGGCGAATTGACCTCAGTGTGGGTGAAACATTCGACATTTAGGACAAGAACAAGAAATACCAAAGACATAAGGTACATGAAAAGAACCCCACTGTAGCAATTGGGGAAAAACCCTTCCTTGGTTTCTCCAACATTTGACATTGACCAGTTAGCAAAAAATATAAAATCTAACAACATTGTTGGAAGTATTGACAGACGTTTGTATTTCACCTTTGCCGAGCTACATAATTATGTTTTCTATTGTTTCTGACTTATCATTCTCAAAACTTCAAGGGGAGGAGGGGTAGGGAGGCTTCCATATGAAAATGCATGAAATATAATGCTCATCGTCTTGCTTAAGGGTGGAAATGCAGATTTTGGTCTAAACTCTGGGTGTTGGGACAGGAGGGCAATATATCCATAGAGGTATCGTTTAGGGTTGAGTGTAAAAAAAATACCTACGGTCTGTACTCTTATCAACCATAGAAATGACATCAACATGTTCAAAACTCAAGTGGAACCATGCAGGCAATTGGTTTCAGTGTAAAGTTTTGAACATTTTCACTTCATTTCAGTGGTCTGCACTTTTATTGACCATAGCTCTCAATGAATCAGCATGGGAGAAATCACTCAGTTATTGTAAAAACTGTGTTGGAATATGGTCTCCTTTAGCCTGAGTCACGTTCAGATTTGTATCCTTTTACCAAACACACCTGGTCTCCTTTCCTGAACCTTCTAGCAAGCCGTCCCGTTTTCACCACCTCTCCAGAGAAATCTCTTCCTAATACAAGTGGAAATTCTTTAACGTTTTCTAGCTTTCGCCACAAATTTAGCAGTGACTCTCCATAACCGCTTCGCATTCTGTAGTCTATAGGATTAACAGACGCGGAGTGGACTCGCACAAGAATATCCGTTGGCGTTCGAAGACTCGGCAGTGGCAGTCTTCCGTGCTGCAAAACGTCGTTTGAGCCATATTCATTGATATACCACGCCTCCATTGTATTTCTCGCTGAAAGATTTTCTGCATTGTTTGATAATGACCGTTTAAAAGTGTGTATAAGAGATCTAACAGGAGAAACCTGTAGTTTGGATCGACTGAAGGAGAAAGTGTTTGTTTGAGAGAGGGCAAAACATTTTCTTCTCGATGTCAGCAAAACACAGTTTGCCATCGTGTTCCCTGTCGTATTTAAATTTCTTCGGTGTCCGTCAGCGACCTTGGAACGACAAAGACGCGATATCTGTCTGCAAAAAGACGACTACATTGCATAACACTGCACAGGAGCCTACGATACATCCGCCATTTTTGATAGAAACTGGGAACCAGTCCCCATCATCTCCTCAGGAGCCGACGCTGGAGAACTGTCCTACGCCTGTCACGCCAAAAAAGCAATTCGTCCTGATTTTTCTCTGGTTGAAAAAAAAATTGCAAACATGATAAAGAAATTCTGAGTTTTACCGAAACACTCTGAAACATCGAAGGCTCAGCAGTTCCTGATTTTTCCGTCAAGATGCGACCCTGCATGTGTCACGTGAGCGGCTCCCGCCTGTGAGAACAAAAGTGTCTTATAGATCGTTTTCACTGTCACGCAACAAAAAAAGAAATTGGAAACCGTCCAGTGGAAGAAGCCAAGAAAATGAAATGTTATAAAAGACTAATGTATAAACAATTTGTCCCAGTCTCAGGTCTTTGTGACCCACAGTTTCTGAGTTATTTGCCGAAACGTTTCACGCATCTTTGTAGAGCTTTGTATGGAGACGCCATATTGGTGTACCGTTTTGGTGCACCAATATGGCCGCCGGAAATCAACAAAAACATCTGGAGTTCACTTTTTCTATAAAAGTTCTTTATTTTCACTCGAGAACTAGCATACGTGCGCATAAACATACCTTCTAATACTGGAAACGGTTATACTGCTGAAAATCAAGAGGAGAGAATTTTTTCAAGGAGACAACATTCCTATTTTGGTGTCACGCACTCCAAGGGGGGTACTTTAGGAATTTCTGGGTGGGGATGTGCCGCTGGGACCCTGGAACCCTTAACCTATACCAGAGCTAGTTCAGCTGAATTTTGCTACCCTATACTAGAGTAAACTCCCCAAATCCCCCTATCCTAGAGTAGCTGTTTCCCTTGTCCAGATAGAATCTTCAACCAACTGATCAGTTTCCTGTAAAATGATACCCTATTCTAGACCCAAACGCTCTGATTTATATACCCTATCCTAGAGTAAACTGCCCGAAAACCATACCCTTCACAGCGGCACATACCTATATAGCCGATATATGGCAGTACCCCCCCCCGCCCCCGGGCACGCACTGTGAAAACTCGGAAGTTCAAATTGCTGTATTTTCGAAATGAAACGTGCTAAGGGAATGGAACCTAGTAAAAAGATTTACTTTTGGTTTATCTTCAACCCGGTGTAAATAAGAATTCGTAAAACTTCGCTATTTTGACTTTACAATTTGATGACGTCAGGGTGAAAACCATTTATAACCGAAAACAGGAGCCTGACATTACAAGGACACTTAGACGAGAAGACACATCTTATTTCTCCTTGTCTATTAAAATGGCTCAGCCGTCGATAGCAATGGGGGAAGACCTTTTGTGCGACACAGACCCGTGCTTAACTGACATCCTTTTTTCAAGTACCCACGCTAGACCGAGTACAAGGTCGAGACCTTGTAATCGCGGGCACCAAAGTGGGCTCCTGCCACCGGGTCCTTGCGTGCACACCGTTTTTGGTTAGTTCTGGGGCAGCCCACTGCTTTGTACTCACTGCAAAGCTCTTGTTTTAAAATGGCGTCTGACAGGGCGAAATGGAGTGACTATGTACACAGTTACATATCGAGCACTCAAGGTATACGTGAACACAACACCGTTTTGTGACGGTACCCAGCCACTGGTGCCACTGGTTCCCTTGCACCCCGGCCTTGCACCAAGTGATTATTCTTGGTGCCAGAGTAATAGTGCATTGGTATTGGTACAAAATGGTGTTGGGTAGTACTGATATGCAACTCTCAAGTCAAGCCCAGTCACACGTCATTTTGTGAACGTAAAAGCGAGTTATGGTGTACTAAGACCAAAGCATTGGACTTCCTTGGAACTAACAGATCTAACATCCAGTGACCAGTGCCAGAGTTCAAGGTCTCGACCCTGTCAGTACTCGTTCACCAATACCGTGCCCCAAAACTGTCATGGGTGCTTAAAGAATATGTTAACATAAGTGTCCACCGAAAATTAATCTAACCTGCGAGCAAGCTCTCCGGGGCGCTTTGGCGGCGGGGGAGAAAAGGAAGGCTTCTCCGCCCCGCCGCCGGAGCGCCCCGGAGAGCCAATCTCGACCCAGAGCTCTTCTGCGAGCGCATTTCCAAACCCGTAAGAACTGGGGTCGAGAATGCCTGGAGAGCTTGCTCGCAGGCTAGAGAAAACCGAACGCAGAAACCATATCTGGGCAACAATGCAAGTGAGAACGTAGTAATGGAATCTACTTTCCATTTCCTGTCGTGTCCGTATTTAACACCTACCAAAAGGCCTTTCTTCAAAATTAACCCATACCACTCTCTAATTAATGTGCAGGATTATTAGCCCCAATGAGTGCGATGTTTCAAATGTCCTTTAATGGAACGGGATTATGAGTAACAAAACGTCGGCCAATAGTATGTCTTAACAGTTGACAATTCAAAACTGAAAATATTGGGAGGTTGGGGAAAATCAAGACAGAAATAAAATGACAGAAAATAACGTGATGGATATACTTTATTCACTTCTGCAAGGTATTCACTTCTTGTTCCCTGACTATTTGCAAACTAGAGTGAAGAGCAAGTTACGGCTTAAAACTGCAGCAAATACTGCCGAAATTCCCTGGAGCCGGTGATTTTGCCTCAGAATTTTAAACACGCGCCAACGAAAGCCGACGATATTTTTGAAAACTCGCCAGATCTAGATTCCATACAGAAAGTTGCCTCGTACCCAGGCGCTTCTTGGGTTTTTCAACGCTAGTCGTGGCGCAAGGATCATGGGAAAGCTTCAAAAACGCAAAGGCACAATGGTAGGCTTCATGTGTAAAGCAAAGCGCTTCCAGTTTTTCCCATGACCCCTTGCACCACGACTACTTCAGAAAATCCCAAGAAGCACCTGGGTACGAGACAATAGAGAAGTGAAATAAAATGCCCTCTACGAGTGTAACAACTGTTAAGTTTACTGCACTTGTGAAACTGTACAACATTGAGATAGTGTTGACAGAAACAGCATAGAAAAGTAAACTAAACGACGATCGAGGTAAGCAGAAATGTTCCTAGAAAACTAGGGCTCTTTAATTTTATATTTCTATTAATAAATACTACCTATAAATACATTAACATTCATAACTAAAGCAATTATTCATCCCGCCATACAGCATTGAACTACAATTTTAAATTAATGAGTAACCATTCTTTCCTTTAAAAAAAATGTTATTTGTTACAACACATTTGCTGTGCTGCTACAAATCTCGTACCCAGATCTCAATCTTTCTTAAACCGACCGTGGGAGGCTGGGCACATATTCTGCTGCATGCGCGGAGAAAACTAGTCATTCCGGTTTAAGACCGGCTTTCACATGAAGTTCACGTAGGCACGGGAATTTTAATGGATTTTCTCGGTAAAACCTCTACAAAAATTAACTTTGCAAAACTTAAATTGACACAACCAGAACTAATAGAAGTCTTAGCAAAGATAACCTTCCGAATCTTTAAACTTCCTATGAAACAAGTAAGCAATAGCAAAGTTGTTTGGATATAAAGACTTTTGCATTACAGCTTACTGTAATTCACGTTGATACTATTAAAGTCGAAATTTCTTTGCAGTCAAAACAGATGAAAACTAGTTTTTTGACAGTTACGGATAAAAGATAAACAAAACAGTAAGTAATAATAAGTTAAATGATGTCTGTATAAAATTGTATTAACTGAATTACGGCGAAGGCTCTCTCTGTTCCAATAGGTAGAGACCCCTTTTGTTTTGAAGTTGGAGACTTATTAGACAAAGGGACATATAAACTTATAACAGTAATATGGCCAAGAGAGACCGATGTAATGGAACCGTCAAGAAAGACTTTGCTGTAAACTGTCTTAAATTTCTACGGAAACGATCTAAGGGAGGCAACAGAACGTCTTTCTGTTATTTATTAAGTTCACAATTGAAATAATTTCAAATATGACGAAAACAGGAGCCCATAAACTGGAGCGAGCAACCTTTATGTCCTTATGTCACGGTGTTTTCACCGATCAGTTTATTTTTAGAATGATTTTGGCGCGAATCTCGCATATCTTTTAAGTCCCACAAACCAGTTAGAAGAACCTCGGAAAATGGTGTTAACGTTAGGTTTAGTTTTCCTTTTTCATATCTTACACTTTGAATGCGCTCATAGACGGAAGGAAGCGTTCTTTTTAGCGGGAAAAAGTGCTCTAAAATGAATATACCTTCAAATAAACTGTCGTCCAAAAACGCCGTAACATAGGCCTGGTATGTGAGTTGTTCGCTCTGAGTTATGAGCTCCACACGAAAATAAGCTAATGTGCGATTGCCTGATTTCAAACCGGAGAGGACAGAGTACGATCCGTATATGGGATTATCTATACAAAACCCAGGCTTACAAAATAATTGAGTTTGATGTTTATTGGGTTAATAATGAGCGAGATACAGCCTTTCAAAGTCTCCAAAATTTACCAAAAAATATAAGAACGTTTGGACAAGTGTTCAGCAATTCACATGTATTTCTATGTAAATTTACGCTGCATCTTGTTCAAAATAGACCCGATTAACACCAAACTTGATGGATTTTGAACAGCTCGGTATGTTTATTCTGACCATGTGCGTCTTGTGTTGATAAACCTATAATACAGGGACTCGTTTCTAGTCCCTCTCGGTTTGAACCAAGCAACAGCATAATTGATTTTCCCTCCTATTTTCGCTTTATCTTAGAGTTACTCTCTCACTCTCTCTCTCTCCGCCCCATCCCCAACTAGAGAGCATGATACGGAAATAGTCTGGTTATTCTATAAACTCGATAGTTGAAAAGTTTTAAGGAGAAGTTGTATTTGACCTCTGTCCTATTACTGACTCTGACTACACAATGAATTCAGGCTTGAGAAATGAGTAACTGAAACGAACGTCAAGGTAGTGTTAAGAAAACATTCATCTAAATTGTTTCCTAGGAAATATCGACAATGATGAAATATATGACGCACAGAACGGTGAATGTATTACAGAAGGAGAAACTGTACATTAGCTAGAAAAAATTAACTACACCACATTAAAAATATCGCATTTGCATTTTAACTTCTCTGAAGGCTAGATAAAGTTTATCCTTAAATCCTACTCCTGATGACATTTAACTCTATGATTGATAAAAAATTACATTTTTACTGCGTTTGTTATTAAACCAGGCTATATTTTTTGCATCGGCCTATCTTGCTTTAGACGAGATCACAAAAATAGATATTTGACGACGCAAAAGTCGTACAAAACGCTTCGCAAACACGCGGTTAAAAAGTGAATAAAAACAGCGCTAAGCTAAGCTGCCACACTGTCGTGTTGCAAATCCTGTGGAATATATACAAAAGAAACTCTTCTTGATGGTTGATATAAATACTAGTTACAGCTAGCTAAAAAAAGTCGCCTACTTTGCGTTATGTCACATTCAAAATTTCATTGCAAATCGACGGAAAACAAAATCCAAATTAGCCTCCCCGCAGACGTCCGTTGGGGTTCGTTTGTCCACGGATTCATTTCTCCGTGGGGGAGAAATGAATGCGTGACAAACGAACCCCAACGGACGTCTGCGGGGAGGCTAAATCCAAATACGAAGATAAACTACTTCCAGAAGTAAAAGCACTAGAAAACATTTCACTCGAAGGAAATCTCCTTTCTATTCCGCACACGACACATGAAGCAAGCTCTGTATACAGATTTACGCTGTAATATTTACTCCACGACACGCATTCTATAATGCGAACAATCCTCTTTACCCCATCACCACCATTGCATTCGTCACCAAGAGCGTCACTTACATCAAACGCCTTTTAGCGTTAAAGCATCACGCCACTTTAGGAAAGGTAATTCACCATGACGAACAAGCTAGCATCAGAAGAATTATAATAAAAAAGGAATATAGCATACCAAACCGGCTAAAAAAATGGATGGGAAGGAAACTTAAACCAACGTGAATATGGCTCCAAAAATATTTTACAATATGTACCAAAAAGCGAAACCTAAATAGCTATTTTCCTTTGGCATAAAAAAAGCCCCAAACCCTTCTCAAATGAATTAGGAGCACTACAACTTTCAAATAACAAATGACCGAATGTGCAGCTGAAGACGTCTAAGACACAGAGGCATTTTGGGATTGCACGATCTACAACAGCACTAGAAAGCTAAAGAAGTACGCACGTACGCCGAGTCATTATATCAAAGTGCACAGGAAACCCATTTCTTTACCGAAACTGCACAGGACGTTTCTTACTGTAAAAGTAACATTCATGTTCCTTTCACCAATGTTTCGAAGTTATTTCAATTTGAGTTGGAACAATTGGCATCAATTTTTCCAAAGTCTCGCCAAATACAGGAAAACATCAACCGACCTAAAGTTTACAACAAAAATAAGAATTCTCTCAGCACTGGAATCTGCCTGCCTTTTCCTGTCAAGCTGTTTTTAACACTCACCAACAAACCTTTCCAGAAAAACCCACAATACTTCTTAATGTGCACGATTAGCTTTATTGAGTACGATTTTTCAAATGTCCTTTAATGGGATGGCATTCTGATTTGAAACAAATAAAAAAAGTTCGCTAATGAACTAAACGAACACAACAACTAAGTAAACATTATAGCAGATAGCTCTTGCAAAAGAACCAAAACCAAATCGGATGGGGCTTTTTTCGCATAACAAGGGCGATTTAAGAATGCATTCTGTAACAGAGCAAAGTTCGCCACCCTGATCTTGAAAGGGGAGTGTCACATGTCGGGTAGATACGTAACGTATTTTTCATATCGATAAGATTAGCGCTCAAGAATGTAAGCTAAACATTTACCTTTTATCCCTATTCACTAATCTTGCGACTCGAGCTAAACCAGCACATTTAAGAATATTATGGTCTTTTAAGGGGAAAGGCGTATGGAAGCCTAACCACAACTTAAAGAACTGTGTTTTCACATGACGTCATGGCGGCCATATTTGTGTCCCAAAACAATGAAACGGCGGCCATGTTGGTGTCCCAAACCAGTCCTGTGGGAGTTGAACTCTTTTCTTATGTAAACGCTTTCTTTTGTTCCAATAAATTTGCATAAATGCTGGCCACGTGAGTGAAAACACAGAATAAGAAGCAAACTTTACGAAAGAATCGAAGAAGTCCCTGAAAAACTGATGATTTTTCTAGCCCGTTTCAATACCAATGACATTGAGGCCGGCTTACACTAAACGATTTACTGGAAGAATCTGTCCGCCATATGTTTTCCTTAAAAAACCGTTCGTGCCAAAAAATCGTACAGTGTAAACCAGCCTGCGAAAATTTAGCTTTTAGAACAACGCACACATTACCAGGGTAACTTGTACTGTCACGTGCGTGTGAGAGGGCTTTCTCTGTTGCAGTTACACGGTACCCTCATACAATGGAACCTGTGAGTACACCAGTGAGTTTTTTGACACTCCAATGTACAATAACTTGTGTTCCAACAACACGGATAAAAAGCTTCCGCGCGGCAATTTGCACACCACTGCTTCTTCTTCGCTAAGCTCACTGCTTCCTGCACGGACTTTTCAGCTTCGTCCTTTGCGATCTGTAGCGCTTTTTGAATATGCTTTTCCCTTTCTTGTTTGCTTTTTTCCAGCGCTCTCTTAACTGCATCGTCCGTCACGCGTTCTCGTTCCAATCTCTCCTTATTTACGGCTCTCTTCACGGCCTGCTGGATCTCTCGGTCCTTGTTCTTTTGCGAATCGCGCGTGACTTTTTCAATAAGGTCTTTCTTCTCTTGACGCTCCCGCTCAAGCGCCTCTTGCAACATTTTAATAACATTGGGTTGATCCCTTGTAGTAGACAGGTCAATTGTCGGAGTACCACTACTGCAATTCTCCGATGTTTCGTCACAACTTTGCTTACTAACAACAGACTTGTCACGCAATATTCTTTGATCTTGTTCCTCCTTTCTCTTTTTAACGTTATCAACTAACTGTTTAGCACGTTCTCGTTCACATTCCAAGTCGGCTTTCACTGATTTAAGCTCTTGTTCTTGCCGCCTCAGTTTGTCTTCTAACTGCTCGATTTTTTCTTTTTCCTCTTGGTTATACGTTCCGTCTGTCTGACTTTCCTTCGACTCACTTTTGGGGGCTGGTTGTGGGGTCTGAAACAGAGGCCAGATTTAAACTTTGTCAGCTGACGTAAAAGAATCCCCCTTTTTTTTTTCGAATGGATCAAAGAATGTCTGGGTTAACCAACAACTGTGTCCCTTTAGTGAACTCTGTTAGACAGCTAGGAGGATTTCTCAGATATCACATAGTAAAACGTTTACCAGCGTTTGGGGCTCCAGAAAACAAACATAGATTATCAACAACTGTTAAAATAAATTAAACAAAACATCACAATTCATTGTTGTTGCAAGTAGTGACAAGGGGCGAAGTTCGGGGCCACGCCCTCCATAGAGAAGCAGTCCTCCCCCCCGGAAACACACAAAACTTAAGTAGAACCACACCTGCAGGCGAGTGGTTTCCTTTAAAGTTTTGAACATTTCGACGTCATTTCTAGGTCGATAAGAGTAATGTTATCGATTTATATTTTTTACAATAACACCGTTGGTTTTTGACGCCCATTTCCGGTGAAATTTCGCACGAAAGAGAAAGACAAATTGCATCATCATGACGTCATTTCTATGGCCTCTACTCTTATCGACCATAAGCTCTCGACAAGAGCCACAATGATCTCTTGCTCTCGACCAATCAGCGAGCGAGAAATGGACTGCCGTCTGCTAAAGAGAAGTATAGACCATAGAAAATTGTCGTCTATTTATTAAATAGCCAATAAGATTGCAGAACATCGTTACAGTTACGATTGATGATGAAATAACATCTTAATCATAAGCCGCACTAATAAATAAATAGTTTGCGAAAACCAAAGACTAGCGGAGAATAGAGAACGCGCGTGCTGCTCGCAGGTGACTTTCACGATACATGTTATCTCAAATGGGGAGAATTAAGGTTACAACACTCACAGATACTTGTTCATTTCTTGCGTCGGGGTAAAGCAAAGTGAGTTGTCGTTGATATTCTTTCATCTCGTCACAAGCCTGTACCCATCTCTGAGAACGCTTCTTTACTTCCGGTTTACTTGTGATCGGTATGACGTGTTTCCGGCCGACCCAGGCTCTTTTCAAAAGAGAACAGACAAAGCAGTAAATGGCCGCTGCGCAGTTTCCAGTCAAGGTATTCAAAACACTACACGGTTGTAACCAAGTACAAACATCCATATTCCGTGTTTCCAGCCCTAAACATAGCTCGTAAAAAGTCCCGTCCGGCAATGCGGGACAAGTAGATTTTATCGCGGGGCAAGTTACTTGTAAAGCTTACTTGCAATTCAAATTTTTTCCGAGCCCTGCTAAATCCCTACACCAAGATTGCTTTATCTACGCAAGAGGGAAATTCGATCACTTAGTCATTCGAAAACTTCGACAGGCTGCCGGTCATTAAGGCCCTTTGTCAAAATTATCTACAACAAGAGAAATAAATAGTGAAGAAACGGTAAATCTAACTTTCCACCAAGAGCCAGCGTACCTTGCAAGCATTTCCCAGTGGTTACAGTGCTTGGCTGGCTGCCGGAATTTTGGAGCACTAGATCATGACCACGAGTGTACATTTAGACCAATTTGTAACTGAAAACGGGCATTTTTTTTACCCATTTTCAAAGAGTTTTCCTCTAAGTGCGTATGATTTGGTTTGTTTTCATACAAAGAAATATGCAAACAGTTTACAAACATTGACTTTCTCTAAAATTACTAATAAAATAGAAACTACAGGCGTTTCCTTGAGGAAGGTGGCAATGACTTTTAAAAGTGGCGTTTCTACAAATCTATCAAATACCAATTCACTTCTCATCTGTCGAAAGGTTTCTTTTTTCGTTTTCACAACGCCTTTGTTGCCAATAAAGAGTAATGCGATATATATTTTTCAGTTCATCTTAAATATAAAGCTGTATATTTGCCCTTTAAAGGCTCTTTAAGAGACATAAGGGTCGAATTCCAGCACGTTTTCCATCGTCAAAAACACGCAATGCCAAACATGAAATTGAGGCAATGTTTTCATAAACAGCATTATATTACCAGTGCCCAGTCATCTTAAAGGTCAAGTAATACGGGCAACATTTTCGCTCAACTTGTCGCGCAAAATTGTTGCATTGCAAGCTCGCACTCAACTTGTCACGCAACAAATTTCAATGGTGCAAGTTGCGGCTCATTTTAGAAAATCCCGCGTTGTGATTGGTCAACGGTGTGTTTTGTGTCAGCAAAACAAAATCGCTGACGCGCTGGCCTTTCTAAGAAAGCGAGGGACAGCCTCTTTGGTTAAGGATTATCAATGGACGAAGAAGGTCAAAACCACGCAAAAGAAACCGAAAGGTTTACATAATAGAGTGGATTGCTTTGCGGGAAGAGAGAGGCTTTACCATTAGCTGGTAAAGGAACTTGAGTCGGGCGGGAAACATTAGGGCCATTTATACGAGGAAGACGCGTCTTACATAAGACGCGTCTTAAATAAGACGCGAACTGTACCATTTATACGAGCATGTCTTATCTAATAAGACGCGTCTTAGCTAAGCCGCGTCTTATTTTAGACGAAATGTGCCGTTTATACGGAAAGTTCGCGTCTTAGTTTTCCTCGTATAAATGGCCCTATTGTTGCTTAGAGTTTTGACATGAACGATAACTGATCCAAAGCTCTTGTCCTCCGCTGCTTGTTTTTATAATTCGCTCAACAAGTTTCCCATAGACATGGGGGCTTGTCAAGTTCTTTGCATCAATCTTTTCTTTGGGCCTCTGACATTTTTTCACTTTTTAAATGACAATCTTGGGCTTAAACATGATCACCCTCTACAACCTCCGCCATGTTTACTTCCTGCCTAAATTTGCCCGAGGTCAAGCGCGCGCTTATTCACCATCTTTCCCGCGCCTTTAGCGCGGGAAAATCGACCAATTACAAGCGTTGTCACACAAGTGATAAAATTGAAAGTTGGTTGCCAAAAGTAGAACTCGGGTCTACTTTGTGCAACATGTTGCCGCAACTTGCAACATTGAAATTTGTTACGTGACAAGTTGAGAGCGAATGTGGTAATACGGGCAACAACGCTTTTCAATTTGCAATGCAACGGTTGAGCGAAAATGTTGCCCGTATTACTTGACCCTAAATTCTGCTTCAACAATGAGAAAAATCTCCCTCATGTGCTTTACCCATGTTAAACAACTTCGAGTCCTGTTTCTTTCTATTCTTTCTATACGTCCCTAATTTCACCAAGGACGTCAGCAGAAGCGCAAGTATAGGAGTTTTGACTCAAGTAAAACATACGCCGGCAAGGCGGCCGAAGCAGAATAACAGCTTCAAATTATCTTTTCCGCATAAAAATGTCAGTATCTTTTCGGGTCGCCAGTATCGTTTCAGTCAAACCAGAGTAAATCACCTGTTGAATTCTGATTTTGTAAGTTGATGAGGCAACATTCTGTGGGTACTGAACTGCGTTTCAAATCATTTCAATATGATTGAAATGCGTTTCAAAGTGGAAGTTGCCTTTCACCATGTTTTACAAATAACCAGGAAAACAAAGACAATTAAAACAACAAATCAAGTGTAGTCGTACCTCTGGTGAGCGGAGCCAAAGAATCGAACTAAAGCTTTTGTATTGTCCTCACTCCAGCTTAGTAACTGAAACAAAAGTTGTGATACATTTTTACTTAGCACACAGCACCTATAGGGTCGATGTAGGGGAATGAGCTGTAGGCAAGTGATAGTAATAGTCTTCAGAGTCTTGTTCAGTAAATCAACACCATGACTTTGTCTCGCGATGGCGACGAAACGGTCACTTCGCGCAATTTTAAACTTCATCGCTCTCATTCCATCTCGCCAATTTGTTTAATGCTGCGAATTTTTTAGGCGCTAAATTCTAAAGGATCGCTTCTAAGTTGACAGAAAGAAACAGGAAAACAGCCTTGTCTTGTGTTCACTAGGGACCTTACAATCTGATAACGGCGACGCCAATGAAAAGGTTACTGAAAAATTGACTTTTCGTCCTCTCAAACTTTTGCGCCCTTATACCAAGTCACCCAGCTACCTAAAAGTAGGGAAATTAGACTGAAACTGAAGAGAGGGGAACGCGTCCGAGTTCGAAGAGAGCTGGTGAAATTTATCGCCTCTGCCGTTCTCAAGTAACGTTGTAGTTGTGCAGCGAAGGCAAAAAAATTTACAAAAAAAGCGTGAGGCACGTGCAGCCGTTTTGCGCAACCTATTGCTTTCTGTTGTTCTCGTTGCCGGGACGTTCAGGGTGCCTGCAGGGCTGTTTACATGGAGGAAGGAAGATCCTCGAAGGCGGGACAACTTTTCGTTGGGTTACCTGCAGAAATTTCGGTCCGTGTGGTGCCCAGGTAAAAAACGAATTAAAGACGGCGGGCGACAAAAACAAAAATGCGATTTGGGCCCTTCTTCTTTTACTGGCGTTAACAACTACCTTTCTACAGAATTACCACAATAATCAAGTCCTGGTAACGCCTAACGAAATGGTCGGCTTATTACCGTCAGTAACCACTAAACTGCCCGCCGCCATTTTTTTTTCTGGTTTGTCCCTAGTACTGGGATCTTCCTAGCGTTTTTCAGCATACACGTCAACCGGAACTGGACTTTTTGCACTCTTAGGCCGAGATGTTGAGCTAATTCTCCGGCAAATCGTCTCCATAAGAGTAAAGACCATTAGCAATACAAATTTGGTAACGTCAAGGTATGTTGAAAGAGAAAACGGCTCACTTCCGATTGACATGCGTCACTCAATGTTTTACGGTCAAACTCACCCGAATATCATCTCGCCCGAGGTTATGTCGCCTGCTACAAAGCTATGCAGTCACGACCTTTTAACGCTTAATCCTGTTTTCAAATACACCTTTTTAAAGTTTTCTAGGTTCAGAGACTATGTATCTAAGTGTGAATTAACTCCGGGGTTCGGGCGAGATGACTTTCGGGCGTTAACAGTTACCGTGTGGTTATATGACTTACTTTGGCTGGCCACGGTGGTTCTCCTGTCATCTTTGCCCAGACAAGCTCATGAGGAAAGTACTACAATAAAGCACAATTACAATCAACCTTGCCCTTGTACTCTTCAGATCTCCATTTTTAAATTTTTCAAAACCAAGGACGATCCTTTTGCAAAAATTATAATTACTGTTTCAGTTAATAGCTGGTTTATACAGCAAAGAGCTACGGCAAGAAGCGAATGAAAGAAGCCTTGAAGGTAGCCTGGGAAAATAGTCGGCATTTTGCGACGACACCACTGGTTTCCTCGAGAAATGGGGCCTGAGAAAAGGGCGCAGAAATTCCATGCTGATTAAGTGTCCCTACCAAGGTCTGGTCAGTGCTTTTGATTAGTCATGTCGCGTGGGAAACTTGTTTCAGTCCCCAGATCTGGGTAGCAACACGTCATCAGCATGGAATTTCTGCGCTTGTTCTTCAGACGCCATTTCGTGGAAACCAATAGTGGCGTCGAGAAATGACGGTTGCTTTCTCAGGCTGTCTTATAGCTAAACCCGTAATAGAGAGCTGAGGCAGTGGTTATTCAAGTCAACAACTATCCTGGAAAAATGTTTGGCTGCGCATAAGATAGAAGACGCAGACGCTCTCATGGCTTCGTCACACGTTTAGCCCTAAGAACGTTAGTCTCCTAGGCAGCCGCTTTTAGTGTTGTCACGCAACGCTCCTCTTCACAAACGGATGAATTATTCTGGAAAGGAGCGTTGCGTGACGAAACTGAAAACGACTAGACAGTAATTTACAGATCTTATATACTAAAGTTTTAATTTTAATTTCCAACAAATCAAAGATTTTCCGGCACATTTATGTTTTTCTAAAGGAAAAAAGTAATGCACAACACGTTCTCAGAGTTTTGCATTTTATACAAAGGAGCAGCAATATTGCCAAAAAGTGATGGAAATTGTCCTCTCACTTCACGTGATTGTTTTGATTAATACTAAACGACACTTACACATGGTTTACAAAACCAATTTTTACTCCGCACATTGGACATCAAATAACAATCAGGACATCGGATCATTTCCTCCAACTAAAAATTAGTTAAATTATCACAGTTAGCAGAAACTTCCCTTGCAAATACAAAAAGCTATACAAGTAGGAAGCATTAAGCTGAAGAGGGGATTATTTGAGATGAAAATGGTTACTAAGGTCTGTAAAGATGTGCATAAAAACATTTTGCGCTATCTGGATTGAAATTTTTTTAAAGATAGAAATGGGTAGTTTGCTGGTGAATTAACTGAAAACACAGGGGGCCCAAACGGTCTGTTTGTATAACTAATTGCATTGTAATTTTATTTAAGAGGAATAACAGTAAAGAGCGAACTCAAAATCCTTCAAAATGGCTCAAAATACCACTTCTGAGGCAAAAAGACAACAATTTCCTGAAGGTAAGGTAACACAACGTTTATTTAGCATCGATCCATGCACATATTTAACAATATACCACTACCTATGAAGTTAGATGACACAAACTATAAAATTAAAAAGCAATCAGTTACACAAACAGACTGTATGGGCCCCCGGTGCTGAAAAGGGTCTCAAAACCTTGCGCAAAGTTCAGAAGATAATAACCGCTGAAACTACTGGCACAAGAAGTCAACCCTACCAACCCTCAAAGTGGCTGACTCATGCAAAAGAAATCCATTCCCTGGGTAAATATTTGCATCTTTTAGTATCTTCTTGCCCCAAAACACAATTTTTTTTGTAAGACACATTTTACAGTTATCCAAACAACGCATTCATCTCATGGGGCTTCACGTATTTGTAATGAAGTTTTTCACAGTCGTTGAGGTGTGGAGAAAAGTAGTTAGCGACATTCAATAGAAAGATGAGTTAAAACCTGACATATTAATCACTAACCTCCCCATCACAATCTTCCATGATAGCCTCTGCAAGATCAGTCATATAATCATCATCTGAAAGAGGAAATTATTTCAATTCTATCATGAACCTTTACAAAAAAAGCAAAGGCATTGTATAATCAACAAGGAGTCTTTACTGTCTACAACAATTTTGAACTAGAATGGAACAACATGAACAAAGACCACAAACAAAAAATGATTTCTGTATTTTACCTCCAAAATAAATTAATGAATTATGGAACATCCACTGGGATTCTTCCCTGAATTCTCTGGGAGTCTTAAAACTCCTTTTCTCTACCATCTAAAAGAAATCACACATTACAATCTGATCAGACAGTGCTTGCAGTGCTTTCACTGAATTTTGTATTCTAGTCAAATGGAGACATTTTAAGGACAAGTACTTGTGGCTTTTGAGCATGCAGATAAAATGCTATGGGGTAACGTTAATAAAAGAACGTTCTTGACAATTTAAGCCCTAAAATGATCAGCATCAAATTTCTCCTTGAAATATCAATGTGAACAGATTGGTGACAATAATTAAGGACATGATCACATAATGAGTTCATAATTCAACAATTTCTCCCCACCACCTTCGTAGAAAATGTATAAGGGCACCTCATGAGAATTTAAATGTTGATATAAGGGGTTTAACGGTTGAACAGTTTTAGACCTAAAAACAAGCACAAGCATTATTGTTTCCCATCTTTGCACCCCTGTAAAAATTGTTCTGTTTAAGCATGCACAATATTCATTTTACCCAGAATAGTCTTGGACATCATAAAGGTTATATCTAAAGTAAAAATTACTGGCGCCCATGCAGGAGACTTGGCCTGTTGGCCTGGATTTGGCCTGTCAAAACTGAGTCTAAATATGAGGCATGTAATGTCTACATGTATTGCCACATTTTCTTATGGAAGGACTGCTAGTTCATCACTCTCTGTTATGCAGAGGGACGAATAGTTAAGTGCAGTAAATCATCCAAAATTGGATTATAATCTTTAGTACTAACATGTTCTAATTTCACTAGATCCATTGGTTTAAATACAAAATCTTCGTAGTCAGGGTGTTCTTCCAATGAAACTGGTTCCATGTATTCTTTAGCCTGTTTAAATTAATAATCAAATAGATTGATGAGTAAATAAATAAATAAATATGTAATACAAAAGTTTACACTGGTGCATGATGAATGTGCTGAAGAATGCAAACTAACATGTATTTATAAGAGATGGCTTAAAGTTCTACTTTCAGATTTCTTTAGTATGGTCCAAGCTATAGTTAGGCAAGTGGTGATTTCATACAACATACAGTATCTTAATTACAATAACTATTAAGCCTCGATGTGGATTATTACAAGATGAAATAATATTTTACAGCCAAAGAAAAGAGAACTTACATGCGTCTGTGATAGTCACCAAAACGAAAACAAAAAACTTGTAAACTTCGGGAAAATTACATATAAAACAAAATTAATTTTCCTCCGGCTTAAAAACAGCCTTACATCTAAGAACTGTTCCAGGGCCCTTCCATTTCATTTCATAACAATTTATTATTACACTCCTGCTTACAGCAGCAAGTCCAGAAGTTAATTTACCATTATTAGCTTCTTTAACCTTCATTTACTTAATAATAACACACATATGTAAATACTGTAGATCACTTGGGTGATAATACTATTTATTATATAGACACGAGTGTTTTACTGGAAAATATACCACTCGTAGAATTCATAAAAACTACATCTGGGACCCAAGTGGTTTATCTTCCATAATCTCACACGTGAGTTTATCAATGACATAATTTCGGTCATTTCCCTCTATTATTTTATCGATGCCTTTTTGTCTATATAATAACCTCTATTTATTAAATAGACACGAGTGTTTTACTGGAAAATATACCACTCGTACAATTCATAAAAACTACATCCCCGACCCAAGCAGTTTATTTTCCACAATCTCACACATGAGTTCATTGATGACGTAACTTCAGTAATTTCCCTCTATTATTTTATCAATGTCTTTTTGTCTATATAATAAAAAGAACATTACACGGCGGCTTGAAGCTATGAATTTTATTTTCTTGTAGCAAAAACAATATTTTACTCACTCGCTGCGCTCTAGCCTGCAAAAACATCCGTTTCTCCTTGCTCTTTGCCGATGGGGACGTTTCGCGCGGAGGAACGACTGTGACTCAGTTACAGAAATTCCATACTGATGACGTAGAATCTGTCCAGAATCCGGTCAGAATCGCTGATTGGTCAACGGAGTAGTTAGATTCTTTTAGCTATTGTTTACAAATGACAGACAAAAGACAAAAGGCCACAAAGGTCAAATGTAAACGCGAAGAATCTCTAACAAAACAGTCAATATTTGTGGAATATAGTCTTCTCTGTAAGAAGCATTTGAGTTTTGCTGGAGCTCGTTGGCAGATGAACACAACAATTTACCAAAATCGACCAGATGACACCTAAAATTGGACAAATTTGTATTTGGAACCCCATGACCACTGGATTTATTTTGTAAACATTGGATTGTGTCATCAGTATGGAATTTCTGCCGCTGAGTCGCAGACGTTCATCCTTGCGAAACGTCCCAAGCGGTGAAGAGCGAGGAGAAACGGATGTTTTCGCAGGCTAGCTGTGCTCATTCATAAAATATTGTTTTGCCACTCGAAAATAAAATTCAGATCTTTGCGCCACCGTGTAATATCCTCTATATAATATAACAGCTCTTAAAAACATCAGCTACAGTTGTTGCATTATCATTTGCAACCTTGAGATAATTATCCGCATAACAGTACCTTTTCTTTCATCCTCTCAAGAGTAAACTTCAAGAGCTTGGTAAGTTGTTCTGCAGTTTTGCTGGACATGAGTGCAGGTAACTTCTGCGGCTATAGATCCAGAAATTAAGAAAAGGTTATTTTTCATCACAGAAATTTACTACATTCCACACTCCACATGCAACCACCTCCCATAAGTAAACCCTGTCATAAGCAAACACCTTTGCGCAAAAACAAAATATTTTGGTTGGTCACTTAAAACAAAACAAGAAATGCCCCTGGTTTTAAGACTAGCTACGAAACAGTTTGATGATACAGTTGAAACTCCCCACAACGGCCACCTTGTGGACAGAAGAAAGTGGCCATTGTAGAGAGGTTTAAACAAGAGTCAATGTATGGACTGTCTGCCAAAAAAAGTGGCCATTGTAGAGAGGTGGCTGTTGGCATATTTAACAATTATTCCTCAAGCCCGAATGGGCTCTGAGTCAATAACCCATGAGGCTGAAGGCCGAATGGGCTTTTGACTCAGAGACCATTTGGGCTCGAGGAATAATTGTTTTTGTAAAATCCAACTAGTTGGTCAAAAATATCAAGACAAATCAACTTTAGCTAGTTAAAGCCAGACTTTAATCCTTTTTTGCTGCCAAAAAGCCGGCGCTTTTCGCTACGAGTGGGCTATAACATATAGCCTAGTAGTAGCTCAACCAATCAGAATGCAGCATTCATAATAGAACACTAGCTGGATTTTACTAAAAAATAATATTGCTGGTACTTGTAGTGGACAGTACTGCCGAGAATCCTGTAATGTTATTAATACAAAGAAAACAGATCCCATCCTAAAATAGGTTTGTCTGGAGACATGGTGCTTTGTTCAAAAGTGTAAATGTCAACAACCTACAGATATAACTGCAAACTACAAATACACAGAAAAAACACTCCAAAATGACTTGTAGACTACCTGGCATGAAGGGCACTTCCACTTGCCATTGATTACTGTTCCTGAATGTGCACATTTCTTGTGAAATACACGTGGGCAATATTCACAAGCAATAACTTCCCCTGCTTTATGACACTCCCAACAGTACCAGTCATGTGTGTTAGCTGAAAGTTTTTTCCTTTGATTTTCTATTTCTTCCTGTCACAAAGAAAAAGACAAAACTATAAGTTACTGCAAATTTATTTACCCTAAAGTTGGCAATGAATTAAACAGAAAAAGAAATCTAAGGATGAGTAGAAAATGAAAGATAAGGGGACAGAAAATTTTATAACAAAGGACACCTGTACTAGAAGGTTTGTTACAAGACAATGTTTTTCTTGGTTACTGCTTTAATGTTTACAAGAATATTGTCATATAAGAATGATCCTCAGCTTGCTCTGGCCTCTTTCTCAAAGGTCACTGCTTAAAATAATACACCTGCCAAATCTCACACTTTCAGTATGAGTCTCTGCCCTGAGGATTGCAAACTTCAATCTCGTCCAGCTCATACACTGTACCTGCAGACTGATTTCTGCCTGGCAGACAAATTTGAGCTATGACAGTCTTGAATGACATATTTTGAAGAAAATATAAAATTACTAGTATAATAAATCTGAAAAAGATGCAAAATGTACAAAAGTTTTAAAAACTTGACTCCATGAAAGTTCAAGCGAGAAAAGAAAGGTCCACATAAATAATGCAACTTTTTGTCTCAAAATCTCCCATTTTATAAGGAAAGACACTAGAGAACTTGAGAGCATTGCCACACCTTCAGAATGTCTTTGAGATTCTTGGGCACATTTCAGATATGTTTGGGTATACTAAGATAGCTCATTACACTCTTCAAAACAAAAATCTGCTGCATATGAATTGGACTCATAAATTTCATGTAAGGTTTCCTCCCTATTCATGTACACATAACATGAAAAATGGACCCTAGGAGTAATTACTGCCGAGGATCTTTACACATCCATAGCAGTCCTTTCACATCCTGCACATGTCAGATTGGTTAAGATGAAGGGATGTTATTAAGGGCCAAGAATGCAAAAGCGTCCTTGACATTGCAAGTGCACATAGCCAACTTGAAATTTTAGGGACCACAATTTTTAAGAGTGTTGTAAGACAAGGTCTACACTTTTATGATCTTATCACTTTCACTTAAACTAATACTATTCCTAATACTCTGAAGGATAGTTCAGTTTCAACAAATGATTTGTTTCTATTGTAGCTGGGCATTTATGCAATTGATTTAAGCTAATACAGTTTAGGTACCCTATCTAAAGATCACACCAGGAACACAATGCCAACAAGGGCACAAATGATACCCTTTTCAAGGTCCAAGACCTTCCAAAACCGTACCCTACTGGGCAGAACATACCTATCCAGCCCATATTTTCTTTATTTTATTTTATTAATTTTTCCAAAACGATAAGATTAAGTGACACAACAAAAATTAACCCGAAAAAATTTACTGAGACACGGCAACAGCAAGTGCCAGTTAGTATGGGTCCATAAATGGGAGTACCCAACCCCACTCTCTGCCAAGGATATCCCAAGCATGTGTTTCCCCTACTGATTAAAAACTTGGATAGAGAGAGGCAAATGTACAGTTTTCTCAACTAAGGGACAAAGTGATGGCATGGAGCCAAGCTGAGGGTTAAGCATTTCAACCCTGTCTTCATGGAGTGAAGTCTGACACGCATAAACCATGAACAGCACGCCCCCGCAGAAACTTGAGTATTGCCAACTAATACTATACTTATCATCATATTACTGGCTAAGAAGAAAAAAAGAATAATTGTTGTACCAAGCACACGCCTTTTGATTTGAACCAAGAATACTTGAAAACTAATCATTTCTGAAAATAACATTGGAAGTCCCTGTTTTGTGAGGAACTTAAAAGGCTGGTTTTGAACTAAAACAGTGCTTAATAATGATTAGTGTTGGCAAGGTGTTGAGAAAGACAACGGCAAGCTAAATACACTGTATACTCAACAGAAGACGACTACTGGCATCTTAAGGTTTAAAAAGGAGTGCTAATTAAGCTAGAAACAAGAAAATATGTAACTAGGAAATTTAGAAAGGACCGGATAAAACAATATCTCACTAAGGTGCCATTATCCACGTTCTGTCGTGCGCTTTTTAATACAACTATACATCAGAAAGTCAAACACGACTCTCGGAATTAGTGCTTTTTGCGATAACGATCAGTTCTCAATTAGAATACTCTTAATTTTGGTAATGCAGTGACTGTTACAATTCTGGTCGGCCAGATAACGGGCACATCTGTGGAGGAATTGTTTACTTCCGAAAAGAAATGGCGTTCAATTTCGGTAGAAGATTTCAATGGCAATGTGTATGCAAACATATGCAAATTAAGAAAACAATTACCGTAACCAACGAGCATTAATTAAACCAGTGGATCCAACGTAAGAGATAAAGAAAAAACACGACTTTCATTACTTGATGTTTAAAACCTGAGAAGGGGACACGGCCGATGACTTCATCACGCTTAGATGAGAAATCTTCCGTGATTAGAAATGAACTATCCCTCTTTTTTTCAATCGTGATAATTGAAGCAATGATAAATTCACCGGCAGAAGAGTTTAAGTGGCCCCCAATATCAATAAATATTCATAGACAAACCTCAATAAACGTGGAACATAACAATTAGGCACAAGAACCTCTAATCTGCATTAAAGTGAAGCGGAGTTCAAAATACCAACAAGCACTTGCGTTCAACATTCTCACGGCATGTCAGAACGCATTTTTAAGCTACATAAACTCAAGGTAACAGGCACAAAACTTATCTAATCATTTTTTTCTTCCCATTCTAAAAGAAACTAGTGAATAGACTCTTGTATTTTTTCGTGTTATGAATATTCCGGTTTTGTTCAATAACAATTTGCATGAATATTCAGACGGGTTTAAAATCACTGAACTGTGACTTCCCAAACAGAACTATTTCATCATAAAGTTTTTGTCATTAAATAACCCTAAAATACATTCACTTATGTATACTTGCCATGTCGTGCTTTTCCCTCGACGGTAAAAGACGTTAGGGACGAGAAAAGAACCGCCCCCGCGTTTAAGTAAGCTTATAATACCTAAACAATAAGAGGCCTTCTAACATCGCTTGCGCATCTAGTCACTTCCTGCGAAACTAAAGAACGCGTGTTCTAACACATGGAACGAATTATTTTACTCACATCGTCCTCTTCGTCCTTTCGAAGAACTCTGTACGCCGTCTGTGGGATTCCTTTAGTACTACCGTGGCTTGAGAAGGTAGTAACTTGAAGAATCAAGCCATCTTTTACCGCAAACTTCAACTGCCGAAGAATCTCAGACTTACTCCAATCAAATTCTTGAAGCACTGATCGTACAATCCTTCCTTCATTCGGACACTGTTTCTGAGCCGAAATTTTCACAATAGCCTCCTTCAGCGCTAAGACGTAGAAGGGATCAGAATATCTCCTCACAGCGAACTTTGCCATCCCAAACACACGGCCACTTTTGTCTCCATACAGGTCTATCAATGTTTCGCGGGTCCTCCAGTCAAATACGCATGCTTTTCGAAGCCTGCGCGGAAAGCGAACAAATCCACGATCTCCTTCCGATGACGTAACGGAACACCTCCGGAAATCGATCTCAAAAATGGATCACGCAAGTTTGAAACCGAAGGGAAATGATATCGAGCGTCTTTTACTTTTTAATGGATGTACAATTTGTACATACTTGTCTAAATTCACCTGAGGATACTAAAAAGTTAATACCATTCCTGAGCGTAGATTCTCAAGCATTATTTTTGGGGGTTGCCTTAGAAACTCTCAGACAAGACTCGCGCATATTTCGTGGAAGGCGCGCACTTCCTCTAGTTTGACCTTTGTAAACCTGCCAATATCAACAGTTATCACAGAATCAATTTTCCAGTTCCTCGTTTCAGTCAACCGTTCACGTACTATATTTCTAACATTGCTGAGTCATCCCCTAGCCCTACCCTGAACCTGGCACCTGTTCTTATATCATATACATTTTAAACAATATTCCTTTATAATCAATATTTTTTTTATATTTAAAGTGCTTTTGTCATCAACAGCCGTTGTCAGAGCTGCTTCTTTTGTTTTATGTCGTCCTTGGTAATCAAATCCACTCCTATCATAGTATACTTCCGCATAGTACCGTTAAATTTTGAAAGTATCGTTAAAGTTGTCATTCTTCTTTTTACGGGGTACTTGATAATGTTTAAGATATCTTGGAAAGGAACGACGAACTTGACCATATGATAGGAGCCCTCCTCCTTTCTGTTCCCGCTTTCACTCCTGCATGGTCAGGTTCCTAAAGTAACTTTTCGGGTTTGACAAGAATTCGTGCCAGTCGAGAGATTCAAATTCATGAGCCATGTGGTTCCGTTGACGAGACATCAGTTTCTATGTGTAGGGGTTGTAGGTTAAAATGCGGAGACGTGATACTGAATACTGCATAACGATGTTGGACTCCGGGGTCTGGTTCCCGTTTCTAGAAATGACCAGGCGATCAAAAGATACAGAAGGGTTCCCGACAGTTTGAGAAAAACTTTGCCAGATGGAGACTTATGTTTGCCTACTTTCCACAAACACCTGAAACACTCCAAAGAGCAGAAACGTTCCGGACCACAAAACTCTTCGGAAGTCTTGAAAAGGGTCAGACGTACAGGATGCAACCTACGATATCTATATTTTTACGCTAAACACACTTATATACTTAGGGCCTGTTTACATAGAGTTGGGGGACCCCAGGGCCCAGGTACGTGAGGTAACCCGCTTAGGTGGGGTAACCCGCCTGTCCATATAATCTCTCATTTTAATGTGATCACGTTTACATGTTACAGGGTGAAGGGTGCAGGGGGTGCGCACCCCACCTGAGATGACCTGCGGTTTTCTAATACAACAGGTATTCTGAAAAAAAAAAACTATGTAATTTATTGGTGTTGAAGTAGAACAAGAGACGAGTGCACCCCCTCCTAAAAAAAATCCTGGATCCGCCCCTGTGTTAGGTGGGGTAACCCGCCGCATGTCACTACTTCCAAGCTGTAAGCCAGGAGCCCATAATGGGCTCCTGTGTATTTAATGTTACTACCTATTTATTATCTTTTTTATTCTCCTTGTAATTTATTCTATGTGGCAAAATACTAAAATAAATAAATGCACGCCAGGACTCTCTTTTGACCGCTCGCACGTTGTTGACCCGCACCTGCACAAAAGGGCGGTCTATTTTGCAGTCTAAACTTGACTGGGCTGGACGTCAGACTATCTTTTGCTATGAAATGTAACCTTACTGCGTACAGCTACCTCTTCCCCTTAATTCCCAACTTTGTTTGAGGGGGGAAAAGGGCGGCTGAAAAAAGAGCCGAGTGCAAATCACGCAACCAAGTTTGAATCTGGTGCAAAACAGGAAAGCCACATAATAAGAAACAGTCCACATCTTGCCTGAGAGATACAGGGTTTAAAAGGAGAAAGGTGTAATTATACCGAGGAATATCATACGGAATACGGACACCCTGGAGATGGTAAGCCACTTCAAAAAATACCATAATACTCTTAGTCAACAGGTTCGATCTTGCTAACGCCTTAGCATTCTAGTCACGACACAATGGAATTCACAGTACACATGAACGACAGCTTGCGTTATAAAATACCTCCGATATGAAAACGTACAGCTGTAATATATCCAAATGGAAATAGGAAGTAGGGCACTCTGGAACTTAATTTATTTTGCTAACACTTGCATGCATAAATCATGGTGTGTAGCCTGCACAGTAAGTGTGGGTTTTGTCAGGGCAAGAGGAGAAATTTCGAGAACACCCACGAATGCACGAGGGAAGTCCTCTTTATGTGTTCCCCTTGCGTCCACGGTTCTATCTAGAATTTATCTGTTGGGGGAGAAGTCCCGAGTAGCCGAAGGCTATGAGCTTCCTAGGGGGGACCAAGGGAATGCCCCCCGGAAATTTTTTGAAATGAATATGTGCTGAGATGCAATCTGGTGCACTTTGAGACAAAATTTTGTGTAATGTTACAGTGTGTGCACTGACCTCGTCGCGTCTGGATAATTTTTCCGATATAGTTACTTACTTTCCATCACGATAACAATATTTTTGGGAAGGAAGCTGGACATTTGGGGGGGGGGACTTCTACCACTCATACCCGAGGTAGAAACCTGGCGTGGTCTAAAAACTCTAACCAAAAAACTAACTGGCTCCGAAAATGCCTGAGTAAAAGCACGGACAACATTGTGACAGTCAAGTTTAAAAGATGCACTATACAAACAAACAAAAATCTAAGATTTACAGGTGAGGATTTGGCTGTTTGTTCAAGAATGAGGGTGTGCGTGACTGGTTAACATGACCGGCAAGTGAAGTTCTTGGCTGGTCAGGTCACCATTCAGTTGGGACACTGTGTCTGTTGACCCGCCATTATTTTAAGCCCTGTAAACAGTGGAACAGCAAAAATCAAATAATTATGTGTTGTCCAGCCAAAGTTGAATAACACAAATTTTATTGCCCTGTCACTCCCTAATAATAATCATTTAACACAATTTATGTCATCAGACAACGCAAGACTTTTAAAACTCTAGATTAATAAACAACAGATATACAACTTGAACTAATCAGCTGGCCTTATTTACAACTGTATTTACATTCAGTAAACATCAAAACAGTATTCAAGAGAAATCAAGAAAAAAAATGAAGGGAAATGTTTAGAGGTAAATAATGCAAACGTCACTTAATTTTGAAAAGATCCAAGGAAAACGATCTCGTCTGTTTAATATTATTGTAATGAACCGATTGCTGTTATGCTGACGCTGCCCACATGAGATGAGGTAAAAAAGTCTGGAATAGGAGTCACTGAAGATGATATAGAAAACAGTCTGTTGTATTTGTTGCTCAGCACTTGTATTATCAGTTATTATTGTCCATAACAAAGCAGCATCACCATAAACTCCACCTACACATGGTTTATAATGTAAAATATTTGGAAGAGCAGAACCATTTTCTGAGCCAGCTCAGGATCAATTCTATGACACATCTAAAAAGAAAAAGACAATGTTAACTTTGTTATTTCTTGATCTAAAGAAAGAAAAAGTACAGTCAAACCCTGCATTACTGACACCCACCTAATATGGACGCCTCATTAGTATGGACAGTTTGCTTTGTCACTGGGACAGAAAGTCCTTACATTGCATTTTCTCTAAAACCTGCTTTACACGGCCACCCTGATAATATGGACATTTTGCATGCCCCACTGTCTCTATTTACCAAGTTTGACTTTATTTGTATTTCTACCACGACGAAGTTTGTCTAGAGTCGACCACATTTTCAAAAGAACAGTATAAGCTGTTCATCATTACACTTTTGAATTGAAATTATTAAATGATAATTTTGGAGTCAGAAACAAATGAAAAGTAATGGCCAGATTTTAGATAATTAACAACTATTAGCTCTAGTCTGTGAATACAACCGCCTCTCTTTACAATCCACTACTGGGGACCTTTCACAAGAAAGAAGTCTGCATTTTGGCTTCAAAAATACCATACCATTTTCTTTGACAGCAATGTTCACATTGATAACAATTCAGGTAGTCAAAGGGTCCCAGATATACTGTAGATTTGTTTGAGTGTTTGTTTCTCCAGATTGTTAACCACGAAGTTTTAAGTTATGCTTTGAACTGGCAACAGCAAACCTCATACACTTCTTGTAAAGCAAATATTTTCCCGAGGAATAGAGAGCTTTAGATTCTGAGATAAGGATGACTATGAGTGCTAGATTTTCTCAATACTGAGTATTGTTCACCCGTGAACTAGTGTCATTTTGGCGGGAAAACATGATGGCCGTTCTTATTCTACTACGAGTTTTAGCGAGAATGTTGTAGTGGCAGGAACAAGTTATTAAATGTAAGAAGTTTTATCATTTTGCTATAGGGAGAGGGTTTAACCTCATTAAGTATAATTATCTGTACTAACTTTCGGGCAGAAAAAAACATAAAATGAAGCTTTCTGGGGTGTCTCTTTTTGAGAACATGCATAAAAAACTTTAAGTTAAATCTTGCACTCGTAAATGTTCTTGTCCTCAAATCTAAAGCTCTCTAATAAGTCTTTCTTGGTAGCTTTGGCATACCCAGAACTCATAACCAGATTCTGGAACAAAAGTATGGGCTTTTGAGGTCAAAATGCAGTCAACACTTGTGAAATGTCTCTGGCAGGCTATTCTGAGCAAGGAGATTAGGCCATGGATTGCCGAGATAAATCAGCCTTTGAAAATTCATCTGGTTTCACCAAATAAGTGGATCTATAACGTTTATTATTTCTAAATAACCCCTTTGATACAAACCCCTAAGGTCAGTTTTGAATGTAAACAAACCTCATAACATAAGCATAGATTAGTAAAACATTAAAACTAGGACACTTACATGTTGGTGCTGTCTCTTGAAATCTCCTCTGTACTTGATCATAATTAAACTTGACAAATGCATCATATTGTTCTAGGATTTACAAAGGAAAAAAATAAATGCTATTTTATCAGTTAGAACCTAAACAAATCTGTACACAACACTCTGCGGGCTACAATCTGGCAGTGACGCCAACCTGGACATCACCATTTGCAAACAAGAACAACAGCTCAAGGCTAGAAAACTTCAGCAACAGTATGCCCAAAGAACAAGCCACTTCTTTAATATTCATCTCACCCTATGTAATCTACAGAGCATCATTAAAGAGCAATATTCTTGGCCATATTATGAGGGTTTCAATAGTCAGAACACACCCAATTCCAGAATTGCAACAATATCACCCTTCTTTTATATTTATTTTAATTAGCTCTTTTTTCCTCAATAATTGCATCTGCAGAATTGAAAAGAATTAGGTGTTGAAGACAACTTAGCATAAAGACAAAAGAATAACAAAATTTGCTGCCATTTTGGAATAGGGTGCATGCACTGTTGAAATCTTGGAAGTCTCGTTACAAATAGTTCTCAGTCACAAGACAGTGTACTTCAACCAAAAAAGAAGGGGTGATCTGATTAGAACAAAGCCTAACAGTCAGTCATACAAAATACTAAACAACATGACCACACACTCACATACCGGCAAGTTTTTCTCTTAAAACTTTGTCATATTCCTCTGTTATTTGTGCTTCTCTTTCTTTTAACATCCTTTCACAGATAAGAGTGACTTGTTTCAGGGTGAAGAGGGGTTGCTCTTTTCGTGGTGGTGAAGAACCAGGCGAATATGAGGAGAAAGCGCTCATTTCTGGAGAACTTGGACAGGGTACTCTAAGGTGTCTACGTCGCTGCAGGCGTCTCCATTCCTGATGAATGCTGGCTGTAACTTGATCTAAAAAGGTTCATACATAGTTCACATTACACAATAAACAGAGGACCTAAACCTAATCACCAGTCAAACACATTTCTAAATTGCAAAAGATTGACTGGACTGTCAATTAGAGCAAACAAGGTACCAATTTCAAAATCTGTTGTCTGGGACATGTTTTGTATCATATTTTGTCATGAATCCTTGAATTTAGAGGATTTTGTGGTGTTACTGGTCCACTGAATGTATAACCAAACCAGAAATAAGTGTCTGCCAGTTCATTTTTTAACACAATGGCTTGTCCTATTATTTTAGGTTCTGTTTCACTCATAAGAAAAAATAGCAACTTTTCTACCTGTGTGTGGCTTACGCTCACACTGTTTCCCTTCTGTCCTTCTTACGTTTATGCTTAGCAAAATTCAAACAGAAGAAGAAATGAAATTTTTATAGTCTTTCACACAGCAGCAGCAGCAATTTTATAGCTTTACCAACAACAAATATCATCAACGTTAATGTTTGCTTCGACTTGGTGACAAAAAAGAATAATGCATTCAAGAGACTTCTACATCCCAATTTGCATGCCAATATCTACACAAGTAAAACATTGCAGGAAACAGCCTTTTTAGCGACATAAAAGCACATGTTATCTATTGTTTGTTATAGAAGCATTCCATACAAAAGTTCTCAAAAAGGAACGTTCCCTTAAGAATTATCTTTTTGAGAGAACAACATCGTCACTCCAAAGAATCTTTTTATACGATAGTACGGTGTTTGAGAAATAAGAAGTGATGGCCACATATTAGGAAATTAAAAATGAGTTGCATTATTTCTCTAAGAAGAAATTTCCACTTATAACATAACACCATGTGTTTAAAAATGCGTAGATGAAATTTAAGCAAATGTGAAACACAGTATTGCATTCAAACAAGCCCCTCGAGGAAATTTGCAACCTCATGGATAAGGAAACCTAAGTACATATAACGAAGAGAAAGTTCTTTTTTAAAAAATCTCGATTGACTCAAAGAACAGAACGATTTCTCGGGTGACTTTGGTGGCCGATCAATACTGCAGGGTAAGTAAAAAAATTCACAATAAATTGACTCACTTGAATAGATGAATAGAGCAAACGACGCAATACGCCGATGTACGTCCAAGGCAAATGTGAAGTTTTTAAAAACGTTGAAAGAGAGTTTAACTTAAACAGATCCCCTTGAACCAATACTCGCTACTTTACATCAACAGCCATGACAAAACAAAATAAGCTGGCAAGGAATACTAAGCGTCGAGAGCTACACAAAACTAACAAGATACAGCTTAAGTCAAGGTACATATGCATAAGTAAGAGGTTAAATAAAATTTTCAATACCATGGGACAATCTTGGAGCAACACCCACAAAATGCGACTCTGTTGTTACGGCAGGAGGTGGTGTTGATGGTTTGAGCGGAACGCATCTTCTTCTTTTTGGCGAAGGTTGGTGTTGAGCAGTAAGCAAAGGATCAAATTCGTAAGACCTCTTGAGGGTGGCGCAAGCCATAGCGTTTCTCCTCGATACTTGGTAGAAATTTCAAAAATAAACTAAGCAGATGATAGATCGACTATCTGACACTCGACAGAACTACGACAACTTCTTTTTACGACTCGATTCCTTCAGGATGACTCGGATTTATAGCTAGAATCTTCTCAAAAGAACCCGTAATAACCTAAAGATGGCGGCGATAGCAACTAATTTTGGCTATGTTTTTGAATCGGCAATAATCCACCAATCAGGGCGAAGCTATTTCAAGGACCAAACTCGCCTCGTTTCTATTGAACCAAACGACCTAACTCTGGGAGGAGTAGAGGGTAATTTATTGTCACGTCACAATCACAAATCCCAGGAGTCTGTTCTTCCCAACTACCTGAAACATATTGAAATTGGAATTGGCTTCATGAAATCCAAAAAATATGGCCTTGTTCTTGGAATACATGTACTGTTTTGTTGTTTGACCGGGAGGTAGAAATGCCTCCTCCCAGTCACATAGACAGCTGAGTCAAAAAATAATAAAAAAAATTAGTCACTTTTGCGCGTCAATGGAGAAACTATTCTGACTGTTACCTTTAAGTTAAGGTGACGCAAGGACCGTTGTTTGCAGGTGTGACGCAACAATATTACTGTAGCATTAAAATTTAGACAGTTACTGCGACAGCTTGAAAAATAGCTATAAATGCCATCTCGCAGCAAAATCGATGAGTGGTGCGATAGGCAGAATTAATCTCAAGGCAAAACGATGCTAAATTGAAACAAGTGGGAAAAAGAAACCTCACTGAAAACTTAATTATGAAGGTTACCGTGTACGTGAATGTGAAAAGTGAGGAATTCATACCGAGAATTTCATTTTGCAAAAATAAACTTTTCATCATAGAAGCTATAAAAAGAAAATCGAAAAATAGTAAATAAACACCAGGAAAATTGGCCACATAGCCTTTTTCTATCAGAAGTTATTTTTCCTTCATTATTGACCAAAAACTCAAGCGCCCTTTTGGCAAATTCTATTTTCTTGTCGTGCCAGAACGTTCTCTATTTGGGGGAAATTGCGAGAAAAGAGACGCTGCTCACTCGCGCTGTATCTCGCGGGCGCGGGTATGTTTACTCGCCACTAGAAACTAGAAATAATGAACTGGCTCGCAGTCTACAATTTTATCGTTTCCTAAACCTCGCTCACAAATGTTGCTCTCCTTCCGCTGGGAAAGTCTACTTCGAGGTACAATTCACTGATGAATGAACTGGGAAAACGACCTGAAACTTCATCTATGGGAACTTCGCAAAAGACATCGAATACTCAATAAAACAGTACTGGAACAATGAAACAGTATTGGGTTGGAAAACACAATTATTCAGTTTTGTATGGGATTCTTTCGAAAGGGGCTTTAAAATTCTTTTTAGAAATCCATGCCACCTCTTTTGGGCATAATCTGATACACTCCAATTTGATTCAATGCCTTTATTTGAATGGTAGAATGGAGCGGCAGCCTAAATGCAGCTTGTTCCTTATAAGTGCGCAAACATTTTTTATCACGCATAAAAATAAATAAAAAATAAATTTCCGTTATTCACCCTAACAGGGCAGTGTTTATAGCACTAACGTTAATAGGGCCGAGTAATTACCTGAAACAAATGAATTAAATCCCGGGGGTACTCCCTTGTAACGGCTTAATGGGGACGTGCTGCCAGCCAGGGTATGTTTTTCCGGATTTTTGTATTAAACAGGGTATCGATTTTATCATTTTTGTCTTAATCTGGGTATCGATTTTATCAATTTTTGTCTTAAAGAGGGTATCTTTTCTTGGACGTTAAACAGCCTGCGCGTATGTTCTACGAATGTCTTGACCAGGGTATCAAAAATCAGAATTCTGTCTTAAACAGGGTAGGAAAATCAGCGATTTTTGCCTTAAACAGGGTCAGGGTATGAGGGGCCGGGCCGCACTTCCCCACCCAAGGATATATCGAGTACCCCCCGGGTTTAAATCAAACGTAATAGGATTAAGAATCCCAACTGGCCGCAGGTAAACTAGTTGGCTATTTACAAGCGTGGTCGAGGATTTGAACATCTCACTCAACTGGAAGTATATTTGTGTGCGAGAAGTCTTAGTCAAACCCTAAATTCTCGGGTTTTTATCACGACTTACGTAATAAGCTACGTTTAAGCACAAGTTAGATCAGTTCCATTATGTCATTTAAATAAAGGAAACCACAAGAGATTGGAATAATTCAGTGGCACTGAACAAGCTGGAGAGGACATGACACACCGTACACCCAGCTCTTTCATTTTTTGCGACCTGAATTTGTCATGTCACGAAGGCTAAGGAGATCTTAAGGAAAAACCGTGGCTCTTGAACCAGAGTACTGTCTAGTCATTTTTTCGGCAATCGGCTCCTGTAATCGACGATCTAAAGCTACGGTAAAGCGGACAACGAAAAAACGTGCAGCTTGATTTGCTTCATATGTTAGGCATTTTACCACCCACGTTCAAACCTGTCTCACAACAAATCGGGTCAGTGTTAGAAGTTACGTGAATACTGACTTCTGATTGGATACAATTACGCGGAAGTCACGCCATACTCGGGATTTACGTCAGTTGCTGCAAAACAAGTTTGACAAGAGCCAGTGAGACGTGCAGCATGTACAGATTTTGCTGCAGAAGCAGATTGAACTAGCTTGAACTATTCTCTACTTTCTGCAACAACTTTGCTTTCTTGCAACAACCTGATTTTTTGCAAGACAGGTTTGATCCGTGGGTGGTAAAATGCGCAACATCACTATGTATCTCGTTTTTAATTGCAGCAATGTTACGTTGCAAAACAGGTTGGGAGTGCTCTGAAGCAACGAATTATCCTGGATGACATGACTTTTTCCGCACTCCCAACTCCAGTTTTGCGAACAGTTTTTGTATTGCAAGGAGGGTAAGCGAAGTTTTCTTTCTTGAACTGAAAGATTTCTTGCCCGCTTGGACCATTACACGCCTTTCGAGCCAATTCTATCTTCATGGAAAATTAAACAACGTAACGTTATGCGCTGCTAGTTGAGCGGAAATGCCGCTTGCATTACTTAGTCCAAATACACAATACACACCTCTGTTGACATTTTTCTGACGCTATGTTTCACTTTCAGAGGAGGTTTCAAGTGGCAATGGAGCGGGGTCTGCGTTACGGCCATTCCAAACAAACGAGCCTTTGGTATCAAAAATAATTACAGATGCTTTAGAGGGGGTTTCAAGTGAGCAGTAAATTCAAAACCTCGCTTTCTATAGAGCGCTTTTACTCAAACGTGTATCTGATGGCGCATACGATTTTTGTGCAATAAGATTGGTCGAAATCAGGGCGTTTTCACATGACTACACGGCGGCCGTTTTGGTTTCCAAAACAATGGAACGGCGGCCATGTTGGTGTTCCAAACAAATCCTGTGCGAGTTGAACTCTTTCTTGTGTTAACGTTTTCTTTTGTTCCAATAAATTTGCATAGATGCTGGTCACTATTAATGGCTCGTGTCGCTTAAGAGAAGTGTTGGCCGCCCTACCCCTCTAATAAAAAAGTTGCTATTCACACTACTGGATAACTTTTCGTGAGCTGTCCGGTATAGTCTGAACAGCCGACAGTAAAAAAATTGAAACAAGTTGTTCACACACATCCAACATCGCATCGGAGCGATTGGCCAAAACGGTTTGCTTAACTAAATCCCAGTCCTCTCTCCTGAATATTTACTTCCGTCTCAGTGGATTCCAGCCCTCGCTCCTTCTAATTCACTTCCGCTACGGTCCGAATACCTGTTCACACTGCACCAAAGTGTGGCACAGAACCCATCTGATATATGAAGCTCCACTTTCGAGATTAGCGCGGAGCAAATTCCCGCCGGTACAGAGATCGCCCCGATATCACCGTAATTCTTACGTGTGAACAGAAGCCCTATCTGGTCAGGGGTACCCAACGACAATTTTCGGAAAATTATCTGTCCGGAAGACGATTTGAGCTCTAGAATTTTCGGATCATTTACTGAAAAATTTCTTGCTTGCCTGCCTCTCCTAGGATTTTCGAACTTCAAAAATATCGTATAATTGCCCAGTTTTAACGGATTTTTACCCTAAAAAGGTCACCTAGAATTTTCGTGAGCTTTTTGTTGGCTGAAATTTTCGAAAAGGTAAATTTTGATCCCTATAATTTTCGGATCACTATACTTTCAGCTAGGAAATCCGAACAGATAAAAAATTTTTAGGGGATAAAAAAGGCCTTTATCTACCGTTTAAATACTAAAGTACGTTCAACAATGCTATGTTTAAGTGGTTTTGAACTATATTCTCGTTGGGTGCCCCTATCTGGTGCGGTTTTCGTCTCGGTACACGGTTCACGAGTCATCCGGTAAAGTGTAAACACAGCCCGACTATCGCTAATGGGGTCAGAAACAACAATTGACTTTTTCTGGAATAAAAAACAAAATCATATTGTAGTTAAAACAGACATCAAAGGTTACTGACTATTCAGCTAGCCAATCGAGCACAAGGTGACATCAAAAGTGTTCCGGGTTTTCTTTTCTATAAATAACTTTCAGTTTTCTAGCCTGTGAAAGCTTATTTCTTATAAAGCAAAAATGTTGGTAAATATCACCAGTGCCGTTACCCAACAATGTCTAACAAAGATCATGAATCTTTTCTCCTGGAACGTATGCGATCAAAAACATTCTTCCAAATCTGTTTCCAGGTACCTACTATTCGTGAACTCAAACTATCATCAAACGTTTCTTTGGAACAAAGTTCTTTTTCTTCTTCAATCACATCCTCGTCTTTCACAACCGTACCAAGGCTTTCCACAGGTACCCCAATGCTCTTTAAAGATTTTGCACCCAGAGAGGTAGCTACGGATCCTACGGTTGGAACATGTCTTAATTCCTGCTCTTCTTCATTTACTTTTGAAACAGCTTCATGGATAAAATGTTCAGGAAATTTGTTTTTGTATTGTTGAAGCCGCATCAACCATTCTAACCAGTAAGCTTCACAGATTTCCTGTGTCAGATGATGAACATGAGCTGGGTCACCATTTTCGTACGCAATAACTATCACTCCTTCACACACCTGTTAAATTCAACACAGGAGATAAATACATCCAGTATTTACAATGTAAACAACTCAGAAAAGCTTTTATTCTCTTAAAGGATTACTTCATGCTCTAGTATAGGCGTATTATGGGCGGGCGAAAGCTGCTTGTTTATGTTGGTACTGTTGTAACCGCCTTCTTCGTTATGACGGAGAAAGATTAGGGAGAGTAAAAATAGTAAACCTAAGGGTAGGTGCTAGGGCGAAAGAAGGAAAGAGGGGAGGGGGAGGGGGGGAAAAAGTTTTAACATGCGCTTTCGCGAGTAAAACATACGCGCGCCCGAAGAAAACGCCTGCACTGCAGGCTAGCAGTCTCGTATATTTCTACTTCCAGGCCAAGAACTCATAGAATTTCAACCAAAGTTCACCTTACAGATAAGTCTCCTTTAATTATTAAATTTGTGAGCATAACTCTTTTTTTTTCACTCACAAAATGCGAGAGGGACTTTTTTTAGTTCAAATCCTACGTTGACCTCAAGCTAGGATTGTTTTTGGTAGCTCCTCTAGAGTTCAATCCCCTGACTTTGCTTGTAACTAGCCAATTGGGTTTCCTCCTGCCAGTTGGGATTCTCAGCCTTGCAATATTTACTTCAGTTATTTGCGTCAAATATTTGCTCAGCCCTAGAAGCCTTTGTGTCATAAAATACTGAGGGTGTGCTATATTACTTGTCTATCGGTGGTAAATTACAATGGAACCTCAATATAACGAACCTCTATATAATGAATGATTTTCTCCGACCCCAGTAACAGTAAAATATATCAAAAAGAACCTCGGTATAATGAAACCTTGTTATAGCAAACTAATTTTGCCAGTCCCTTGGCCCTTGTTGTATCGAGGTTCCACCGTGATGGTAGCCTGCGTGTGTGGCAGGCGCAAAAAGGGGAAAGGCAGGTGTACCATTCGCACTGTTCAGTCACTTTGCTCTATCTTAACTAAAGTACCAAACAAAACTTTAATTTTCCATGACCTTCCAGGCCTGGAAATGAAATTCTTAAATTCCATGATCTCCCAGGTTTTCCATGACCCATACAAACCCTGTTTCCTTGTTGAATTGCTGGAATAAACCCTGCGTCAGAATGGGATTGGAGCCCAAAGTAATTTTTGACACTTGATAAATTAGAAGGAAACTGGGCCCCAGTTAACTTTCACAAAAAGACCTCTGGGGCTGTAGAAGGGACAAGGAAAAAATTGGCCAATGGCTAACCAGTGTATCCCCAGTAACGGTCCCAGAAACAATGACAGGACATATTTCTGCACCAGTCCCATTCTTATTTCTAAAGTGGTCAATAGGCAATTTGCACTATAAAAGTGGTCATGTGACATTGTTTTTATGTAATGAAAATTATATGATTTTGCCTTCGAAAAACGATTAGTGGGTCACATCTTGAACAAAATAATAGTGATTTGGTTTTTCAAACCTGCACCATTTTCTTAAAATGACTAAGGTCGTTGCTGGTCATGTGACCAAAGTGTGATTTTTAAAATTATGAATTACCTCTCTCTGGACACAAATTTTGCACTTAAACTTCAAGGAAAATGTTGAAAGATGATGTGGTAATGTTTACAGAACATCTTAGCACAACTATCAAACGTTTAACAAGATATAAGCCAAAAGCAGTTTTGGCCGCCATGTTGGAGGGCAAGAGTATGCCCTCCAACATGCCGGCCAGTACAAATCATACTACTTTGTTGAAAAATCAAAGCGTCATAAAATATCTCCCTTAAAGGCGTTTCCTCTCAAATTTCGGGTGTAAGATAATTCTTATGTGCTCTGTCAATTTTTAGCAGCATGAAGATTCCAAGTCATTGTTTAAAGGAAGCATTGGTCACGCGACCTTTTAGTGCAAGTGGTCTATTTGTTCCAGATGTGAAGGGGTTCACCTTGAAGAAAATAATAGTATTTAGCATCAAGTTGGAAAAAGTACCTGAAAGGGGTAATTACTGTCATAATTCACTGCACCGGCATAAGCTGCCAGTTGCTGAGGATAAGAGTAGCAGTCTTTGAGGTTTGTTTTGTGCTTCACAGAAGTCTTCCAGTCGATTACACTGAGTGTACCCTTATATTCTGCAATAAGATCCAGTGTTCCTGCATATCCTAACAATGGATGTACTACGCCACTCTCAATGGCAACAACATTTGAGATGTCTGGTAGAACATGACTAATACTCTTCCAATATCCTGCATTGGGCTCCCCTTCCACTATGATTGGTGTTTCCTTGTGTTTGAAGAAATGTTGGACATCCTGCCAATAAACAATGTCCACATTAGAGCATCAGTTATTATAGGAAATTACAATCAACATTTTCTCATGGTGATTTAACCTCACTATTAGCCTGCAAGAGCGGGCATTTTTTTGACAGAAACTCAGAGGTAGTAAGATCATGGCCGCCATCTTAAATACAAAAAGAAAGGCTCCCCTGTTCCACCCCCTCCTCTATTTTAAACCCACCAACCTCTTCCTTGAAATCAGACACTTTGACTGGCCCCAACTCTCTGTTAGTTTCAACGTCCAAGATGCGTCATCACTCACAATGCAAAACAGGGCTGTCATTAAGAGCCGGGGGCTAGGGATTTTCCCCAGCTACTATAAATGTGGCTCACGGCTACTTTCATTGGGAAATAGAAAGAAAAGAGACTCAAAAGAAATCCCTAAGTGTTTGATTTCCCGCCTACTTGTTGTTTTTACCCGGCAAATTGAAATCTTGGTGACAAACCCTGCAAAATATGCCTGCTTTGCAGGCTACCTTGCTATCAATAAGTAATTTTTTGTGGATTGGGTGGGGGCACCCCACATGGGGCCTATGAGTCCCATTCTGATTCTTGCCAATTCCCTTGGCCCTCGGGTAAGTCTGTGTAATTCCTATATTTTGGTAAGTCAAGTTTGGCAAATTTCAAATTTTATGTTATGTGCCATATCAATAAAACCAAAGTTTCTTTACATTCTAATCAGGGCTTTTGATAGGTCACCAAAAGAGTCAAATTTTGAGGGATTTTCAGGGACATATTCAAGGAAAAATTGGCTGATTTTGTGGGAATTTTTGTGGCAAACCTTGCCTAAAAACAATCAGTAAAAAATTGGCCAATTTTGTGGGAATTCTCACAGCAAATTTCGCTAGAAATTGATCAGTTTTGTGCTGACCAGACCGGCATTTTTAATGTTTTCTTAACAGAGATCATCATTTGCTATTTCAACAACAATATGGTCCAGAAATGAGCCAATTGCAAAGCTTTTAACTTCATGGCTAGTGCCCAGCTTTTCGCAACATAACCTATGCCTGGTAGTTTTGGAACATTGTTTGCTCATTTCAGTGACGAAGTTTCATGATCGCTTACGCTCACATAAACAGCCCCAATAGCTGAGATAAGTTTCAAATATGTTGTACAGACATGTATTTGACAATATTTCTAGTAAATTTCATGGTATTTTGCATGTTTTTGTGAATTTTGTGGGATTTCACAGACTACCTGAATTTCACAGCTCTGCGATTGCACAAACAAGGACATGTGGACATTTATTTCCAACAACAAAGTATGATAAGTGTTAAGCACCCAAAAGAAAACAACTCATTGTACTTACTTTTCAATCCCAAACTGGGGCTCTGAATGTGTTGACAATGACATAAACCATAGTTAATACAGTAAAAACTCACATATAAGAACCTAGTGATTTAAGAACCTTCAGGCTAAAATTTGGCTTTTAAATACCCAACAATATAAGAACCTGCTCAGCCTAGCAAAGAAAAATAGGTTCTTATACAAAAAAGTCACTCCAATTTTGATGGTCAAGATTCTTGATTTTAATTTTGTGAGAAACTTTTGACAAAAGGTTATCGTGTATATACGTTTTCTTTGATTTACATTTGTTTGGATTTTCACTAAAAGTATGTTTTCCATAAAGCTACCCTGAAATACGAAATTCAAAATCTTAATATCTTAGTCAAAAAAAAAATGAACCTAAGAGCGTAATCAGCCTGAATTGTGAAAAACTACCCTAAAATATAAGAACCTGTTCATCCTGACCTAGAAAATTCTAGGCTCTTAAATGTGGGTTTTTACTGTACCAAGAAAAACCAAGGGGAATGTATCCTAAAATGATTAGTGTATAGTAGTTTCAGATAAGTTGGGCAGATAAAATATTGTGTAGCCTGAGAAAAGAGCTGGCATTTTGTGACACTAACACTGGTTTCTCTGACAGGTGAAATGACATCTGGGCAAAGAATACAGAAATTCCATACCATGATGTATCACCACCCAGAACTGGGTAGTGCTTCTGACTGGCTGAAAATTTGCTTCAACCAATCAGACACACTACCCAAGTCTGGGTAGTGATATATCATCAGTATGGAATTTCTGTGCTAATTTCTCAGACCTCATTTCGCGGGGAGACCAATGGAAGCATCACGAAATATTGGCTGTTTTCTCCGACCAAATTTGTGCAGTACTTACATGATGAAATAAAGTTCCTCTTCTCGAAATACTTTTCTTCTTTTCCTTAAACTTTTCTTTGCCCAACTCAGAAACTTGACTTTTTGCCCAGTTCTTCAAAGCAAAAAATTCACTTGGAGGCTTGGTTTGACTGAGAATTGATGTTACACTGCAAAATTTGTCAAGATATATTCTGCCACCATCCTTCACTTTTTTGCTGCCAAGATGGATTGAAAGTGGAGAGATCGAAAGAGAAGAAAGGACATCATGATTTACAGTCTTGGTGTGATTTATAAAAGGACAATAAATTTCACTTTCAGTAATATCTATATCTTGAACATCCTGACTTGGATTACTCTGAAACAGATAGAAAAAATGTTTCATGCTAGACTGAAAAACAAACAACTTTTTGTATAGGCCTGAATGGCCAAAGGACCTGTCCTTGCTCCATTAGTAATAATTTCATAAATACTTTGTGAAGTGAGTGAGTAGCCCAGAAGGGGTACTCTGGATTTCAAGTGATGGGGATGATCAAATGGGGGCAAAAATGAAAATTCAAAAAAACCTCTGGTCCAAAAGTTAACCCCCAAAAATCCCATGCTGAATTTCCGAGCCCTAAAAAAGCCACAAAACAAGTTTGGTCATAACTTATTCACAAAACTTCGCAGGCACTAACACAAATTTTCAGATTGTTTTGAATGCCCGCAAAAATCCTTAGCTAAATCAAGCCACCCAAACAAAATACAGTCAAACCTCTTTAATACGGATACCAAAGGGACAGAACCAATTATCCGTTTTACAGAGGTGTCCGTATTTAATATAGAGGTAGGGAAAGTAGGATTTTTGGCATTTCTGGTACCAAACAAACTGTCTGTAAAAGAGAGGTGTCCATATTACAGAGGTGTTAGTAAGGACAGGTTAGACTGTTCTTGCCAAAATTTCCCTAAAGTATCCCTACTTAAATCAAGCAACCCAAAAACGTACTTGACAAATTTTCCTCCCCCCAAAAAATCCTTGGATCATCCCCGTCACTTGAAATCCAGAGTACCCCCTTGGGTGAGTAGTTGTGTAGCAACTCTTTTAAGCCCGTAATTTTAGTCAGATGTGTTAGTGTGGCAGGTGTTAGTCCTTTGCAATATTGTGCATTTTTTTCTGATTGTTTTTCTGTTCTTTGTAAGGGTAGATAGACATTTATAAGAGATCCTTCAAGAGCTAACTGTACCCAGATCTCCCATGACCACGAATCATGTAGAGTATATAAGCTTTAGGCACAAAATTAGCGGTCATGTTAACCTGCGATCAGGCGATTTTTTTTTTTTGGCGGGGGGAAAAAAAGAAAAAAAAGAGAGGAACAGTGCCTTCTCCAGTTGAAACATTAATCGCACAAAAGTGGCATGTTTTGCTCACCTTCTTAGGAAAACTCATCTTAAACTGCCATACGACACGACGCAAAATAAGCCTGCTTAACTCGCCCCTGCACAAACCCCTGCACAGCTCGTCCAGAGACATTTCCCGCCTTAATCTGTAAATTTGGCGCCAACGAAGCTACTTCCGGTAAATTTTGATTGGCTCACGCTTGTCTGATGACGTGGCCGACATTGCCGTTGACAGATCCTTTAATTAGGGGGCAGCAGACGAATTGACAAACAATTGTATCAGGCGTATTTCTTTTCCCCCCGCCAAAAAAAAAAAAAAAAAAAATCGCCTGATCGCAGGTTACGGTCATGTTGAAACGCAGACCATACAGACTGCAGACTGCAGACTGCAGACTGCAGACTGTGCAGACTGAGTGTTTTTTTTTTACTTGTACCTTAATTTTCTAGCAAAATGTTTACTATAGTTTCCTGCCTCCTCTCATTATGTGCACTGTGCATCAGCATCGTATGTGCACTAATGTGTACCTGCAAGGGTCATGGGTAGGAAATGAGAAAATCACGGGCTCATGTTTACCGGCAGATGTAAAAGCAGTTTCACGTGCTTTTAGCTGCACCGCTTTCACGCAGGAGCGAGCATGGTAGAGGAAGGTAAGCTGTTTCTTTCTGTAACTGTATTATATTGCCACGATTATTTATTTTTTTAGTAGAAGAAGCTTTTTCAGGTTAAGTGACGTAAAATAAAACCCTTTTCGGCTTCCTACAATGGCTACGAGAGAGACATTTCCTCAATTTCCTTGATTGTTGACCGATCGTCTTTGGTTTCAGTCTGTAATTATTCAAACCGGTGACTTGCTGTCATTTCTTCAAAATCTTACAGATACTGATGTCATCGTTGTTAGCTCGGGATATCAAACCGAGACGATTGAGAGATGGGCCTTGCTTTAAAATTATGTGTAAATAAACCAATGGTATATCTACCTACAAATTTAATATTCTGATTTCCACGTGTTTGCATGGCGGTTCCGGAAGGGTCAGAATTAAGAGGAGAAGGGCAGCGACTTGAAACTTCTCACAGATAATATTCAATGAAAATTAAGACAAAATTTACCTAAAATACACGGCGGGGGATCTAGTTCACCTTCGAATTGTACAAATAATGCATTTGTTACTAATGAACTATTTAGTTTTGGAGCTGCATAAACAAGAACCATGATACTTGAACAAGATTGTCGGTTTCAAACCACTACCACTTTAATATTGGCGTGAATGCATGGAGCAAATACAATTGTCGATTCCCGAGTGAAAACCCGCCCAGAAGGACGCTCTTGAGAATCAAATAAAAAAAATACATAAACAAAAGTCTTACCCGAATCTTCCAAGCTAACAACGATGACATCGGTATCCGTAAGACAGCAAGTCACTGGTTTGAATTACAGAATGAAACCAAAGATGATCTATCAACAATCAAGGAAATGTCTCTCTCGTAGCCGTTGCAGGAAGCCAAAAAGGGTTTTATTTTAAGTCACTTAACCTGAAAAAGCTTCTTCTACTAAAAAAATAAATAATCGAGGCAATATAATACAGTTACAGAAAGAAACAGCTTACCTTCCTCCATCCTGCTCACTCCTGTGTGAAAGCGGTGCAGCTAAAAGCGTGCAAAACTGCTTTTACATCTGCCAGTACACATGAGCCCGTGATTTTCTCATTTCCTACCCATGACCCTTGCAGGTACAAAATCAGTGCACATATGATGCTGATGTACAGTGCACATAATGAGAGGAAGCAGGAAACTATAGTAAAAATTTTACTAGAAAATTCAGGTACGAGTAACAAAATAACACTCAGTCTGCACAGTCTGCACAGTCTGCAGTCTGCATGGTCTGCGTTTCAAGATGACTGCAAAATTAGCCAAATGGGCTAATTTTTAAAAAGAAATGAAACCAAGAACGCCAAAGAAAAATCATCTAAAAGAGAAGTGTTTCAGTGTAGAAATTTTAGCACATATAGCCCAAAAACAAAGACCTATATCTAGTTATCGCTTCATAATTTATGTGACCTAAGACATTTTGCTGCGGGAAAGGAACTTTAACATATGTCTAGAATGCACACTGATACGTCCTAGCATGGGAAGTTACAATTAATGTTCTGATTTAAAAGCCTACCTTTTTCTTGCTGCGAGTTCGCTTAAACCGAAAACCACATCGATGCCAACATATTAACTTTCTGGGACAACCAGATGTTCTTTTAATCAACATTTGAGCCATTTTAAAGACATACATTCAGGAAAACATTCGAGCAGGGAAAGCTCCTCTGTTTTCCGCCATCTTTGTTTTTTGAAAACTGCGAGAGACTGGGACTTGAAAAAAGTTTAGCAACTTTTAATTTGGAGACTGGGCGAGACTTTGATTCCTCCCCGGCAAGATGGCGGGGGATTACGACTATGTTTTTAAAGTTCTTGTTTTGGGGGATAGCTCTGTTGGAAAGTCAAGTCTTATCAAGAGATTTCATTCGAATGTGTTCGATCAAAAACTTCCCACAACCATAGGTGTCGACTTTTTCATCCACGATATGGAAGTTGATGGAAAGAAAGTCAAGGTTAGTTGCCAGGTGTATTTTTTTGCTTTACGTACTCAGCACGTTTCAGCAGCCTGAAGGCCCAGGATTTTGCTTTACCACGCATCCATAATGTATACTTTAGTTTTAAAATGTAGTTTGTAAGCTCGAGTGCATAATTACCACTCGAAATGATTTTGTTAAGAATTGGTGTGGTCAGTCCTTCAGGGCTGTCAACCCCCCTTGTCTTCAAATATTAGTGTGTTTACCCAACAGGACGGCAGAAAGAAGAGGACGGCAAAACGCCTGTGCGTGACAAACGTGACAGGCCTGTTACGTATGTGTTTTGTGGTTGATCTTCACTTAAGTTAATGTGGTCTGGTCTTTTACAAAAAGACTTTGTTAAAGGAGGGTGAAGCACGGCGGAAAAGTTGTTCAAACAAAATTATTGTCACGCTCGTCATACAAAGTTTGCTGTCTTCTTTCTTCTCCTGTCCTGTTGCATAAGTTCACTATTGTCAATAATTGATAGAGATGATAGATGACGTCATAACGCACGGCTCATGACGTCATCTGTGCAACAAAATACTCGTTGACCCGGATTGTCATGACCTTGCCATGACACAAAAGCGCAAAAGAGATGTTTGTTGGCATTGTTCTTGCGAAGTAAATTAAGGTCTGTGTTGCGATTTTATGATTTTGTCAGGCGTGCAGCAGGAACAACGCGCCATGGATCACCGAGCAAAAGTGTGATCTTGCTTTGTTCAGAAATATGTCTCTCTATCGGTTTGGGCGAATGCAGTTGCCTAAGAACAAAACAGGGTGTGAGCAAAACCACCACAAACCTGACCCGATTGCTTTAGCGGCTGTTTAAGAGGTCAAGAAATGCTTTAAGCAATAAATTTCGAAGGTAGAAGTACCTTTTATAGAAAGTGGATGTGATTTGGACCATTAGCTTCAATAAAAAAACAGCAGTGAAACCTTATTGGTCAGCCAGAAGAGAGCTCACTTACTGCACATGGGATACTCCTGAAGTCAACAAGAGTTGTCGTGCCGTCAGCCATGAAGCTGCAAGTTTTGGATAAGATACACGAAGGGCACCAGGGAATAGTCAAGTGCAGAGAACGTGCAAAGACCTCTGTTTGGTGGCCTGGCCTCAGCTGTGAAGTTTATTTAGTAGTGAAGTACGTATTTCTCACGCTATATCGAGGTGGCTGCTATGCAAAAGACCACCAAATCGCATGAAGTTATCAGAGCCCTCAAGGCAATTTTTGCAAGGCATGGAATCCCTGAAGAAGTAAGAAGTGACAATGGCCCACAGTATACATCACCCGAATTCACTCATTTCGCAAAAGAATGGGGTTTCAAGCATACAACAAGTAGCCCCCGTTTCCCACAGTCTAATGGTGAAGCAGAGCGTGCAGTAGAAACCACCAAGTCACTGCTGAAGAAAGAAAAAGATAGATCCAAAGGACTGTTGGCGTACAGGTCTACCCCGCTTGCTTGTGGATATTCACCATCTGAACTACTCATGGGAAGGAAACTGACAAACACCATCCCAACATTCCACACTGTTCTAAATCCAAGTTGGCCAGATATGGACAAGCTAAGTGAAAAGGGAAGCAGGAAGCAAGGAAACTCAAAGGCTGAACTTCAATCAACGGCACAATGCCATTCCCTTGAGATCAGTCTAACCTGGTACTCCAGTGCACATCAAAGATATGGGAACCACTGGTACAATAGCTGGAGCAGCAGAAACACCTAGATCCTATTTGGTAGAGACAGAGAAAGGCACAGTGAGACGAAACCGTTCTCATGTCAACCCAATCCCTACCAACAAGCCAGCGTCGCCCAGTGTCTTGGACGAGCCAGTTTCACCTAGTGTTGAGAAGAAACAAGCCCGAGACAAGGCATTGACTCCCTTGAAGCAACTCCCATCACCTTGTCTTTCATCTAGACTAAAGAGACTCATTAGACCCTCTCTCAAGTTACAAGAGAGCCTTGGACTTTGTTGAACATTGAACTTTAGTTTTAAAGACACTTTGAAACTTGTGCTTGAACTTTGTTTTTATTTAGTTTCACAAACACTTAATTATCACATATGGTAGATTTTAGTTCCATACCCAAGTTGTATGTTACTTTACAATATCTCAAAACGGAGATATGTTGTGTTATTGAACTTTGACCTTTCATGTGTCATGCGTGTGTTGTTCAGTTTTTAGGGATGCGCACTACAGGAATAGAGGAGAAGAATAACATGGCAGTCTCATGAACACACGCTGTTGTCTCTTGAATAACTCGACATGAAATGCATTTGTAAATTCATTTTTCACTGTCAATAGCAGAATTATTTTCCTGAAACATATCTTTGAACTTGTGTTTAAGACAGCTTGATCAGCTTTAAACGACATTTGCCTGCGGAAGTTTCATGGAAAAGGCCTTAAATCAAATGCTTTTCCTCACACTAGCCTATTCATCCTTAGTAGTGTAGTGGTGAGGAGATATCACACCAAATGGAAGTTGCGGGGTTTGATTCCTATTTTTTTTAAACTTTTCTTTTTTTCTTTCTTTTTTTTCGTTGTTTTGTTTTGTTTGCTTGTTTTTTTTTATATTAGCCCATCCTCTTTTTTTTTCTCCATTTACCGTCATCCGACCAACCCAAATTTTTGGCATTTTCAAAAGAAAAAAAAGTAACGATGTAGTTACAGCATTTTTCACTTGAAATAATTCTTTTAATCTGAAAAATGAGCATAGTAACAGCATAGAGAAAAACACGAACATTTTTCACAGTATATTGTGCATTTTGTTAATCCAAATATGTGAATGTTAACTTTTAACATCATCCTGGGGTACCAGGGCCTACTATTCCGAGACTTCTTTTGATTTTTTTTTAGGTTTTTTTGTTTTTCAATCCAACTGACCGACCCAATATCAGGAAACCCATTCAACGGTAAACAAAGAAAAAAAAGGGGATGGCCTTAGATATATTTTCTTTTCCCTATTGGCTTCATTCCCTTTCTTCCTACTTCTGGCCCTTAGCCTCTGCTTCACAAGGCTCTGCGATTCACATATTTCTAGCAACAAATGACTTAATTGGTTTACTTCCCACCAATTACATTATTATATAGCCTGCATAATACGAGTTTTATGAGCCAACCGAGTCAAATGCAGCATTTTGTGCAAAGCACAAAACGAGCGCAAAGTGCAAGATGTCTGATGAAGAAAAAATTGTAGTGCCTGTAATCAGTCCATTGTTCTGGCTCTTTCACCCACCTATGCCCACAAATATTGACTGACGCTGGTGATGTCAAAAGGACCAGTGAAAACACATTCCATTACTCCAAAATTGTTACCATTCTGGCTACCAGAAACACTGACAGCAGCATAAACCACAGGAAATAACAACTACAAAGGCATGCATGAATCACCAATAATGTAAGAATGTAAAAATGATGGATTTGCTCAGGTAAAGTTTAGTTTATGTCCAAACACAGAGGCGAGAAAGAACAGAGGGAAAACCTCCAATTCCAAGGTCACATTTCACATTGTCATGAGCTTATGAGTCGTGTTTGCCCTGTTAACACTTAATTTCAAAAAGTTAGTAAATCAGGCTTTTTCCAAACTTAGTTGGAAGCAATCCAAGAACATCTTTCCTCTTTAGCAATATTTGTTTTTCCTTTATTCCTGGAACATTTGGAAATAAATGAAGAGTTTTCTTTTACAGCATCATCACAAAAACACGACTACATGACGCCATTTGTTTCAGACAAACATACCAGAATCTTGGCAGAGCAACATGTCATCAGTTAACTAATTGAAGCTCAGCGTTCATGTAGTAAATGTGGAAAGAGCCAGAACAATAGACTGGTAACAGGCCCTTTATTTTTTTCTCCTCCCCTCATCTCTCACTTTGGTCAAAATGCCACATTTGCCTTGCTTGGCTCATAAAGCACCTGTTATGCAGGGATTATTATATTACAATGGCATACCCGAGTTCAGGAAACATTCGATGTTAACATTGAAATAGCTCAGACAAAGCAATATTTTTGAAATTTTATTTGTCGGAAAGTCAAGCCTACTGAAGAAATGGCAAAATTCGGTGATTATCTGGGAGATTTTATACTTTGTCAATCTGGAGACGGGGAAATACTGTCCAAAATCTGGAGTCTTCCAGATTATCCGAGAGAGTTGACAACACTGGTCCTGGGACTCTTCTCATGAGAAAACATGAAATATCCCAGTCCAGAAACAGTGTGTCCTAGTCCTTAAACCAATGAGTGAGGCCCTCTTAGGCACAGTGCTTATGTTGGAGCAATCGCAGAGTAACCGGCTTACTAAATATCTTACTTGAAAAAAGAACTGCTCGTGCAGTGCCGCTGTCATGTTCAATTATGCTGGGTCTACAGTCCCACAGTCTGATGGTTGATGATGCTCAAATCCAACTGAGTAAAAGTCAAGTGCTCCCACAGTCCCTGAAAAGTGAATATTGAGTGGCTATCCCACTAATGCTTCTGCAGTCCTGCACCCCTGAAGTCAATGTCAAGTAACTAGTGTGCTTCTAGAACGAGATATACTAGTGGCCCAGCAATCCTGCACCCCCGCATTTTATGTCAGAATTTATTACGCAAATTGGACACTGCAGGAGCAGTTTTTTAGGTTAGATATTTAGTGGGCCGGGTATTCTGCGATATAACTTGTATGTCCCTAGTCTGAGTTTCAAATATGGTTGTTTCACATTTTGTGAAGTAGGCCATGTCCTTGTCAGTATTCAACCCATCTGTACGTCATTTGTGGCCATTTATTCCAGTCTCATGTCACTATCTTATAGCTATGTTGCTTGTTGGAATTTTACCCTAACAGGTCCTCATGAGTTACTGGGTCAGGGATTACTGTTTTTTATTATATAAACACCAATGAAATACCAGGTGAGCTTTTGCGCAAAAACTTGATATATCTTCACATGTGAAAAAATGAAATATTAAATATGAAAATATCACCGTTGCTATGACTACATAATAAATCGGGCCTTTCACACCAAAAAACTATTACAGTGAAATGGTTTGGTAGTTCATTGGTGTTTATATAAGAAAGATAACATTACATGACTGCTTGGAGATACAAAATTTCTCTTTTTGTGTTGAAGAAATATTTCACTCATTCGCTGCACTCACTTGTGAAATATTTTACAACCCTCAAAGAGAAATTTCATATCTCCTTGTGGCCATGTAATATCCTCTATTTATCTTATTAGCAATAAAAACTTTACGAAAAGACAATATAATGAAATTTTTATTAAAATTATCATGGTAAAAAAAAACAAACAGATATTGGTGTACCTGTAGGCACTACTGAAAAATCTTGCTATCCCTGATTGCAAAAAATCTACAGAAACAGCAACGAAATTAAACCACTTCACTATTAAAACAGTGTGGGCTTCATTGATTCCTTTTGTTTTGTTTGGTTGACTAGCTTCAACTTTGGGACACTGCAGGTGAAGAGAGATTCCGTCAAGGTGGTTTAACCAATACATATTACAGAGGAGCTCATGGGGCATTAGTAGTGTTTTCTCTGACATCTCTCAAGTCCTTTCAAAGTGTAAAGAATCTTTGGATAGATGAATTTTATAGAAAAAGGTAAGAAATGAACAATCTTCAAGTCTATTGTTTATACATTGTGTATAATGATACATTTTCATACCTGCCAACCCCCAGAGTACAAAAATCTGGAGACATCTAGAAATCTTTGCATTGTAAGAATGTCTGAATACTCTCTGAAAATCACCCGAAGGCCTTCCGAATGTTCCCAACGTCGAAAACAGCGTGCAAAAACCGCACCAACTTTTGATTGGTTGATTTCTGACCAATTACAATACTCGACTCGTAAAATATGTATCAATTTGATTGCTCTGTTTTACGTTTTCCGATCGAGGACAGCTTTAATAAGAGTGCTAAATCCACTCCTTGTTTTATTTTCCTTTTTGATATCTCCAAAATAACAAAATTAATGAAAAAAATTTGAAAAAGGCCATGGTAGGTATTTCCCAGGAGATTTAGTGCTCTAACTTTTTTTGATGAAAAATTTGGAGACTCCTGGGAAAACCAGCAGAGTTGGTAGGTATGCATTTTATAGTTGTACTGAGCTGCAGGTAGCTAAACTAATGGAAGCAGGTGAGGTGAGAGGTGTTAGGAAATTTAGCAGATAAACAGAGTCAAATTAAGCTCTGAAAATTGTCCCAGGCTGTACTTGAAAAATGAGCTTTTGACAGTTCTTTGTAACAGAAGTGAGGCCTTTTAGCAAACTTTCCCAGAATTTCCCCACTGTGATGATAAAGAAAGAGATAATGGTACACTCTACCTTATTTTAAATATTAATTCTTATGAGTACTTCACATGTGAAGAAGTGGTGTTGGGTTTAATCAGGTTGGACCTGTAGGTAGGACCTGGCCAAAGATTTAAATAAAATTGAAGAAAACTAAAAAGGGTTCTAACTGGTTTTCTTGAAAACTGGCCATCATGACTAGTTTTTCCAAGTAAGTAAATTTCTTATGTTTGTTGGGTCCCATTCTCAGGAAACACATTTATATGTCATGAAGTTGTTATTTTGTCACTGAGAAATAATTGGATTAAAGCCAACTGATGAATCATCCTTTACAAAATTATATCAGAAAAATCTCTTTAAGAGAATTCCTTTTATTTTTCTGCTGCAAGAAAGTCAGTTGAAAATAATGTCAAGGTTGATTTTGGTGCTATGTTATTTATGGATGATAGCGACATTATCAGTACACTGAAAAGACAACATTATTGCATGACTCAGTTAAGGTTTTTAATCATTGATCAATTATAATCAAAGATTGGCACACCTCCAAGAACTAGGATAACCTCTGGACAGCCATACATGGTGCCTAATTTAAGAAGTATCAAACGCAGAAGGTTTTGCTCATATTCTGGTTTATGGGCCACACTTTGACTTAGCTTTCACCCATTGATTGCTCACCCACTTCATGTGCACGCTGAACTGTTAGTGATGTCTTACATAATTTTTTACTTGATTAATATTTTTATTTCTTGTTTTCTTTTTTACTTCTCTAGTGGTTCAGATACAATTAAAGTATTAGTGGGTAACAAATGTGACTTGAAAGATAAGAGAGAAGTCAATGAAGATGACATTAAAGTAAGTGTGATTTTGCCTCTGACCCTTGATGAGGTAGCATGGCTGAGTCTTTAGAGCAGTGGACTTGCAATAGGGAGGCCCCAGGTTAAATATGTTAAATATGTTCTTGTTAGCTGCATGTTCAGCTCATTTGTCTTGCTTGTAGGCCAGCTGGTTTGTCCACGGTCATTTGAGATTTTTACCAAATGAATTATGTTCATTTAATTTATTTGTTTCTGCTCATTTTTGGGGCTCACCTCACCTCACCTCACCTATCCTCTTTGTGCCTTGTGGTACATACCCCACAAGGCCTTCACAGAGTCCCTCCACTTATCTCGGTTAGCTGCAGCGGTCTTCACTTCCTGTGAGGACGGGCGACAGTGTTCCCTTGATAAAGTGAATTTTGTTTGCTTTTGGTTTCTGTAATAACAGGGTTTTGTGGGATAGGGTTATTAGCCCTCAGCCCAACCCCCCAACCTGGAGGACCAGGGGACCACACTTAGTCTGGTCATCCTTGGACCTGTTAGGCATGAGTGGCCCTACCAGGAGTCAAAGACTCCAGCCAACATAACGTAAAATTCCGGAAATAAGCCCCGGGGCTTATATTTTTTAAAGGCCCTTTTTGAGGGGCTTATTTTTGGAGGGGCTTATCTACAAAGGGAAATTTGCGTTTCAAAATCGATTGGGCTAGTCTTATAGCTGGGAATAAATCTACCATTTTTGCTTTGTTTTACTTTATATTTGAGGGCAATTTTCTGAATACAAGCCCCCTGGGGGCTTATATCTGGAGGGGCGATTTAATGGAGGGTTTTCTGCATTACTGGTTTGGCGGGCTTATATATGGAGGGGCTTATACATGGCGGGGCTTATTTTCTGATTTTTACGGTAGATCTATGGATCATTGAGACACACAAACCACTCCACCATGGTTAGGTGGTAGTCCCTTTGGAGTGGACACGACTTTACCTCCTGCCTTCAGGAATAAAATTAACGATAAAATAAATAGCTACATGTAGTAACCCCAGAAAAATTGTTCAAAAAACAGTGACTAACTCAGTTCAATTCTCCATACACTGTAAGTGGAGTTTTTGTATCTTAAGTTCAGAACACACCAAGGATCTATCCCTTAAGTAAGTCTTTTCCTTTCCCCACAATGATTATGAATGACATAAAGGGTGAAACATGGTGTGAGGGGCTAGAACTAGGCAGTGGGATTGCGGTCATATGGCTGGATAGAATGAAAAATAGCAGCGGGATGCTTGTTTGAAAAAAGCTATTGTGGACCCTCTGAAACCCCAGATATTTGTATTTGCCAGGGGGTTATCCCCATTACCATGTTCTTGGTTTCTAATTTCCTACATTGTTTTAATAATACTATGTTTCACTATTTCAGGAATTTGCAGATTTGAATTCCATGTGTTGGTTAGAAACAAGTGCCAAGGACTGCACTAATGTGGAAGAAGCTTTTGAAACTATGGCTTCCAAATTATGCGAGAGTCATGAACAATATCTGTCTTTCGAGTCTGAACGTAGTGGTCCTGGCAGTTTTACTCTTCACGGTGCTTATGGAGTGCCGGAAGAGAATGAAAATCAAGGTTATTGCTGCAACTCAACATGACTTACTTACTTAAATTACTGACTGACTTACTGGGCAATTAATGGAGATGAGGGGTGCATTTCAAATATAATGTGCAGTAATTAAGTTGTGCTGTAAATATTTTGTAAAACTATAGAATTATGAAATCAGTAGCTTTTTCGTGTAACCTTTTAGTGTTTGTGGCTTGGCAGGTGTTTGGAAAGAGATCACCAAATACTCTACATGCAACTCAGCAGGGAAACTGAATTACTGGCAGTTTCTCTGAGAATCCTAAATAAATGTATAAAAGAATGTATAATACCTCCAATAGATTGCAATAACAACCATAGATAATACTCTCACTCGCAATGGGTAATTAATGGAGATGACTTGGGACACTTCAAATATAACTTGCAGAATGTCATGCTGTAAATGTGTTTTCTGTTTAGGTTCAAATTTTAAACTTTTCATTCCCTGAATCAAATCATTTGATTTGACATATGAGAAGTTCCATATTTGAAACCATTAAATTCAAGGTGATTAGGTCATGGGTTCACATAATGTCTTAGGGTGCTTTCCAAAAGTCAGAACTGGCCAGCCAGACCATGGCCAGACCAGTCATTTTGACAATGAAATAGGCTTTTTCCAAGAGTTTTAGCTGAAAACCCATCTCCTTGGTGCTTTTAGGATTTCATTGTTTTGACTGGATAATTTTGATTAAAAGTGAAATTCTCATTACGATGGTAATGTTGTGGCCGGTCAGACCTGACAAGTAAAAAGCACCTTTAGATATCACAAGTTTTTTTTATCTAAATCTAAATAATGAATGAATGAGTAAAAATTTTTGCCAAGATGGGCATGGAAATTTGTGGGTAGTGGAGATGACCAATGTTTTGAAGAAGTTGATTATTTCCATTTGTCATTCATTTTTCAAACTATTTGTATTGCAGGGCTCAAAATAATGTTTGGTCAATGGAAGATGTCTTATTGCCCAAGTGGTGACTTTTCTATTGCCAGTCATGTTGACTGGTCATGCACACTCTCATTCTTAAACTAACAGCCAAATCCTCCCCTGTAAATTACTATAAATTTTTGTCTCTTTGCAAAAATACAAATAAAAATTATGCAAGGATTAGTCAACTTCTATCCCAATATTTTGGCTGGTCAGAAAGGAGACTTGACCGAGCAAAAATTTCTTTGGCCGGTCATCGTGCCCGGCCACTGTCCATAAAGCATTTTGAAAACTGTTTGGTGAAAATTTGTGGAGAAAAAAGTCTTATCAATTGCTTTCGTTATGATTTCCAGCCTCTCCAAGCTAGGAAGATCATTTGAAATTCTCTGGGGGGGCAGGGTGGGGGGAGGGGAATGGGAGTTTCAAAAAAAGATTTTTTAGTTAAAAGAAATGTTTTTGAAACGGTATACTGGAGTTTTTAGATGGTGGGGTGAAAAAATCCTACCGAGGAGAGGACGGCTGCATTTTGGTCGAAAACATTTTACTGTGAATGCAAAATTTACTCCCACCTTGTTTTTTTTAATGTTATTTATTCATACTCAAATTACTAATTAAAACATAATGTAGTAGATATTACTGCGCCAAGTCATAGTGGCCTTTCTCATCAGATACCGTAACTTTATAGTCTGTAATAATTTTTCTCTTGCTTTCGCACGCCATATTGGCCATTTCAATATCTTGTACAGAAAGGAATGTCGATAGTCATACCATAGGCCATGTACAAAGTACTTCATATATTTCTCACAAATTCACATTGGCAATTAGCCTGCGTAGCAGGCGCGTGTCTCCCTCTCGTGCGCCCGTTCTTTCTTGCACCCACTACTTCCACTGAGCGCATGCTACGCAGGCTACAATGTGCAAGGGCCATAGTGCTGTTACTGTATATACTGTATTCAATTAGAATTCATTTTAATTTTTACTGAATGACATGCTTTTTGTGTTTCACTACTTAACAATCTGAAGCTTACTATTATTCAAGTACCTGTGAAACAAAGTTATTGAATTTTGCTATGCTAATTTAAGCACACCGGTAAATAATGGGTGGACTGGTAATGTCTAGTGTGCAAATATTTTTAGTCTATTCAGTTGTGTTGTTTGCAGAATTTTTTTATGCAGGCCCCAGTCGTTCAAAAGGTGGATATCGCTACCCACTGTATAAATCTCTATCCTGTTGATAGTGCAATTGGTTTCCGCAATACTTATTCACTGGAAAGAGATTTATCCGATGGATAGCGCTATCCAGCTTTTGAGCAACTAGGACGTGTTTAAGCGGCTACGTTGATTGCTAGCTACACTGTAGCTGCCCTATTTTTTCCCTCCGTATCCACATACAAATTCTCTAGACCGATCTCCGTATTTTCCCTTAAAAGTATAGTGAGGGGAATTTTTTAAAAGATCAAAGGTGTTTTTATGGTGATCATTATATTTACACTCATAACCTTTTCTCTTGTTCATGCTTGATATTGGAGAGCTTTAGATTCTGAGACGAGGAAGACTACGAGTACGAGATTTTCTCAATACTGAGTATTGCTGGCTCGTGAATCAGCGTCATTTTGGCAGGAAAACGTGATAGCCGTCGTCAATCTGAAAAAGTTATCTCATGCAACACGTTTTATCATTTTGCTATCGGAAGTCGGGAGGGGGCTGAATCTCCTTCAGAATCAAATAACCTTACTAACTTTTTAGGCTTAGCTACAGGCTTGTCGCAGCAACTGGTCTTCTTGAACTGGCGTCAAGGTTTATTGGGGGCCAAGCACACGCGAATAGGCCCAGCCGGTTTATCACGTCAAACAAGGCGGCTTACCCAATAGGCTGGCTACTTAAAGGCAACTTTCTCTAAAAAGCCAACACTTTCTTTCCCTCCCCGCCCCTAGCCTTTATTCAAAGGGTGAACCACGGGAGGTACCCTGGGAGGCAACATAAGTCTTCGTAATACTTCAGGGAACTCATCAAAGAAGTTTTCACCATCTGAGGCATTTATCCTGGTTTTCTAGCCTGCATTCGGGTACTGGCAGATGGAAGTGAAAAAGGAGGATAGGTCTAAAACTGCCTTTCACTTCATCAAGGATAATTTCAGTGGAGAGCAATGCCCTTCGGATTAACAAACGGACCTTCTACAGTCATTCCATTGATGAATTTGGCGTTCAGTGGCCTTTCCTGGACCCACTTTCTACGGCCGATTTGGTCGTTATCATCATCGTCATCACCGCCTACGGTTGGTGTTTTAACGGAGAAGATCTGAAGGCTTGAAACTGATGCCTATTAACAATGTTACTGCAGTAGAAAAAAAAGTTACTTTTCTCAGACATATAGTGTTGCCTGACGGAAGACTGATCATAAGAAAGTCGTAGCCGTCAAACGCTGAATGTGAAAAAGCTTCAAATCTTCCTTAGTCTTGATGGTTTAAAGAACTCCAAGGACTGTTAACTCCTTGGCTTGAACGCCGCCAAGAATATGATCCAACACCGGCCTGGGAAGCACGACAGCAGTGAGGGCAAAACCTACATTGTAGGCTGCATAATGGCGGAAGGAAGAGTCACCAGCAGGCTGCACTAAGGTAAACAACAGAATAATGTAAAGGATCTGTGGTCACACCAAAGAACGCAGTGCGGCTTAAGCCCGAGGTCAGGATCCTGATATTGGCCCAGTTATAGATGCGTTTCAAGAGAATGAAGGAAACCGACCAATGAGGAGCTAAACCCCTGGGTCGAGCAACAAAGGAAATCTGGGCAAAGTGGGAACTTATAGAGAAGCCGTACTTTACTTGCGGTCAGCGGAGGGAAAGCCCGTGAGCTAAGAGAAACTTTACTTCTTCTTTTGAAGGGAATGATAGGTGTCACACATTAACAGCCAAAAGAAACGATTACATCGATGAATTCACGCCAAATAACACAGGAATACATCAAAGGTTAGTCTCCTTTACTTATGTAATAGAAAAAAGGTTAAATATTAAAGATATTTAGCGTTCGCAGACCTGAGTATTTTATTTCTCAGCCAAGTGTTAACGGTCGCCTGTGCCGAGGCACCGATTCTTGTCAGAATGTGAATTCACATTCCACACTCATAACGTGAGCTTGGGACGCCCATGTCTTTATCTGTATCATAAGGGCTTCCGTGATTTCGAGGTTGGGAAAGGGGGGGGGGGGGGGGGAAGTGACGGGTATTAAAACTTCTCAAATCGTCAGTCATAGCAACTTTCTTAACCATATCAGAGGTGGGCGCGGGTTCTCCTTCGCTGGTCGCATCACAATTAACAAACGACGTCATAGGTCTTTGTGCTGGATGTTTGAGCGAATTTCTGTCTCTCGGTCTAAGACGTTTTTTATCTCATTTTTTTGTGTTCACATGGGTTATGCGCCCTTATAGTGTAACTGTACACTACTTGCTGTTCACCGTATATTGTGCTTTGAGCTGGCAATTGGTGTCTTGAACAGAAAGGTAATGCTTATGGTATTTTATGACAACTAAGCTGAATAGATTACTTCAATTATGTTGAGACATACAATCTGTTTTGGCGTTCATACACACACAGATGTACTTATAGAATGTAAACATTCAACTAGCAACGCAGAAAAGCAAAGGCTGCACGAATACTTCCACACTCTATATTAAGGACTGAGGTACCATGCAGTGGTTTAATGTGGGAAGGTTTTTTTGCCCTCCAGCGGCGTCGAAGCATATAAACAGAGAGACTAAATGCGTTCCATTTACTTCTGACAAGAAAGAGAGGCTTATTGCTTTTGGATATCTCAGAATTATTCGAACAAACAAGGTGACTGAACTTCAGAATATCTAAGGCCTTTTCATCGCTAAAACATGTTAGCACAGTCTTGAAGAGTCGGTGAGCGTCGTCAAAACAGTAGTGAAGTTGAAAGATGTATTTTTCGTTCCCTAAGCATATTCTTTGGGAGCGCTTGTCCTGGGGACTACAAAACTCCAGTGTGGATAGGTCTCCTAAGTATCTTACACAGTTGCGTAACACGGGACTTCATCAGTACTGCCGAAGCGGAGGCTGCAGGGGCATGAACTTTTTACTTTTTATTTATTAGCTGAGTCTCGTTTGCGACCAGGAAAACAGTAGCCGGATAAAAAAATCGCTTCAAACTGCCTTGGGTTGTTTCAGCTTAAAACTTCGATTTCGTTTGTTTTATTCCCAGAGGTTATGAATTTTAACATATCGGAATTGGTGCGGCTGTTTATGTATTAGTAGGAAATCACTCTTATTATAAACGTCTCCTCGATTCTTATAATCGCCTGATTTCTTGTACGGTTTTCAATCACAACATCGTAGGCGCATTTATCATAGCCTTTCAGTGATACTATAACAGATTAAAAAAGACTTGTCTCTTTGCTTTGCAAGTTTTTGGAAGTTAAACCTTCAGGGTGCAGCCACTCACGCCCCACTGATCTGCCGCTATTTTATTTGCGTCAATGTGATCTGATCTCCCGCTATTTCATTTGCGTCAACGTGGATTGTTTATACATTTCGTCGGAAATCAATCTTATTGTATTATTTTCCTTACAATCGGATGATTTCTTGTACGGTTTTCAATCACAGCACAGTCAAAGACATATTCATCACACCACCTTTCATCGATAGTATAGATTACAAGAAAAAAATACTTGTCTCGTTGCTTTGCAAGTTGTTGGAAGTTAAACCTTCAGGGTGTAGCCACTCACGCCCCACTGATCTGCCGCTATTTTATTTGCGTCAACTCAGACGGGCTTGATCAACAGTATAAAAGATTTTGCTTTTTACTCAAAGAAAAATCTTAGCCTGAGTACGTTTCGCGAGTTTGTAAAACGTGAAAAAAACCTAATTTTTAGCTAGGGTAGAGAAAAAGGATACTGCTGCCACTCAGTCAATCGCCCTCGCAAGTATCAACATATCCACACGTCTGCACTGCCTTAACTTATGCATAATTAAATTATAAAACTAACGTCCTTAACAGCTCAGGAGATGAGGAATTGTAGATATGTAATTTAGTTGGACTCTCTTTGGAGCTCATTTCCAAAATATCCATTATCTGACATAGTCAAGTGTTATTATATGGTGACTTATGGGACCTAGAAGCCGGTCTCATGCGAAAATCGGCGGCGCAGATCAGATCTGCTGGCAATGGACTTTTTGCTTTCCCGGAGGGCAAAAAATGTGAAAAAAAGAGACATTGTCTCAGGGTTTTGGGGGTTTTTCCCTTGAAGGGAAAGTATGTGGAAGAGCCAGTAGGCTTTGTCCATTGCATTATCGTTTGCATTGTGAATATAAAGGACACATATTATTCACGTTTGAGCGCGCCCATGTCTTTTTAACTATCTATTGCATGGAACTGGTCAGGGTCAATAAAGAGTGACATGATCTCTGGTCGGATGCATTAAAATTAACAAGGTGACTTCACTGGCGTTTCGCAGTTTGAGCGAGTTTTCTTTTTCTTGTCTAGAATTTTTATGCATCATTTTTTGGCGTTACCGTGCATATAGGTTACGGAGTTATAGTTTTACTATACTACTAGCTATTGTTCATGATGTCATTACATTGAAGGAATGCTTTGAGCTGGCAGTGTTTATGTCTTGAACAGAAAGGTAAACTTTGTATTTTGTAATACTAAGAACAGATTACTTCAATGATGTAGAGACGGACAATCTGTTTTGGCGCCCATATATTCATATGTACCATAGAATGTACCTATTTACTAGCAACGCATGAAAGCAAAAGCTGCCAGAATATTCACATACTTTATGACCAGTTACGGACTGCGGTATCAGAGCACCGATATAAATTTTGCCCTCCAGGGGCGGCAAAGTGAAAAAAATAGAAAGGCTCTTTGCGTTCAATTTACTTTTGACAAAAAATAAAGGGTGATTGCTTTTGGATATTTCTTGCTTATTCGAACAAACGTGGTGTCTGAACTTCGGAACACTTGACCACTTCCAAGGCCGGCCTATTCTATTCACTGTTCAAAGCTATAGCTACCATAGTCTTGAAGAGTCGTGAGCTTCATCAAAACAGTGAACAATTTAAAAGGTATATTATTTTTCTTACCTTAAGCGTATTCTTCGGGAGCGCTCGTATTTCGTCTAATGCAATGTTTACGGAAAAAAAGGCTGGTGACGTCATCTGAATTGTGGCATAATGAAAGGATAAGGGAAATACTAACACAAACACACCAATATGGTGCGAAAAATGAAAATGTATCAATCATCCCGTTTTAATGATAAAAAGAGCTTCATCAGGAAAGAAATGAATATTTTTTCCATATTTTAGCTGTATATGTACGCACTGGAGACCACGGAAAGTGAAGCCGAATAATAAAAATCGCTTCAAACTGGCCTGATGTTCAGATTTTGTTGCTCCAACATATTCCGCGGCTTGTTTCAGCAAAGAACTTAACGATTTCTATGTTTTATTCACGAAACAGTATTTAACGTATCTTATCAAACTGTGTCGCAGTTCATTTGCCATCGTCTTAGTTTTGGCAACCCAGCTCCATTCTTCGTTGTTTGGATAAACCGGACGTCATCCTTTGTGGGTACACATATAGTCATTAAACGTGATCACAATGTATTTGTACAAAATGAAAAATTGTTTCAAATGTGGAGTGCCTCTCGATCCATCTCGTCTTGTACAAATCCTTCAGCTTGCGCTTCTTAGTCTCTGGAGAAAGGGCGTCAATTGCGGTCGTTAAGAACTTCAGTCGCTATGGTGAATTGTCAAAGAAACTGAACAATTCATGGAAAGAATCCATCACGTTCTGAATTGACTTTATTTTGCAAGCATGGCATATAATAAGGTTGATCGAATGAGGGCAGCAACCTTGACTCTGCAACAGATGCTTACTTAGCTAGTTCAGCTTGAACTCCATATTTATCTGAGCTCGATCTGAGCTCATTGATACAGTTGCATCACCACGGCAACTGACCAGTCGTTCTTGGCAGCTCACACATTTTTATCCGAACCTCGCGCTTTATGGGGTTCGTTGGATGGGTCAGCAATGAAGTCAAGCAGGTGGAGATACACTGACAACACTTTACGACCCTCAGAAGTCGTCTCGTCGGCAATTTTTAACTGGGGATTCTTCTCAAGGCATTTTCACGAATCGTCTCAATCACTTTATTTTGAACAGTTTTGCTCGTATATTTGGGACTCACATATTTCCGTTTGTTTTTCCACGTATTATTTCTTTTGGTGGGCTGTTCTAAAGGGGGGTGGCTAGCCAACCAATCCATCTCCCAGGACCCGTCCCTGTTAATTCAGACGTATGGAATATGTAGATACTTGCAATGGCAATTGACTGAGGGGCGAAGACTAGGCCAGTCCCAATTGCGCTAAAAATAAAAAAAGTTGCTACTTAAATTTCAAACGTTGCTACCGAAATTTCTGCATATTTTTTGCAAACGTCAATTTAAAGCAAGTCAATTTAAATTTTTTGCTTACCACAAAACAAAGCGGCAACAAAAAATGGTTCTCTACTGAGACATCTTTAATTCACACAACTGATGCATTTCTCAAAGGAATTGATGATAAGAAATTGACTGCCTGCGTGCTTTTAGATATGAGTAAAGCCTTCGACAGCGTTGACCACCAAATATTGTTACGTAAAATACAAGGCGTCGGCGCTTCAACAAGCGCGCTAAAATGGTTTAACAGCTACCTTACAAATAGATATCAAGTTGTACGAATTCATAGTTCCGTTTGGGATCCTCTTCCAGTTGAAAGTGGCGTTCCTCAAGGCAGTATTCTAGGTCCCCTATTATTAAGCATATACGAAAATGATTTACCAGAAGTTCCAAGGCATTGCTCTACAGAATGTAACGTAGACGATACAAAACTGTTTGTTTCTTTTCATTTACACAACTCCCAACGGATTGTCCAAGAAATGAATGAAGATCTCCTGCAGGTGCGCAACTGGTGCTTCGGAAATCGGCTACTACTAAATCCAGACAAGACAAAATTAATTGTTTTCGGGAGCCGACAGATGACCTCTAAGCGCCATGAATTTCACTTGTCTTTGTTGGGAAAGGACATTTCCCCAGTGCAATCAGCGAGAGATCTTGGCGTGATTTTGGATCCGAACTTAACATTTGATAACCATATAATGACCTCAGTGTCGGAATGTATCGCACGTCTAGCGCAAATTAACCAGGTCAAACAATGCTTAGACAAAAATACGTTGTTAACCGTAATATATGCCTTAGTCATGTACTACTGTTCGAATGTTTGGGCAAATACCACAAAGAAGAATGTTAGAAAATTGCAGGCCGTTCAAAACTTTGCTTGCCGAATCGTCACGTATGTCATGTATCGTCAATATGATCATGTAACACCCCTCTTAAAAAGCCTGTCTTGGTTGCCTGTTATAAAGGACCAACTGTACTATCGCCAAGCTATTATGGCCTTCAAATGCATGACCGGTCAAGCCCCTGAATATCTTACATCCCAATTTATTACCCGTGATCAGCATGAGCAAGCGTTAGCGGACGAACAACTCGGAGTAGCCAAAAGCTAAACATCCCTCTTTTCAGAACTTCCTCCGGGCAGAGAATCTTTTATTACAGGACTGTTAAACTTTGGAAAAATTTGGAATCTTAAGTTAAGCCCATCTGATGAAATTTTTAAACGATCCTTAAGGAGCCAGCTTTTAGACAATTTTGTAAATACTTCTTAGTTAAGTTTAAAACATCGTAATTAGTAATTAGATAACATTGTCATTAGTATTAGATTAAGAGTTGTAATTAGTTATTATAAATAATGTAATATAATCAATAATGAAAAGCCCCTTTGGGGAGGTAACAATAAAGTATGTATGTATGTATGTAAAGCTGTATTCCTTGTTCTTCACAATAATTACTTACATCGGTCCAGAAAAATTGCTTGAAGTTAGCTTTAAGGAGATACTTGCAATCACAGGATAAATTTTAAGGGTACTAACTAACTATTCATACAGCAACAATTGCCCTTTAAACCTGAGTGTTTAAAGATTGATAATCATTTACAAAAGAAGACAATCCCGTCTTAACTCTCTGAAGAAATTCGCATAAATTGATTTTTTCCATGAAATCGTTGAATCTTTCTACTTGCAATGGACTTTTTTCTTCTCCCAGAGCGCAAAAAAATGTGTAAGAAAATTGATATTGTCTCAGGATTTTGGGGGGTTTTCCCTTAAAAGGAAAGTATGTGGAAGAGCCAGTACGCTTTGATCGTTGCATTACTGTTTGCATTGTAAATATAAATGACACGTCCACGTCTGTTTAACTGTCTATCGTTCTAGAGTTTATGCCTGGAAGAGATTTAAAAACGGTGCACTTATGTCAATAGATGTTTGTACCAAACAGCTTAGAATGCTTACCAAAATGACAGCCACCTATACAACAGTTCACAACTGTGTTGAAGAAAGAGGCAGTGTGTGTTGAAATTAAACAAATTTGTTTTCAGGAATTGACAAAACCGTAAATAAGGAGACGTGGACCATTTTGAACATTATTGTGAGCTCACTGGCGTCCAAGTGTGTCAAACACCTTTTTGCAACAGCAACTCAGATTTGATTGGAATAGATCTTTTTGTCATTGCCAGGTAAGTGCCCCAACAGATTTATCGTCTTTGCCAAAGGCTTCATGACTGGGAATTGGAGTGGAATCTGGTGGGATTAGTTATGATGTATACCTTAACAAAACATTTTCAGTTTACTTTAGGCGATAGAACACCTAGGCTTATCGAATGCTGGTAAAGAATTCTTGCAGTAGTCAGACGCCGTAAAGTTGTTCACCTATCATGATCACAAAAAAAAAAAATGTGTCAAAAACGTTTCGTTTGACATCGACATATCGATCCATATATCAGGGTCAAAAGTCGAATACCGGGGTCTGGATGCGATATCAATACTCACCCAGAGGTGGGCATTGGTTGTCGACACACTGACGTCATTAATCAGCTTTGTAAACCATTTTCTTTACCTGTTTAAGAAATCTTCTTCATCATTGTTGTCGTTCATAGGAGCCATTTCGCAAGTATCATTTTATACTCTGTCAGAGTTTAACGCCGCCTTCATAATCGTATCCTGACCAGAGGGACGAAGCCAACGGAGTTTGCTGAATTGAGGTAAGTTTTCACAGTTCCCGTCTAAAGAATCATGACATAATTTTTGGCGGTCAAAGAAGTTACACAATTATTTCTTTTACCGGGCTGTAGAATACTCATTGTATTCAAGGTGGACAGCCACAATTAGTGCACCGTCGATACATACGCTGCGTAATGTACAGTCTTTCCTCGCCAGATTAACTTCTGTAACTTGACAGTTTGTAAAGTGAACTTCCTTTGCTGCGTTTTAAGAGATGAATACACAAAAATGTTTTTATTTTAAAGAAAGCTTCTGACCTAGGTCGGTCAGCACAGAAAAAAAAGACAGCCATTCCCCAGGCAGTACAAGAAGCGGTTTTTTGAATTCATTTATCAGTCATGGGCCACATTCTGTTCATATAACCAATCTTGAGGTTATGACAGTTCTTTCGAAAAATTGTTGAATGTTATAAAACGAGGATAAATCGATAACGAATGTACTTACTGCAGATATTAACACAATCTGACATTATTCAATAAAAGGATTTCATCTGACGCTGTGTATCAAATGGGAAAAAAATACTACAGACTTAATAAAATAAAAAATGAATTAGCGTAGCACATCCAAACATTGAATGTTTTTCGTGTATCATTCCTGGTCGAATTGGAATTTGAAAATCGTGGCTTTTGAGGAGAGGGAAACACCGGAGATCCTGGAGAAAAACCTCTCAGAGCAAAGAAGAAACCAACAACAAGCTCAACTCACATATGGCGTCGACGCAAGGAATTGAAATTCTCTCTCCAGACTATTGCACCTTCCCCTATTCTCTAATATACCGTGAGAATTTTGTGGATCTATTGAAGGAAAAGAGCTTCTAGCGTGTTTTAGCCATCTTTATGCTCATCCCTTCTGGTAATCGAAAAATGTTTTTTGCAATGGAGCTCACTAAATGATTTCATTCTTTCTCCTCCTATTGACACTTGTATGCTACAATTTGTCCACTTATATGGTTTCCATATTATTTTACCACATTTCAGTTCATCCATTGAAGGGTTTCGATACCGACGACCGGAGATGACATTGCAGCCGTTTAGTGACAAGCAACTGAATTTCTTTAAGTTATCCTCGTTAGTATTAAATGAATTTCCAAAGGTATTACGGCAGACCTTTAAAACCATGTGGGACAACACCCATGGGGGTGGCCCTGGTTTCAAGTCCTGGGATGATTCAACTGCCGTGAGAAATTTGTTTGCCAGTAAAGAGGGTGGTAAGACTAAAGTTCCTATTCACCAGTCTTATAATGAATGGGATTGCACCAACCTGTTCCAGGCTACAATATTCGCGTCGTCTTTTGCCTCACCAGACAGCACAGGCTCCTTCACCACACTCAGTGATTTGTACGTGAAACCCCGGGCGTTACATCCTAATAGTTTTCATGCATGTGTGCTCAGCCCGGGTGGAAACGATGTGGAGACCTTTGCACTTGCCATTGATCAGCTTCGCCGTCTTAGGAATTCACTTTGCCACCCGAAAAATTCTGAGATTGACAAAGCTACCTTTGATCAGCACGTGAATTACGCCAAAGATGCGTTTAAAGCCCTTGGTGTCTCGACAGCCCAAATCGACGCTATTGGTAGTTTGACGGAGTCCGACTTTCCCACAATGGAAGTTTGCAGATTGAAAATGAGACTAGAAAAAGAGACTCAAGCGTACATAAATTTTCTCGAGGAAGTTAGTTCGGATATCAGTGAGATGAAAGCGTTATTGCATTCTATAAAAGAGGAAAAGAAGGAAGACACCAAAAATACTACTACAGGAGCACAAGCAGAGTACGCTACGACTCTCGAAGGGGCAAGTTCAGATATCAAGGTTTTAAAGCAGATGTGCGTGGAGGACACTGCCAGCAGGGAAGTTATTGCCAGGTTGGAGGAAAGGATAAATGAGTTGAAATCAGGACAATATGAAAGTGATGTACCAGCTGGAAATTCAGGTATGAAATGACGGACTGAAACGACAGGGGCACCCAACGTCAATTTTCGGAAAATATCTGTTCGGAAGACGATTTGAGATCTAGAATTTTCGGAACATTTTTTGTAAAATTTCTTGCTTGCCTACCTCTCCTAGGATTTTCGAACATCTATAAATTCCCATTTTAAACGGATTTTTACCATAAAAAAGGTCACCTAGAATTTTCGGGAGCCTTTTTTCTGGCTGAAATTTTCGAAAAGGTAAGTTTTGATCCCTATAATTTTCGGATCTCTAGACTTTCAGCTAGGAAATCCGAACAGATGAAAAATTTCTACGGGATAAAAATATGCCTATATCTACCGTTTAAATACTAAAATACGTTTAACAATGCTATGTTTAAGTGGTTTTGAACTGTATTCTCATTGGGTGCCCCTGAAACGATAGTAGTAAAAGTTAAGCAACACCGTATAGCTATAACCTGTCTAGCTGGCGCTTGTAAGTAATATGGGCAAGAGAAAGAAAGGGACGCCTTCTTTCTTGAGCCCATATTACTAATTACAAGCGCCTGCTACGCAGTCTAGTCTACCTATTTCCATGCAAATGTCTTACCTTTTTCAGGGCAAGGGCGGCATAACTCTGTTATTTTAAGACCCCGAGTCAGACCTGTTCGGTCCTGGAGATCGAACCTGCGACCTCTCGCTCTGCATTCAAGCGCTCTACCGACTGAGCTAGTCCTACCGCGGTTAAGTGCCTCAATAATTGTATACTTAAAATTTTGTGAGCGCATGTTATGTAAAAGTAAATATTTTGATTATCAATAGTTAAAACTTGATCAGACACACTTGTCATTTATATGCAGAACGTTATGTACTTTCTAAAGAGAAGTTGCTTATGCAAACTTTGTGAGGCAAAGTGGCTCCAATCCTGCGTAGCTGGTGATATAAACACGCTTAAGTGCTACATTTCAAGAGTCGAGTGCTCGTTTGTCGCGCTTTTGAGTACTTAAGACAAAAGAGTACTTTCGAGCGCTAATCAAGATTGTGAGCTGTAGAGTCGAGGCTTGGCAAGAATGGGGAAAGTAAACTCCCCAGATGGGAATAGCCTCCTTCGCAGAGGTTTTTGGATCACAAATGGCCGCGAAGGATACAACCAGTCTATAGCTAATTCCAGCCAGCTACGAACCCATGTTTAAATCTTCATCACTTGGCTTATGGATTACGTTTTTCTTTCTTCCAAAAAATACATTTCTAACGGTCCATGACAGCAATTGATAGATTTTAGATCAATCTTTAATCCAAGTCGATCTCTTTATTTGTTTAGATATTTGCAAGTATCTTCTGATTAGTTTTACTTTCGTTTTTTTAAGGTGTAACGTCATCGCCCTTGGAGCTTCCCTTCCCTCAGTAGTTCCTAATTTTACTGGGCGCCAGCGCGAGTGTGAAGAGATCATCGGACACGTGTCTTCCGAGTCTGTCCGACTGGTGTCAATTTGGGGTACACCTGGATTCGGAAAAACGTCGGTTGCGATTGCGGTTGGACATGCCCTCCAGTCTCAGGGAAAGCCTGTGTATTGGGTCTCTCTAAGAGGAGTCCGTTCTAAAGCAGATTTGGCTTCAAAATTTGTTAGCCTTCTGAGGCAACTTGACACAGTAAAACAACCTTCTGATCAGCGTCTATCCATCGATGAAGAGGTCTGCCAACTTTTCAGCAGTGTTTCAAATCCGTCTGCTTTTATCCTTGATAACTTCGATGATTTGTTAGAAAGTGGTTCGCTGAACGCAAAGGAAGAGGTCATGCAACTTCTCGAAGAGATTCTAAGGCGAAATCAAATGGTGACTTTCGTCGTGACCACAAGAGAGTCTCTTGAGTATATGGACCTCCATTTTCAAGGTCATAAGGGTTTAAGAATAAGGCCATTGGATGAAACCTCTGCTATGACCCTAGTTTCTGAGTTTCTTCCAAACGCAAGCATTGCAGACTGTACACAAATCGCACAAATCTGCGGACAGGTTCCTTTAGCGGTGAAGTTAATGTGTTCTTTGATATCTGAAGATAGTGCTCAACCACGCCAGATTATAGATGACCTCATGATGTCCTCCGCGGAAAATCGTATCATCGAAATGTTAAACAATCCAGATTACCCAACTCGTCATCGAATACAGTTGTTGTTTGATTCTTCTTTCAAGAAACTCACCATACAAGAAAAAGATGCGCTTATATCCTTAAGCATTCTTCCTGAGAGTTTCAGTACAGAAGTAGCTGCAGCCATTTTAAGTGACACAGGGTCTATGGAAGCCAGGAAGATATTAGGAAGCCTTCGAAGAAAGTCTCTCATTGATTCAAGCTCTAAACCGGAATCATTTACAATGCACAAGCTCTTGCAATCATTTGCGAGAGAAAAAGGAGAAAAAGAAATGACAGAGACGTTTCTGAACTCAAAACGTCGTTTGAACGCGTTTTACGTTTCCCTTCTTGAGAAGCTTAATGAACAGTTTCTTACCGGAAACTCAATGGCAGCATATATTGAATTCTATGAAAATAAGAAGAACATCATTGAAAGTGTAGTAGAGAGCTGTTTTGATTCGGAGAGAGCTGACAGCGTTTATAATGTACTGGTGAAAGGAGAGATGTTTCTTGCCTCGCTTTTTTGTAGGGAAGCGAGAAACTTTATTCACATTTATGACACAGCCATAAAGGCAGCCAATCTGCAAAAGAAAGACGACTACTACAGACAACTACTTTCCTCCAGAGCTTTCGGTGAGGTGACCTGGGGACGAGAAGGAAAAACGAGGCATCTTCTCTCAAAAGTGAATGAGCTTCAAGCCGCAGCTTCCCTTCCTTCTAACCTGGAAAAAGGAAAATATTTGTGCTATATGGGGATCTATCACTTTATTACAGAAGAAACTAATAATGGAGTGCAGTTCTTAAAAGAGGCGCTATTATCACTTGAAAATTGTAACGGCGCGGAAAGACGCATTCTGGAGATGGTTATTTTTCAGATACTTGCTGTTTATTTTCAGTCCCTTAACGACCTATCCAGTGCAAGAGCTTTCTATGACAAAGCAATCCGCCAATGTAGTGTAATGAGGGATTTGGAACTGCTTATAATACCGTCAATGAAAAACGAAAACAAGGAATCTATCAATGAAGTAAAACTTCAACAACACTCGGACATCTTGCTTAGTCAACCACTGAAATGTGAAATTTCCTTTCTATTAAGCGAAGCAACAAAGACTTTTGCTGATGTTAACACCAAGCAATGTTTAAGCAATTCGTTTCACAAAATTGTAGAGAATATCGAAAGAGAGGCTGAAATTACTCTCGGATTGCTCACTTTTCGGAACGTTGCGACAAATTTATTGTGGCGTTCAAGTAGTGAAGACCCTCAAACGCTCTACGCGTCCAGAATAAAGTACTATCAAGCAGCCCTGACGCAATACGAAGAAAGTTCCCCAAACAAAGACAATTTAAACGACGTTAGACATTTACAAAATGAAGCACATGCAAGGGACTTGTTGGACCTAGGTAGAGTTTTTATAAAAAGAAAAAGGTATCCAGAAGCACTTCAGGCAAACCAGCAAGCTCTCGAGATATCGCAAAGACTTTTAGGAGAAGAACATGAAAGCACTGCTGACAGTTACTTCAGCGTCGGTGTAACGCAATACGGAATGCATGACTACACCTCAGCTCTCCAATCTCATCAGCGTGCATTGGCTATCCGTATTAAAGCGCTTGGAGAAGAACATGAAAAAACTGCTGACAGCTACAGCGAAGTCGGTGAAACACAACACGCAATGCATGACTACACCTCAGCTCTCCAATCTCATCAGTGTGCATTGGCTATCCGTATTAAACTGTTTGGAGAAGAACATGCAAGCTCTGCTGACAGCTACAAGGGACTCGGTGGAACACAACACGCAATGCATGACTACACCTCAGCTCTCCAATCTCATCAGCTGTCATTGGCTATCCGTATTAAAGCGCTTGGAGAAGAACATGAAAGAACTGCTGACAGCTACAGGGAACTCGGTGTAATACAACACGAAATGCATGACTACACGTCAGCTCTCCAATCTCATCAGCGTGCATTGGCTATCCGTATTAAAGTGTTTGGAGAAGAACATGAAAGAACTGCTGACAGCTACAGGGAACTCGGTGTAACACAACACCAAATGCATGACTACACCTCAGCTCTCCAATCTCATCAGCGTGCATTGGCTATCCGTATTAAACTGTTTGGAGAAGAACATGAAAGCACTGCTGACAGCTACAGGGAACTCGGTGTAACACAACACGCAATGCATGACTACACCTCAGCTCTCCAATCTCATCAGCGTGCATTGGCTATCCGTATTAAAGCGCTTGGAGAAGAACATGAAAAAACTGCTGACAGCTACAGCGAAGTCGGTGAAACACAATACCAAATACATGACTACACCTCAGCTCTCCAATCTCATCAGCGTGCATTGGCTATCCGTATTAAACTGTTTGGAGAAGAACATGAAAGCACTGCTGACAGCTACAGGGAACTCGGTGTAACACAACACGCAATGCATGACTACACCTCAGCTCTCCAATCTCATCAGCGTGCATTGGCTATCCGTATTAAAGTGTTTGGAGAAGAACATGAAAGAACTGCTGACAGCTACAGGGAACTCGGTGTAATACAACACGAAATGCATGACTACACCTCAGCTCTCCAATCTCATCAGCGTGCATTGGCTATCCGTATTAAAGTGTTTGGAGAAGAACATGAAAGAACTGCTGACAGCTACAGGGAACTCGGTGTAACACAACACGAAATGCATGACTACACCTCAGCTCTCCAATCTCATCAGCGTGCATTGGCTATCCGTATTAAAGTGTTTGGAGAAGAACATGAAAAAACTGCTGACAGCTACAGAGAAGTCGGTGTAACACAACATGCAATGCATGACTACACCTCAGCTCTCCAATCTCATCAGTGTGCATTGGCTATCCGTATTAAAGTGTTTGGAGAAGAACATGAAAGAACTGCTGACAGCTACAGGAAACTTCGTTTAACACAAAACAACATGCAGAAAACCTGTGTCTTGTCTTAAAAGAGCCTGAATGGTGTTATGAATATGGGTAAGTTTCTAACATGTCATCTGTGACTACTGTTCTGAGCTTGACTGTTTAGAAAGGTAAAAAGAAAATTTATGGTTTATAATTAACCGTCATGGTTCCCTCAGTTTCTGCGTCAACGGGGATCGTCTGTATTTTTAATACGCAACTGCAGGAAACATCATAAGGTTAACGCTGACATTAAAGAAAGTCAAGGTTGTTCTCAAAACAACAACAAGCTTTATTTGCATTACCATACATGTACATATAGTATTACAAAAGCTACTTTTAGAGAAAAACGGAAAAGATAAAATTTCATCTTATTGCAATTAATTTACTTAGCTAACAATTTGTCACGGAAATCAAAGCAAGCTGAAACATATTTAACCAATTGTAATTAATATAGTAATTTGAGGAGTTCATCAGTTCATTGATCAGATCGTTGACGTGTAATTGGGTAATATTTGGAATCAGAGATTGAACTTTATGGTAAAAATTATTCCGTATTATTTAAGCAATAGAAAACGTTTCCCGTGTTTGCATAGCCTGATATAAACACGAGTGTAACTAAATGTCGTGGGTCGTGGGTAGTGGGTAGAGGTCGTGGGTCGTGGGTGTGGGTGTGGGTAAATGTCGTGGGTAAAAAAAAAATTCCCCCAAAAAATTAAAAAGCAAAAAGTTGTAACATACCAGTCCTATTCCTTCCCAGAGGCGTCCGGGAAATTGTTTGCCAGGGGAGGGGGGGGGGGGGTAAACCATTTGCCCAAAATATTCTCGCAAGTGTCCGAAATTTTTACAAAAGAGTCGAAAAGAAACGAGGGCCATATTGCAACAACATAGGCCGTACTGGCGTATGAAGTTGGCTCGATACAGTTTTCCAGGTTTGAGCATAAACTACGTCGCCATAAACAAACATTAGGAAAAATTGCCACCACAGTGAACGAAAATTTGTCATGATCACGGTTGCAATGACATCAAAGCTGTCATAGCATCGAAATCACGCCACTACCTACTTTACTTCAGCAAAATTTTAAAAACCACTCGATAGAGTTCCCCAAACAAAAACAAAAACCCACGACATTTAGCTACACTCTATAAACACGAGAGGGGTTGGGAGAACTCGAGACAGTTATGCAAACCCGACACGAAGTCGAGGGTTTGCATAACTGTCTCGAATTCTCCCAACGCCTCGAGTGTTTATATCAGGCTATGCAAACACAGGAAAAGGAGAAAAAACGCAAAACTCTTTGTATGGCTCTGATTAAAAGAGAAATTCTTACTAGTCACAAAATCTTGTCCACGAAGTCTTGCACGCGTAATCAGTTCTTGTTTTGCAAAAAGATGCTTTGCAAAATACGGATTTTTCTCGCTTAAAATGTCAGCGTAAGCGAAGAAAAATTGGCTCACCTTCTTTGTAACGATTTTCCATGTTTCGGCCGACGAAGGAATGGGTAAATAAGTGAACTTGTCGAGTTTTGAACTCGAAAACTTTTTCAAATTCCTGCTTGGGTGATTAGCGCGCAAAAAGCCAAACGACTTGACGCCACAACCATGTTTACATACTCTCATGCAAACACTCCTCTGGGCCAATCTGAGCGCGCGTACTATCTTAGTTATTTTATAAAGAGTATTAAGAACAGTGAAAAAAAAAGTGAATTTCGTCTTCTATTTGATTGGACCCAAAGTGTGGGCAATATCTATTTTCTCTAGAGATCTGATTTTATCTACCTTGTTCTAACATTAATTTGTGATTGCTAATTCGTAATTTGACCAATGCCTTTCTCTCGGCTGTTCCCCTTGTTAAATCTAGATAATTAGAAATGGTATGCTCGTTTTTAAAAGATCTATAAAATTCTAGTTTTTGAAAATGTTGGAGGGTGTTTTTCCAATAGGCGATATATTTTTGTTTCATCAAGCGTACAGAGGTTTTGACTATTGCGGTATCTAACAAATTAGGATTAAAGTGAGATATGTCCCGGATCGATCTTGTTAGCAAAAATTTGCCAGCAATTTTTTTTCGCAGTTGTCGCAAAAGAAATAACTGAGATAAAATTATGTCAGAAAATCACTTACAAATATCGCAAAAATCGCAAAAATAACAAATCTAACAAGAATCAAGACTTAGAAAAAAAAGAAGCCAAGAAGGGCCCCATAATGTCCGTAAATATCGCAAAAATCGCAAAAGTAACAAGGATTTTTCTTGCTAGCTAGAAAAACCCATGACAAATATCGCAAAAATAACAAATGTAACAAAATTTTAGACTTAGAAAAAAATAAGAAACAAAGAAGGGCCCCGAAATGCCCGCAAATATCATAAAAATCGCAAAAA